CATCTGTGGTCTGTGTCCCATCTCGGGCTCCTAACTCCGCAAAATTGATAGCTAGGATTCTGCCGCGCAGTTCGCGGGGAAACTTCCACGACACAACCCGGCGGGCGGGGCCGGGTCACGGGTGTCGCTGTGTGCTGTCTGCCCTGGGAGGCCACAGCCACACTCTTTCCCGTGGCCAGCGGGGCCCACAGGGTCACACCGCACCCTCGTGACTCAGGGACTTCGTGGGGTCCTCAGGCCAGCACCTCACGGCCATCAGCTGCAAAGTACACATCTTCCTGACCAGAAAACCATGGTGGGCCTGGTCGACAGGCAAGGAGCTGTAGCCCAGGCCTCCGTGTGCTTCCCGGAGTCATCCTGTGGGGCAAGGCCGACTCTTAAAAGGGAGATTAAGTAGTAGGAAACGAAGGCTTAAAGACAATCCTGCCCTGCCCCCGACAATGTAACTCACTAAGGTACAGATGATTCTAGAAGGCTTCTTCAGAGACACCAGCTGGTGCAGTCCCTCCCTTCACCTCAGCCCTCATTTCTAATGAGCCACTGGCTCCAACTGTCTGCATGGAACAGGTCGGGTGGGGCACAGCACCTGGGCCATACTGCTAGGGCAGGACTAAGCCTTGGGGTCGTCTCAGTAAATTGTTGCCATTGGTGGGGACGGTGTTGCCTGGAGTCCTGTGGCCTCATGGCAGAGATGCGCAGCCACAGGGGAGACCGTCTCCTCGCCAGCAGAAAGATGCAGCCTAGCCCCTGCCTAGTTCTACAGACTCAATCACTTAAAGTATTAATGTACTTGCCACTATCCCCTCGCCTATCTTGGGATTCAGTTCCCTCTTAACCAGGTCTGTTCTAAGCTTTCCAAGTAGATGGTGCTCCTGGATGGGAGAGGAGAGAAATAAACTGAAAGACAACACTCCTCTCTTCCTCCCATTAACGTTAGCACATAATCTATCTAATGTTGGGCCAGTTGGAAAATGCCTTTTATTACCCTTAGAACTTTTTAAACATTGGCTATTTCTGGGTGCTAGCATTCCTAACACTTCATAGTCTACCCTCTTGTTCATCGGATGTCTTTGGCATATAGTGAACTCTCAAATGTTAAACAAATGGATGACCAAGTAAGTTATATGTCCATTCTTTTGTGTGTGTGAATGTGTGCATGGGCGCACGCGCACACACACACACTTTGTATGTATCCACCCTAACAGCTTTCCCTCTGAAGGCACACTGAGTTGTCATTTGTGCCTTATTTTCTCATCAAGACCTCCAATGACTTGTACTGTGACATTTACACGCTAGAGACCTTCTCTGTCACTTCCTTTTTACAGACTCTGGTGCAGAATTCTAGGGGATGGAGCCAGCTGTGCCCAGGCCTCCGCCTCCTTTCCAACCAATATTGTCAGAATTCAGTATGAAAGAGAATGACCACTTTTTATTTAACTCAGGTTTTATATTAGGTAGTGGCCAATTTATCATAGGTGCTGTTTAATACACTAGTGACTGTGTATACTGCTGTTGGTGAACAGAACTTTCTGCAACAATCCGACTGCTCTGCTGTCCAGTGTGGCAGCCACTTGCCACATGTAGCTACTGACCACTTGAAATGGATCAAGGTGACTAGGGAATGTAATTTTAAGTTTTACGTAATTTTGGTGAGCTTAAATAGCTATGTGGCTATGGCTAATGCTATGGACAGTTGAAGAGTACTGTACTGTATCTTAATTTTTTGCTTTTGATCCATATTAGAAATTAACCACATCTCTCTGGACAGTATTCTAGTTTTTTACCTTGATGAACATTAAAAAAAAAAATTTCTCTGGTCTGTAAATCCCCCTAACATGTGAGTTCGCTTAGACCTTGAATATACATTGTACAAAATATTTCCAGTAAGGAGATGCCTGGGTGGCTCAGCAGTTGAGCTTCTGCCTTCAGCTCAGGGCATGATCCCGCAATCCCGAGATAGAGTCCCACACTGGGGTCCCTGCATGGAGCCTGCTTCTCACTCTGCCTACATCTCTGCCTGTCTCTCATGAAACAAACAAACAAAACAAACGTATTTCCAGTATGAAATATTTTGTCCCATAGAAACTTGTATTTCCAGACCTACTCCCATGATTTTCTTGGTTTCAGAATGTTCATAAAAATGGTCCACAGGTTGACTTTTGGTTGAAAAGTAGCAGACATAAGGAAGCCAGGGCCTCAGTTACTTCTTTGAAACCAATCAGCCCTTCTGTCATCTAATTCTGCTTCAGGTACCTGCCTTTGCCAGCTTTTCATTTATTGTCCTAACACTTAAATGATGTTTAGATGCCCATATTTATACTTCCACTTCTGCAAAAATTCTTTGGCATGCTGTTTCATCTATTGGTTAGCATGGAGGTCTGAAGTTGTCAGTCATCTCTCCACCTGTTATCTTCTGAAAATCATCTCCATGTTTGTTGACCACACCCCCCCCAACAGGTGGTTTTCAAAGGGTGGTCCCCGAACATACTACACATGCAGATTCTCAGGCCCAACCCCAGGACCTGCTGAACCAGAAGTCCTGGGATGGGGTCAGGAATTATTCAACAATCCTTCCAGGCAACTCTGATCCACATGCAATTTCCAGAACCACACTGGGGATAGCAGAAACGGGGTCTTTAGATGCTATCATTCCTTACTCCTTTATCTGACTATTTTATTATCCATAAAATTCTTTTCCTAATCAACTAGGTTATCCTGAATGGCAATTTGTGTATTAAAGGCAGGATAACCATTTCACTATTTTCCTCTAATTGTCCATTTTCAGTTTTAGTAGTTAGTGCCCTAGTTACTTCCAAAAGTGATTGCTCAGTGTTGGCTGAGTTTTTAAACTATCATTATAAATGAACATACTAATGTTTTTAATATAGTCAATCTGTGGCTATGGGGGAGAGAGGGCAGTGGTAAGCAAACCCCACAATCGGGGTGCTTAGAGCCCACTGCTACTGGGGCAGAGCTGGGCAGTGTGTTTTGTTTTTTTTTTTTTTTTTAAAAAGAACAGAAGGGGTGTCTGGGTGGCTTAGTTGGTTGAGTGTCTGCCTTGGCTCAGGTCATGATATAGGGGTCCCGGGATTGAGCCCTGTGTTGGGTTCCCTGCTTGGTGGAGAGTCTACTTCTGCCTCTCCCTCTGCCCCTCAAACTAGTGATTTCTCAATCTCAAATAAATAAAATCTTTTAAAAAGAACAAAAAAATATATAAAGGAACAAACAAGAGTTTATACTTATTACTAGCTTTAACTTATACTACACAATTTCAAAGTATGAACACCAATATTCCTAGTAACAGTAAGACTGCTGATGAAGCATAGGGTTTCTTAGTGGTTTCATTTATCCTTAATGTTTACTGAAACTATAAACTCAGAAGTTTATGTTCTAATGCCACTTGAAATGACACTTTCCTCTTGTGACAGTCACCATTTGATCTGCAGCTGGGTTGCAGACACTCGATGCTGCATGGCCTGGAACTCCCCCAGCACTCACCAGTCCTGTACCTTCTTGCCCCAAGCACCTGTGATTCTGCTCAGGGTCTCTCTCTGGTGGTGGTGGTAGAGAGTAGAGCCAGGAGCTGACACCTGGATGCAGCCCTCAAGCCACGAACACACCCATCCTCTTGCTTGTGCAGCAGTGTGAATGAACCAACAAAATCAACATCAAAGAGTGCATGCTGTATGGTTCCATTTATATGTACTTTGGAGCACGCGAGCTCATCTCTAATGATGGAAAGTAGATCAGTGGTTCCCTGTGCACTGCTGTGGATAAAGGAAGGAGATTACAAAGGGGCCAGAAACTCAGGCTAGTGAATGCGTTTATTACCTCTGCCAATCATACCTAAAAAGAACTGTGAAAAATGCTAACCCCCACCAAGGAAAGAAAGAAAAAGAAAAGAGAAAAGCTATACTAAGATAAAATTTCTTATTATGTGATTGGCAGACATCCAAACACTTGCCATCATGCTTTCTTTGCAAAGCCATGGGAATAGGGACTCTTCTCCAACACAAGAGAATTTGGGAAACAGAATTTGGGAACATCTAACAGAATGACATGTGCATTTCATAGCAATTCTAGGACTCCACCTCAAAGAAAAGGACTTCACCCACAAAATTACTCATTGTGGTGTCTGTAATACTGGAAAGAACACAAATGTCCACCACTGGACGGTAAGGTACATTCATGCAGCTAAAGGAAGAAGACTTACTGATGATAAGATATGCAGACATGGTGTGCACAATAGTCAATACATCATAATGCAAATACAGATTTGCTTTTTTTTTCTCTTAAAACACTCGCTAGGAAGATAACTAAAGTGCGTGCTATGGGGAAGGGGATGCAGAGACAATCAAGGTTAGCTCTAAATATGACAGACTCGGGATCCCTGGGTGGCGCAGTGGTTTAGCGCCTGCCTTTGGCCCAGGGCGCGATCCTGGAGACCCGGGATCGAATCCCACGTCGGGCTCCCGGTGCATGGAGCCTGCTTCTCCCTCTGCCTGTGTCTCTGCCTCTCTCTCTCTCTCTCTCTCTGTGACTATCATAAATAAACTAAAAAAAAAAAAATTTAAATATGACAGACTCTGAAAAAACGTGAATGTTTTACATATTTACAAGACCGTTCCTAAAGCGGAGAAAGAGCCAGTAAAATCAATGCCTCTATGTGCAAGTGGACTGGATTCTATAGAAGCCAGCCCAGAGATGATGAGTACTGTGTAGGAAAGGGACCTCTGAGCAGCACTGGAAAGCAAGCAGAGAAGGAAGAAATCCTTGTACGCCTCATCTATTTCCTTTAGTACCTGGCGACTTCAATACCTTAGGATGCATGTTCACATATTAAACCATTTGCTTACTAAGAACAAGGAGGAGATGCTTGTTTTCTTCAAGTGCTGTCAGCACCAAAAGTCATTTTTACTTAACTACACAAGAAAATTTCTGGATATTGATCTTTTAGGTCAACAACATGCCTCAAGTCAAATAGTACAAGTTCTTAAATGGACTTGGAAATAGAAGTTTGTAATTTATGCTTTATTTAAGAATCATGCCCAGTTTTATTATGTCACAAGGATGATGAAGCAAAAGGTAAGCTTCATTCACACTTCCTGGCTGTTGATTACTAGCAAGCTTCTGGCTACCGGGTAGATGATCTCTATTCCAATGACACTCCTTATTCACTTGAGTACAGGATTTTAAAAAGGTAATTAGGATATGAACACACGCATGAGCTATTATACATAATTACAAAAGCTGGTCAACTCTGGTCTCATCAGTAGGAGCGAATGGCTGGAGGGACCGTGGCACAGTCAGCCTCATTTAAAGTTCTGTCGATCACAGGTCTATATTCCAATGAGACCTTAAAAAGAAGAATCTACAGTAAGTTAAAATTTGTGGAAAAACATAAAAACAGTATTCGCTTGTATATTTTTTGAAAAATTCACTATAAAAGTTATTTGTAGACAAATTTCAGGAACTTAAAATCACAAATACTCATTGTGGAGTATTTTTCAGTAACAAACTCAAAAATGACCTAAACGTACAATAGGGGACCAGGTATGTAAATTATGGTAAGTCCATGTAATGAAATACAGCAACTAAAATAACAATGTATAAAATTCTTGATGCTTTACACAAATGCTCAAGAAGTGAAACTGTGCATATATTATCATTCTTTAATTATGCTTAAACCCTGTATTTACCAAAAGTTTTTCTATTTGTATTTATATACCTATGTATCAGGAAAAGTGTATGTATACATGCAAAACCTGAAGGAAATATTTCAGAATGATAATGAAGGATATCTCTGACTGGTGAGCTTACAAACATGGTTTTTCTTTATTTTTCTATTTTCTAAAAGTTTCTTTAATACTTTCAAAAACCCTTGAATGTTACTAAAAACAGGACTGTACCGAGAGAAAGTCTCATTTCTTTCTATACACTGTCAGAAAATAGCCTTCACGCAAAATTATCAAAGTTACTGCCTACTTGAAATAACAGACACACTAGGCTCTCTGTATTAAGTGATGGCAGCAGAGCACGTTATTTCTGTAGACTCACATAAATGATTAAGACTCTCCCTTACAAGTCTGAAAAGCTCAAGTAATACTTTATATCTTAGTTCTGATTCTTAATGTCCAGCAGAAATGGCAAATGGGTGAGTTATGCTTTGGCGGAATAAGACTGTGAGGCTCTACTGCAACCTAAGCTGGCTGTCCCAGGACTCTGCCCACTGCACCCCCCCCCCTCTGCTTGCTCTGTGCTGGGCCCATGCTGTGGGCTACACAGCATACTCCGTGTTCCCTGAGGCTGCCTCCAGATGGTCCAGCCAATGCCCCCCCCCATTGCTCCCACCCTACGACCTGCTCTCATTGGGCTCCAGAATCATCCTCTCCCCTGCCACCAAGCCTTGGGCACTCACTCCCTGCCAGGTGCTACAACTGTGGAAGGCCAGCACTTCTAAACCACCCATCCACACTGGATTCTGTTTCCAAGAGAAGCCCGACTTAGAGTCCTTTTCAGTAGTGTCTCAGGTCTGCCAACAGGGACTTAAATCCATGTTGCTTCTCCCAGCCCATCATAAGTTGTACTCCAGAATATATGGGATGGCACAGTCATTAGTGCATCCGTGAGCAGGACACGTTCCCCACATACCTTCCCAGTCTTGATATCGACGTAGGAAAGGGTGTGCTTTCTCCAGTGCTCCTCAAACGGCTTCTTCTGCTGCCCCTGGATGGGCTTAGAGTAATCATACTCGTCAATCCGCACCTGAGGCCAGGGAAATTAGTTTATTTCAGAAAATACCATCAACAAATACACTTCAAATTTCTTATTTCTCTAACAGGGCAATATAACTGGAAAACATGGCAAACTCATTAAAATGATACAGGAGAGACAAGTCTGATGTGAATCCCCTTGGATCCCACTCAACACAGAGGTATCCAGTGTCCCAAGCAGAACTTGTTCACAGAGAGCTGGGACATTCCTAGTCCATTTTTCCTTTTAAGATTTTATTTATTCAACAGAGAAGGTGAGCAAGAGAACACAAGCAGGGGGAGCTGCAGGTAGAAGCAGACTCCTTGCTGGGCAGGAAGACACAGGGCTCGATCCTAGATCATGACCTGAGCTAAAGGCAGATGGTTTACCGACTGAGCCACCCAGGTGCTCCTAGTCCACTTTTCAACCCATGTCCATTCTTGTGTACAATCCCTAATGAAAAACCATTTTGTGTATATCTGCCCTAAGAGAACACACAGTAAGAAACACAGTGCAATTAAGTTCCAGACATAGGTGGGATGGAGAGATGAGACCTGTGATACATCCTCCGAGTGCCCGTCCACCCTGGGCTCCCGTTCAGCACGAGTCCCGACCAGGGAAGGACCTGCTGAGGCCACAGAGCTAGGCAGTGGGTCTTCAGCATCACTGTGAGCCCAGAGCTCCATTTTTACTACTGGGGGGAGGGGGGATGGCTACAGAAATTAGCCTCATCTTTCATGCACTTAAAAGTTCAACAAATATTTTGTCTCTTTGTATTCTGGGTGACTTCAATTTCTCTTTCAGTTTTTTTCATTCAAATATTTCAGTTCTAGCAATTATGTTAAAATTTTGTTTAAAAACGCTTAAAAAGCTGAATACTACACATGGTAATGAGTAAGACATACAAGAGCCACTTAAATTTAAAACCAGGGGCCCTGGCTGACTCAGTGAGTAGAGCATGAGACTCTTGATCTCAGGATTGAGCTTCAGTCTCATGTTGGGTATAGAGATTACTTAAAAATAAAATTTAAAAATAATAACAAACTGAGGGTTGACTGAGGGAGGTGGGTGGAGGACAGGCATTAAGGAGGACACTTGTGATGAGCACTGAGTGTTGTATGTAAGTGATGAATCACCAAATTCTACTCCAGAAACTAATATTGCACTGTATGTCAACTACCTAAAATTTAAATTAAAAAAGTAACAATATGGGATGCCTTGGGTGGCTTAGTGGTTGAGTGCCTGCCTTCGGCCCAGAGCGTGATTCTGGAGTTCCAGAATCAAGTCCCATATCGGGCTCCCTGAATGGAGCCTGCTTCTCCCTCTGCCTATGTCTCTGCCTATCTCTCTGTGTCTCTCATGAATAAATAAATAAAATCTTAAAAATAAGTAATTAATTAAAATAATAAAAAAACCCATGAAAGTATAAAAAAAGATGCTTTCTATAAAAATAAATGAATAAATTTTAAAAAATGAAAGGTTCAAACACTTGGCTGTTTCTGCTGAGAGAGGCAAGTGTGTAGGTGCACAGAGGCAAGACCTCTCACCTGGGAGCAAGTGGGGCACCCTCCCTTATCTGGAAACATATCCGTAGGGGTAAGCTCTCCCAGGGGGAGCAGCTTCCACCTGCATCTCTGCTGTGACTCAATGAAACGAGTTGGCCGTTTCTTGCCACAGAAACACCCAACCCACCTGCAGCCTGGAGAAGCTTCTGGTCCTCAGTACTCATGACGAATGCACTTAGTCAATCTTACTCTAATCCAGCTCCAGTCGATGGAGGGCAAATTAACAGAATTTCACAGTAAATCAGAACCTAATCCTCTCCCTGTAGCCAATTTCCCCATGTGCTTCTGTTCTGCTGATGGATGAGGCTGCTACCAGCAACATCACCTTGTCCTGGGCCAGAGCCTGTGTGTCTAGAAAGCGGCTCAGGCCCTGCTGATGTTGCATCCTGAAGTTGTATTTGGCCTCAAGTGCCTATTTCCTTCCCATTTTCCTGTCATATGCTGAGTCTCTGTTCTGGAAGAATCTGAACTGTACTCTGCATAAAAATCATGTAATTTATGGGGCACCTGGGTGGCTGCTTCTCCCTCTCCCTATGCTCTTCCTCCTCACCCCCAGCTTGTGTTCTTTCTCTCTCAAAAAGAAATAAAATCTTAAAAAAAAACAACAACAACAACAAAACAGACCATTTTTAAAAAGTGACCCAAAATGAAGTCAGGTCTCAAATAATGACTTATCTCTCATTTTACTATTTTCTGGCTATAGTACTCAGACTGCATACTAATCTTTGACCTGGTAAAAGTCAGGTGTGTTTTGCTTAGAGATGCTGCTACTGGCAGCAGCAAATGCCGATCTGAGGCAAGAAAAAGGTCATGCTGATACTAAACACAGTGATAACAAAGCATGAAAGTTATCAGGCAACAAAAAAAAAAAAAAAAAAAAGGCTTTTTTTTTTTTTTTTTCCAATTTACTTGTGGGAAAATGAAGTGAAATGTAGAGAAAATGCAGGGATAGGGGCTGAGCAATGCCAGTGAACAGAGGCATGATGTGCACAGGAGTACGTGGTGAGGGCACACCTTGTAATCTTCCCTGGCGTGAGCACCACGTGACTCCTTCCGGGCCTCTGCTCCATAAATGGTCTGAAGTGCACAGAGCATCAGGTTCTGCAGCTCGAGGGTCTCTACCAGGTCGGTGTTCCAGACCATTCCTAGGGACACACCGGGTACTCATGAGATAGGATCCAGTTAACTGGGTCCTCCAGGCTGTAGCTGTGGGCAGAGTGAATTCCGCACTGGGACAGACAGGGCTCTGAGGCAGCCTGTCTTGCAAATATCCAGCAGCCCAACTGTGTGCAGGGCCCCATGGAATGCTCACCTCGGTCAAATGTCTTCAGATGCTTTAGGTCTCCATAGAGCTGGCTGATTTTCTCACAGCCTTCCTGTAACACACTTCCCACACGGAACACAGCAGCATGATTCTGCATCGACTGGAACATAAAATATCATTTGTCAATCTTTAATTCACATGAAGCAGCTAGGACTAAAACTGGTAAACCCTTTAGCTTTTTTCTTACGCGTTTCACTTTTATTTTTTTAAGATTTTATTTTTAAGTAATCTCTACACCCAATGGGAGGCTCAAACTCACAACTCTAAGATCAAGAGTCGCATGCTGCACTGACTGAGCCAGCCAGGTACCCCTGCATTTCACTTTTTATAAAATATTCATGTAAATTAAATTTAAAACCTATGAAATTCAGAATGAATCTATGACTCTCAATTTTATGTATGTATGTATGTATGTATGTATAGTAAGTATGTAAGCAAGCCAGCTCTTTTTTTTTTTTTAATTTTATTTATTTATTTATGATAGTCACAGAGAGAGAGAGGCAGAGACACAGGCAGAGGGAGAAGCAGACTCCATGCACCGGGAGCCCGACGTGGGATTCGATCCCGGGTCTCCAGGATCGCGCCCTGGGCCAAAGGCAGGCGCCAAACCGCTGCGCCACCCAGGGATCCCCAGCAAGCCAGCTCTTGGCCCAATGTGGGCCTTGGATTCACAACCCTAAGATCAAGAGTCATGCATTCTACTGACTGGGCCAGCCAGGCATCCATTACTCTGAATTTTATAATGAAGTTTGTTCTTTCTTCCATGAGAACTTTTAAAATATACTTTCTTAGCAACCTTCAAAGATGTAATTAAGTGTTATTAACTATAATTGCCATGCTATAGACTACAAGCCCCAGGACTTAATTTAATTTTAATTGGAGGCTTGTACATTTTGTCTCCTTTCACCCACTCCCCATCTCTGGCAACCATCAATCTGTTCTATGAGCTCAATTTCTTGTTTTGTTTTTTAAGATTCTACATATAAGTAGGATCATAAGGTATTGTTTTTGACTTATTTCACTGAGCATAATGCCCTCTATGCCCACCCATGGTGTCACAAATGGCAAGAGTTCATTTTTTATGCCTCAATAATTAATTTATATTTTATATATAAAACATATGCCATATATAAAGTATATGTAACATACACACACATCCTCATTACCCATTCATCCACCAATGGGCATCTAGGCTATTTTAATATCGTGGCTATAATAGATTGGAAGTACAGGTATCTTTTGGAACTAGTGTTTTCAGTTCCTTTGGATAAATACACAGAAGTGGATTTGTTGGATCATACAGTAGTTCTATTTTTAATTTTTGGGGGGAACCTCCATACTGTTTTCCATAATGGCTACACGAATCTGCATTCCCTCAAACTGTGCAGGAGGGTTCCCCTTTCTCCATATCCTTGCCAATGTAACATTTGTGTTTCTTGTCTTTTTGATACTAACCATCTCTGATAGGTGTGAAATGATACCTCATGTGGTTCTGATCAGCATTTCCCAGATGATCAGTGATGTTGAGGATCTTTTCATGTATCTGTTGGCCATGTGTATGCCTTCTTTGGAGAAATGTCTGTTTATATCCTCTGTCCATTTATTATATTGTTTTTATGCTATTGAGTTGTAAGAGTTCTTTACATATTTTGGGATTTTAGTCCCTTATCAGATACATGATCTGCAGATATTTCTTCCCATTCTGTACGCTGCCTTTTCATTTTGTTGGTTTCCTTTGCTGCAGAAGCTTTTTACTATGATGTGGTCAATAGTTCATCTTTACTTTTGCTGCCCTTGCTCTTGGTGTCAAATCGAAAACTCAGCGCCAAGACCACGATGAGGTGCTTACCGCCCATGTTTTCTAGGAGTTTTATGGGTTTCAGGTCTCATATTCAAGCCTTGAACCCAATGAATTAGTTTCCATGTATGGTGCAAGACGGTGATCTAGATGTGTTTGTTTGCGTGCGGCTTGTTCAGTTTTCCCAGCACCATTAAAGAGATGGTTTTCCTCCCATATATTCTTCTTTTGTTGTAAATTAATTAACCATATTTACATAGGTTTATTTATGGGCTCGATTCCATTTCATTGATCTCCAGGTCTGCTTTTAGGTCAATACTTTATTGTTTTGATTACTATAGCTTTGTAATAGAGTGTCAAATCAGGGAGAGAGAAATGCCTCCAGCTTTGTCTTTCTCTCAGGATTGCTCTGGCTATTCGGGGTCTTTTGTGGTTCCATACAAATATAGGATTCTTTGTTCTATTTCTGTAAAAAATGCCATTGGAATTTTAATAAAGGTTGCACTGAGTCTGTGGATTCCTTCAGGAAATATGGAAATTTTAATAATATTCACTCTTCCAACCTACAAGCACGGAATATCTTCCCACTTACTTGTATCTTCAACATTATTAATGCTTTAGAATTTTTGGTGTACATATTTTTCCCCTCCCTGATTAAATTTATTCCTAAGTATTTTATTCTTTTTGATGCAATTGGAAATGGGATTGCTTTCTTAATTTCTCTTTCAGAGCATTCAGAAACAGTTTTTATGTATTAACTTTGCACCTTTCAACTTTACTGAATTCACTAATTAGTATTAAGCTTTTTTGTGGGGTCTGTGTCAGTGTCATATGTGATCTGATACATCTGTAAATAGTGACGTTTACTTCTTCCTTCCCATTTTGGATGGCTTTATTTCTCTTTCCTGCCTGACTGCTCTAGCCAGGACTTCCAGTGCTGTGTTGAATAAAGTGGTGAGACTGAACACCCTTGTCTTGTTCCTGTGATGAGAAAGCTTCCATCTTTTCACCACTGAGTATGACCCTAGCTGCGGGCTTGTCATATAAGGCCTTTATTACATTGAGATACATCCCCTCTATACCTGCTTCCTTGAGAATTTTATCATAAATTGAAGTTAAAATGAAGTTTTGATCAAAGCTTTTAAAAAATGCTTCTATGTTGCCATTAAGTACACATTTTAGATCCATATGTGTTAATTAAAGTGGAATATTTTGCAATTAGGGAAGGCAGTTTGTGGAACTCAGCCAGGATCTGTGATTCCAAGCAGACTTACTCTTGAGGGTTAGCGTACTGAATGGTGGGCAAAAAGAGCATAAGGGCTCCATCTTCAATTCCCAAGGAGACAGCAGCTCCTATGGTCTTGCCCCACTCTTGAGATCCAGTGGTAAATGTTCTAAGAGCCAGCAGATGGCCCCTTGGTGACACAAATTAAGAAGTGTTGAGATAATGATGTAGGTGGTCAGCAGTGAGCATGGGGTGGACGGTCATGAAGAAGAGGAAAAAGAGGGCTTCTGGTTAATCTTGTAAATACCTCTCATATGTCAAATTCCTATATGGTTGTATTGTTTATGCACTTAAGAAATGGATATTAAATAAACTGAAATTTATTTTAGGATCTACCTTTATTTCCTATCACTTACTGAATAACTTTCCATGGCTCTTAAAAAAACCCTTTATCTCATGCTCAATCACAGTGTGTGCCTGGGCCTACTCCTAGACTCCACTTTTTGCCACTCATCTCTACCATAGACTAACATAGCTCACTGATTTAGTTCTATTTAACAGACATCTCATCTATTTCTTTAGAATGATACATAATTTTATTTTTAAAGATTTTATTTATTTGAAAGGAAGAAAGAGAGGAGGGGCAGAGAGAGAGGGAGGCTCCCTGCAGGGAGCCTTCCATGGGGCTCAATCCCAAGACCTTGAGATCATGACCTGAGCCAAAGGCAGATACTTAACAGACTGAGCCACCCAGGTGTCCCACAATGATACATAAGTTTAAAATTGTAATGCACACTATCAAATGTTCTGGCCTTTCAGGATAAGGAAATGGAAAAAACTATCTTAGAATCTAGTAAATGTTAGTTAAAACATTCTTTTATGTTCTTTAGTGCTCATCTTTTCATACTCTTTAGGGTTAGATTTATTCAAGGCATTTTAAACTTTTGGGCTGCACTGTGAATTAGATGATTTTCTAATGGATTATTGCAGGCATGTTGGAAAGCTACTTTTGAATCTTTTATACAGATATCTCCATTCTTGTTTTTATGAGTTTCTCACTTATTGTCTTGAGATTTTTAATTGTATCTGTAAATAATGATACTTGTCCACTCCTTTTCAATATGTAACTGATTTCTTTTCTATCACTCACTGTATCACCTGGAAATCAGAAAAACTAGTCCTCCAACTCAAGTGCACATTCCAAGAGGGCAGCGTTTTTTATTCTCTTCAGATGACTGGGGCATCTAGAAGACTGCCTGGCACACAGCAGGTAACAGTTTAGATGGTCCCTAATCTAGAAGAGTTTGACTTAACGATTTTTGAGCTTTACGATGGTGCAAAAGTGATCTGCAATTCAGAGACACTGCATTGTGAATTTTCATCTTCTCTCAGGCTAGTAATGTGCAGCAACATACACTCTCATAGGACTCCAGGCAGTGGCAGCAGCTGTAGCTTCCACTAGATCCCGAGGGTAAACAACCATCTGCACTCATACAATCATTGTTTTTCCACTTTGAGTACAGTATTCGATAAATTACATGAGACAGTCAACCTCCATTATAAAACAGGCTTTAGGGATCCCTGGGTGGCGCAGCGGTTTGGCGCCTGCCTTTGGCCCAGGGCGTGATCCTGGAGACCCGGGATCGAATCCCACATCGGGCTCCCGGTGCATGGAGCCTGCTTCTCCCTCTGCCTATGTCTCTGCCTCTCTCTCTCTCTCTCTCTGTGTGACTATCATAAATAAATAAAAAAAAATTAAAAAAAGAGTGTCTTAAAAAAATAAAACAGGCTTTATGTTAGATGAATTTTCCCTACTGCAGGCTAACAAGTGTTCTGGGCACATTTAAGGTCAGCTAAGTGAATATTCAGTAAGTTAAAGGTGTATTAAATACATTTCTGACTTACACCATTTTTAACTTTCATTGGGACATAACCCAAGAAGTCAAAGATCTGTATGTGCCTTACTTGGTGGAAATGTTTCTAGGACTTCCCATTTCAAAATATCATGGGTTCATCATTTCCACACCCAAATAGAATTTCCTACTATACAGTGCATGGATTATACTGTCATAGCTGGTGGCCATTCCCCGGTATCAATACCCTACAAAAGTTCTGCACAGTTCCTCTTGGCTGGTTTCCTAAAACAAACCTCTGCCTTTCACTCACGCTATTCGCCTTACCTTTCCAGGAAGTTTCCCTAAAGCCCAGAACTTCTCTGAAGTTCCTACAGAAGTATGCAGTATGCAACTTTTTTCTTTTGATGATTAGAGTTTGTGCCACTGAACGCTTCAGGATAGAACTAAAAGGGACTTTCTCTTTTTGGAAAACGTCTCCACAGAAATCTGGCAAATGACTTCAACTGGACAGAGATCTCATTTGTGGACCAAGAATCCCTGTATTAGAAGAATCTGGTGATCCCTAGCTGTCTTACATACTATTTTAATTGCTCTAACCCTGCATTATCCAATGCAGTAGCCACATGTAGTGCTTTATATTACATCGAAGCTGAATAAAATGAAGATTTAGTTCTTTACATGTGGTCAAAGACACATGTTCCCATCCTCAGAGAACAGCCCATCAGATGTGCTGATCTAGAAAGTAAATATTCTGACAATAACCAGTGCACAGATTATGAGGTCCACCCACCACCTATGCTCCCCTTTCCTCCCGATTCTATTTAGGGGCTTCAATGCACCAGCTCAAAGACATCACCTAGAGTTGCTAGAAGCTGGCTGTGGTGGTAGGATTAACTGCAAGGAAGCTCCCAGCTGGGAACGGAGCTTCTCAGATCTTCCACTATTCCTCCCACTCTAGACTTTGATGGACACTTGACAGCAGAAAGAGTCTGAGAAGGGAAGCCACATGCAAACAACCTGGGACATAGACAACTGCAGTGTCTGCCCTGGGCTGCTACCTCCAGCTTGCTGTGTGGAACATGTCCTTTTGCTGTTCGTCCTGAGCCCAGCACAAGGCTGTGGACACACAGCCTGCACACTCCAGAGCGTGTGCAGGGCTTACCTTCTGCATGTTGAGTCGTAGTTCAGATGTTCTCACGCTTCCATTGGCAAATCTCAGTTTGTCAAGATTCATGACAGACTCTTCCCCGGCATTTGGTTTAATCGGGGGAATTTTATCTCCTTAAAAAACACACAGACAAAAAGTGAGAATTTATTGGAGTTTGGAAAACATACACATAATCTGGACTGCCCTAACCCTAAAGAACCACATACTGACTTGGGGCCAAAGAGCAAACATAAAAACAAAATTTCTGGCAAAGAGTAGGTATCCGATATGAAATCTATGAACAAATCAGAATCCATTCCTAAGTTAAAAAATTAGATTTATGCAAAGAAACCTGGCATTATTACTCTATTGAAGGGAAAACTGACACCTTCAGAATAGTGAGCAGTTTCCAACAATTCTGCCAAAACACCTCACCCCTACCAATGGTGGTTCTCATTCAAGGGAGAGGGAGGGCCTGGCCAGGCATGTTTAAGTCTCCTGCTGATTCGGGCCCTTGCACCTGCTTAACTAAACCTCAACATATGCTTTTCTGACTTCTAAAAAGATAAATGTTTTGAAAATTTTTCAAGATGTTGTTTTTTTAATGACATGGTTTGAAATGAATTTTCTTCCATAGGTAATATGGGCACAAGGTATGAAATGAGGAAACAAGGATTTGCAGGCAAAGTAGGGTTGCTCACAGTCGCTCTCTACAAGGAGTGAGGGCACTGGTCTCTCATGCAAACCACCCCAGCTCTTCCAGGCCAGCTGTGGTTTCTTCTGCTTTTGTTTGTAATGTATTAGAAAAGTGATTAATTGGGGTACCCATTTAGGGTACATAATTAGGGTACAGAATGTTTAAAATATTCACATTTTAAAAGTTATAGTGCTTTTCCTTCCCTTTGTTTTTAAAAGTATAATTAAGATACGATATCAGAGTTGCACAAGGCCCACCAGGATTGGATGGCAACCACTGAGCCAGCTTATTCCTCAGTTTTGTCTCTTCCATAATGTTATATAAATAGTCAGATATATGAAACCTTTTGAGCCTGATTAATACAACTTAATACGTCTGAGATCCATTTGTGCTGTTGCACGAACAAGGAATTTGTTCCTTTTATTTTTGAGTCAAAAAAATTTTTTTAAAGTATGCATTGATCTTTCAGATATTAAATTATAAGATATTCTTATAAAACTTGCTTTTTCTCACTTCCAAAAAAAGGGAACTTTGAATTTTCTGCTTTGCCCTGGGATTTGATTTCAGGCTTCACCATTACAGTGAGACAAGCACTAGTTTGGGGGTCAGACCAGGTGGTTTTGACTCCTGCCTTTGCAGCAAAAATGGGCACAGGGCCCTACCTCTGCCTTTTAGCCTGGACTTGCAGTCAGAGCAAGAGAGAAGGTGTTTGAAAACATAACTGTCCATTTCGTTATATTATCTGCTAACTGCAGATATAAAGGGGAGTGCAGCTTGTTATACTGAGGGCTAGTTTAACTAGTAGGACAACAAGAGTTAAAATCTATAAAAAAAAACTTTTGTTTGATAAAAACAGAACAACTGAGACTAAACAGTTACCACCAGTGAAGCATAACAGGAAGAGAGGGACCCAGGGATCCCACAACCCTCCCCTGGGGAACAGTGTCTTCACCTAACATGTCGTCGTGAACGAATGGGCCAACGTAACCCACACGAAGACCCTCTGGAAGCTCATAGCAACAGTAAGCGTCCCATTTACAGAAGGACTCACACTTCCAGCAAAGACTGTTTTTTCCTCAGCAAATTATTTTAAGTTGCAGAAGAACAGAATCACAGACTGAAATCCACTGTATCACAGAAGGGAGGGCTATGACCCAATGCTCTGTTTTGTGTGCATTATGTTCTCCTTTAACAGATTATTTATATTTTTTAAGAACCTAAATTACTTTTCCATAAGTATTGAGAACTTACATATATATTCACACCTACTTTTTTTTTAAGATTTTATTTATTTATTCATGAGACAGACACACACACACACACACACACACACACACACACACACAGGCAGAGAGAGAAGCAGGCTCCATGCAGGAAGCCTGACATGGGACTCAATCCCTGGTCTTCAGGATCACACCCTGGGCTGAAGTCAGAGCTAGACCGCTGAGCCACCCAGGCTGCCCCCACACCTACTCTTTAAAATATTTCATTGCAAGTAAATAATTTATACTGAGCAAGCACTGTGTGATAAACTTCTCCTCAAAACAATTCCCATAGTGACTTTTCTAAGGAGAACATAATGACTGCAAAACAATACCTGACCAAAACTAGGTTACCCTCTACATAAACTATTAGGACCCACACCTAGCCTGTGTCGAGTCCCAAGTCTATTACCGTAGAAATCTTTCTTTTCTTTTTCTCTCTCTTTTTTTAAAGATTTTATTTATTTATTCATGAGAGACACAGGCAGAGGGAGAAACAGGCTCCATGCAGGGAGCCCGATGCGGGACTTGATCCCGGGACTGCAGGATCACGCCCTGGGCCGAAGGCAGGCGCTAAACCGCTGAGCCACCCAGGGATCCCCACTGTTTCTTTACTTATAGGTGGATCACTAAGGCAATTTCCAATTACAAATCAAGACATGGTAACCTCTCACCTCCTGAAATAGCCTGGCTACTTGAAGAAAACACATACCAGGTCTGCAGGACTCTGCGATACTCAGGGCACATGCCCGGCCAAAGACGACCAAGTCCAAGAGCGAGTTAGCTCCGAGGCGGTTGGCACCGTGCACCGAGGCGCAGGCGGCCTCCCCGCATGCATACAGGCCAGGCACGATCTGATCCTGGCCATTCACGTGCCTCAGAACCTGTAGGAGGAAGAGTGAAGACTTTAGGAGCACAGTTTGCACCCGTCTGCTTCCCAGCAGGGGATGTTTGCATGCAGGGGCAGAGAGGATGGAGAGCAGGTAAGGACTGGATCCACTCTGTCTATAGGGAGCCCTCTAACTGAATCTGTGCCCGGATACTCAAAGGATCCCACATGGCAGTACCTGTGATTTCAATCCCACACCTATTGCTCATTAGAAACCTCACTCACCACCCCTGACTGACCCTCTCACTTCCACACTTGGACTCTGGATTCAGACAAAGGGAAGGGCATATAGCATAGTATTCATCTATAAAGGGAGGAGTAGATCCCCAGCCACTTGCCTGAGGAAAGGCCAAAAAAGTCAAGAACCAAAAGGCTCTGGGTGGACTGCAAACCACTCCAAAGTATTTGTTATAAAGAGCATACAATTTATAAGGTCACAGTAAAAGTTAACAAGAGATCATAAAGGAAAATAAATCCTAAACAGGGAAAAGCTGCAAATGACATTGCATCTACGACTATGTACCATGGAGGGATCAGTAAGTGACCAGTGACTGCTCGCTATTAGAGTGAATGTGAACCCTGGAATATACCCGAGCCCCGCTTTGCCCTCCAGCAGCAACTCAAGGGAGTTGCCAACACAACAACACAGTGCTTTCTGAGGAAACCATCTGTCTTCTCTAACTGAGCTCGCAAGGGACAACTGTGAGATGGGCTCATCATTCCTGCCCTCTTCCCCACCATGGAAGGGTCTGGGCTTGGTCACCTGCCCCTTGTAGTTGGTGGGAATGCCACCCATGTTATAATGCACAGTGGGAAGGACGGGGATTGGCTCCTTGGTGACATCCACACCGGCAAATATCATGGCTGTCTCTGAAATGCCAGGCAGACGTATGGCCAACTGCTCGGGGGGTAGGTGGTGCAACTGCAGGTACACATGGTCTTTTTCGGGGCCACAGCCTCTGGTGGAAAAGGACATCATGGTGTGAGGCAAATAATGATAATTACAGAAAATATGAGATTACGAAGTCACTGAAGCATATCAAGTTCCACTGTTCTTATGCTGTAGAGAATCTCTCCTCACTTGTGGCCATCCATTTCTCACCTCATTTCTGAGCACCTACCATGTGCCAGGGTGGATGGAGTATGTGCTGGGACACACCTAGGACTGGGACAGACATCCAGCCATCGCTGGGCTCATATTCTAGTATTGGAAAATTACAATGTGTTTTCCTTGATAAATGCATTAAGAAGTCCTTTAACTGCAAATAGAAAGTATCTAGAGGCTGTAACACCAAAAAATATCTGACAAGCATCACCACAGTGAGACAGTGCTGGCACTGAAGAGCCTAACGCTTCAGCAAACAAGAGCCCACATACAGGGTCCCAAATCAGCATCAAAGGCCCACATCCTAACATCAGGTTGTAAGCATATCCGTCTCTCTCACAACACTCATGTGCAAATGATGCTCCACAATAAATCTGATCTCCAGATTTGAGATTCACATCAAACCACCCAAACTTCCCAAAATAAAGGTTTTTAGAGCAATATCAAAAATGGAAAGATAGTCCCAGGGCAGCAAAGGTAACTGCATACAGGCTACACAGAGCTGGGTGGGATGATGGGTGGGTGCTGAAACACACAAAAGCCACATCAGCCCATGTTAAAATATAGACACCAACAACAGCCACCAAAGAGAAAGGAGGGGTGCATGCATGCATGTGCGCTCTGACACCCCTGGAGAGAATCACACACACCTGCCTTCACGGATTTCCAGAGTCATGGACCGAGATACAACGTCTCTGGATGCCAGGTCCTTTGCGACTGGGGCATATCGCTCCATGAACCTTTCGCCTTGACTGTTAATGAGAATGCCTCCCTCTCCACGGCATCCTTCCGTAATGAGACAACCAGCACCATATATACCTGCAAAGAACCCACTTAATTAGATGTTTATAACCTAACAATTGCTAGCTAGGTCTGTATTTCAAATGCAAATTTTTTTCAAGACATTTTTGGGGAAAGGAAAAAGATATGGAAAGGGCATTGTGCTCCTAAAAGAGTTAGACAAAGGCAAGGTTAAGGAAGAGTGAAGTTTTGATAACAAATAGTACTGACAAAGCAGCAGGACGGGAAAGCTCAGCTCTGTGGTGATGACATAGCTCGGCTGAATATTTCGATGACAACCATGTGTGAACTTTCAACACAACCAAGTACATGTTAAATATCTCAGGCTTCGTTTTAATTTTAGAATGTTGTTTTGTACTAAGAAATTGTGATGAGGTAGGAAAAACCAGTTTGGAAAGTTTGTATCTAAAGTCGTCAGTAATGGGGCAAATGAGTTAAGTGTCTGACTTCAGTTCAGGTCATGATCTCAGGGTCCTGGGGTCAAGCCCCACGTTGGGCTCCCTGCTCAGCAGGGAATCTGCTTCTCCCTATGCTTAAGCGCGCACTCTCTCTCTCTCAAATAAATAAATATAAATCTGGGGTACCTGGGTGGATCTATTGGTTAGGCGTCTGCCTTCAGCTCGGGTCGTGATCCCAGGGTCGTGGGATTGAGCCGGGCATCAGGCTCTCTGCCCTGCAGGGAGTCTGCTACTCCTATGCCTCTGCCTCTCCCGTCCACTCATGCTTTTTTTTCTCTCTCTCAAATGAATAAATAAAATATTTGTTGTTTGTTTGTTTATTTATTTATTCATGAGAGACACACAGGCAGAGACACAGGCAGAGGGAGAAGCAGGCTCTATGCAGGGAGCCTAATGTGGGACTTGATCCCGGGATTCCAGGATCACACCCTGAGCTGAAGGCAGGTGTTTAACCACTGAGCCACCCAGATGTCCCTAAATAAAATATTTTTAAAAAATAAATAAATCCTTAAAGAAGCAAAACTACTTAAACATTTTTATTTTTCATCTCTGCCAGGGATCAGAAAAAATATACTGACAGAGCAAAGAGAAAAAACAGATCTGGTTCTGTAGCAAGGTGGGTGGTACTGACAAAGTGTGGTGTCCCTCAGTTGATAGATGAGAAAAGCAATCAGAAAGAAAGTCCAGAATGAGACTCATCTCTCCTTCTCTGATTCACTTCTGGATAACAAACAGACCTGCACCCTCAGCCCAGACCTCCCTTCTGAACCCCACATTTGCACACTCAACTGTCTGAGGACCCAAGAGGAGCTCCATCTGCCCATGACTGGGCAGTTACCAACATCTTGGGGGGGTCATGTCTGCTACAGCTCATCTCAGCTTTATATTCTACTACTGGGACAGCTTGATGTCCTCCCTACAGCGACTGTGCCCATGCCATATCTGGTCAACAGCATCCCCCACAGCTGTGAGGACATTCACTCGTAAATACTGCCCAGGTCCTACTGTGCGCCAGGCACTGTGAACACAGCAGTACTGGCCCCCACCTCTGGGAGCAGACCACTTAGTCAGGGAGAGGAATACTGAACAGTCATGGCTCTATGACAGGTGTAGGTGTAGAGTTAAGATGTGCCCTAAGCTGCTTTGGGGGAGACAGGGAAAGATCTCCTTGAGCAAATGACAAGGTGGGCTCTGAGAACATGTTAGTGTATGGAATTGCCGAGGAGCATTAAGAGCTGTGGAGGACTTAAAAGACATGAAAATCCCTGACCCCATGAAGGCAATCCCATCCTACCTGTGGGGTGGAACTGAACGAACTCCAAGTCCTGGCACGGAAGGCCTGCCCTGGTGACCATGGCGGTGCCGTCACCGGTGCTGGTGTGGGCAGATGTGCAGCTGAAGTAGGTGCGCCCATAACCTCTGGAAAACAGACATGGGAGCATGGAGAGAACATGACACACAGTGAACCATCAGGTCTGCCTTTCTAATGGCACCAGAGTGGACAGAGCAGCCCAGAAGCACTCTGACAGCTGCTGTCTGTATACACTACCCTGGGCAGCTGGGTGGGAGCCTGAGGGACAAAGAAGGCATTCTCATTGGTACTTTAGTGCTGAGTGACTTCCCTGATAAGCACGTGCTACTTTAATACTGAAGGCTGTAATGTTTATGGATTCATGCTTTTAAAGGCTTAAAATAAAAGACTAACAGTGTATCAAATGGAATTTATTTTCATCATGTGAACAAACTACTCCAGAAAATTGGTATAAACACAATACCCACTAAGCAAAAGAGAGGTTAGTCCAGAAAATGTCATGTGACTCTCCAACCCCAGTTTCTTCAAGGGTCCTCCCAGGTGCAAAGTAAGGCAGGTGCTATGATTGTCTCCTTTTAAGATAGAGAACTGAGGCTGACAAAATTTATTATACTCCTGGATTAGGTCACCACCTGGGACTGAACCACTATTCCATAGTGTTTCCATTTTTATAAAAGGAAACTGAGACCCAACTTCCCTACACAGAAATTAAATACAAGTTAGACTCCTACCCGGTAGCCACAACAGTGTTCTTGGCTCTTATGCGATGGATGGACCCATCTTCTATGCATAGTGCAATAACACCACGACATTCTCCATTTTCCATCAAGAGATCCAAGGCAAAGTACTCTACAAAATAGCTGGTATCATATCGCAGAGACTAAAAAACACGAAAGAAAAACAGGGATCCCACAGTTTCAATTGCATTTAGGGTGTTAAACTGACATTTCAGCAATACTGCTCATGCGAACAGGCCCTGATCTGGTGTGTCACAAATGGATTGTGTAAACCCTAGGTTGCAAAAAGAGTCACAGACTTCAGCTCACATCAACCACAGGGCTGACCCTGATGTCTAACAATATAAAAGGTACCCTGCTCTCAGCTGTATGATCAGAAGGACACAAGTGTGTCACATGCACCAGAGAACACAATGTAGCTGATCAGTGAACACAAAGGACCCTCATGAAACTGCCAGCTCCCCATGTGACACACAATTCCACAGGGTGGGCAGATCCTGTCACATATCTGTCGATGCACGCAGCCAGAGAAACGACTCCTGTCCTAACATTCGCTAATCAATAATGGAAATCAAGAGTTCAGAATACTGATTATTTGGCTACGCCAAAGTAGGCCCTGAGTATCCAGTAAGTACTGTCCCCCAAGTGTTAGTCCAGTCTAAACAGTTAAGGATTAAAACAAATCAATCAGTTCAGGAACTCAGAGGTACTGAGTCATAAAATACTTTTTCTGTTCTTACACTTGCAGTGTGGCAGATCTCCGTCCAAACACGGTATAACGATTATCAATTTAATTTTCTAAAATAGGCACTTCTAAATTCATAATGACTACACTCATCTTACCAAGTTACTGTGACCCCAGAGGCTGAAACATTGACATTTTGACCTGTCCCCAGGGTGGCCTGTTTCCAACTTGTCACCACGCGCCTGTCCTAACCAGACTGTGTCCTGTCACCCTGTGCACCCAGGGTGGCCTCACCCTTCCATACAACGTGTGCAGCAGGGAGTGGCCAGTGCGGTCAGCCACACAGCAGCACCGATGGGCCTGCCCGCCTTTCCCAAACTTGAGGCTCTGTCCACCAAAAGCACGCTGATAGATCCTTCCATCTTCAGTTCTGCTAAATGGCATGCCATAATTCTCCAGCTGTGAAATACAAAAACAAACACCTAGCACCTGGAAGGAATCAAGACATTCATGGCGACTATACAGTAACAATTTCAACATAAGGCTGCGAACCCCAAACCAATATGTCCTATGAAAATCTCAACACTTCAGAAAAGAGAAAAACTTTGTCATTAAATGAACTGAATGGTTGACAATAGAAAGGGTCTCCCTGTTCCACCCACTCATACCCTTCTTTGGGCTGACCACATCTGCCTCAAAACCTCTCGTGTCAGAAACAGACCATGCGTGGACACTACCTCTACCACAGAAGCAGGGGCCTGCTCTGTCATGTAGTGGATGGCGTCCTGGTCCCCCAGCCAGTCGGAGCCCTTCACGGTGTCGTAGAAGTGCCACCTCCAGTTGTCCTCCTCCATGTTGCCCAGAGCAGCATTGATTCCTCCCTGCAAAGAGACAGCAACCTTACAAGCTACAAGGAGAGGCCCCAGTGGTATCTTCTAGGCTCACCCCAGAACTGGGTTCAGAAAAAACCAAATGCTTTCAACCTAACTGTCTGTAAGGGACCTGACTGCAGTAGGGGTACAGGACCTCCCTCAGCCTCAGTCCTCCCACCTAAGAAGGGACACGAAGCCCAACTCCAGAGCTATCTGGAGGGTTCACAATGCTCATCACTTCCCAACCTGGCACATAACAGGTACTCAACAAATCTGTCTGGGATCATTTTATGACAGAATGTTGCCAGTGGTATTTACAGGCATGTGTTACAGACAAGAAGTGCTCTGAACTCAGTCACAGAAAACGTCAGTACAGGGACAAGTGGAACGCACATTCTTCCTCTCCAGCTAAAACCGAGGAACTCCTCTCTTTCATAAGTAAAGGCATATCTTACATCCCTCTCTGTTTTCCAATTGTTCCTCAGTCACCAAGCAACCCACACTGGGACTCTTTCCCCATTTGGTGCTACTGGGCCTCCATTTCCCGTTATGTTTAATTACCAGGAGAAGAGTCACTAGCAGAGCCAGGGGCTCTGCGAAAGACATGCAGCAAATATTACCAAGTTACTTCTTTCTCCTCCAACCCCTCCAAATGTAAACCCAAACATAATCCTGATTAAAAAAAAAAAAAAATGTGAAGTACCGGCATACTAGCAGAATAGAGAAAAGAAAACCTTGTTTAAAATGACACAAAAATACTTGGCCTGGTGTACGCATAGATGCTGTTATTTTACTGCTATTATTATTAGTAAGAATCAGACCACAGACAGGCAGTCTTCTTGGAATCTCTACAAGTCAATTTTGATTTTTTTAAAGTCATCTCTACACCCCATGTGGGGCTCAAACTCTCAACTCCAAGTTCAAGAGTTCACACTCTACCAATGGAACCAGCCAGGCACCCCTGGAAGTACACTTTAGACTCTCCCAGGCCCCACCTGTCTTATCCTTCCCCCAACTAAACTTATTTTCTCTAGAACCAGCATTCAAGTTAAGCTATCCATTTCTTACTCTTTCTATTGTATCAATATTGCATTATCTGAACCTTGTATTATTTTGCATTATTTATAATTATGTTTACATCTACTTTTTCCTTTAGACAATGTATTCTCCAAAGGTATAAATTATTTATTTTTTAGTTTACAAAAACAGTTTCAGAACAAAATAACTAAGTGCCTGAAGAACACTGCTGGATACTGGATACAGGGCTACAGCAGTAATCAGGGTAGATTTATTGGTTCCTGGAAAGTCACCACATACTCTGCTATCTCTATTAGGAAAAGTGTTCCAAATCCTGGAAAAAAACAATCCAGTAGGATTTTGGAATGCCCAACTAGGGTACTACCTACAGTGTGCCAAGAGAGAAAACTAAATTATAAAATCACCATACTTTTATCCTCTTCCTAAATTCTGAGCATGCAGACACCAGCATTCTTCTGTCCTACACAATCGTGCCATCAGCAAAGCTCATCACCATCATGGTTAATGAGGCCCACGCCGAGGATGCGGCAATAAACACAAGATTCAGGGAAAACAGAAGTCCAGAGACAAGCTCATTTCAGATTGGGGAAGTACACTGAAGACAAACCACAATGTGGGCAGGGGGCTGAGTGGGTGCTCAGAGAAGACCTGAGTGTAACTGGAGCAGAGAAGAGGTGAGAGGCTCCAGAGGGGCTCTAGCATGGGACTGGAGGCAGTACACGCACAGACACCCAAGGTGAGTGAGCTGACAGGGTGCAAGGAGCAAAAGGAGACAAATGTGGCTGTAGTGTTGTGGGAAGGAGGCTTGTGGCAGGAGACTGCGCCCTGCTGTGCAGGTGCCAAACTACTAAGGGAGTGCCCCTTTCTCTTACCTGGGCGGCAACGGTGTGTGATCTGGTGGGAAAGAGCTTTGTGACGCAGGCCGTGTTAAACCCAGCCTCCGAAAGGCCAAATGCAGCTCGCAAGCCCGCCCCTCCAGCGCCTACCACCACTGCATCAAATTCATGGTCCACCACTGGGTACTGCGTAGAGATCTGGAAAGGAACAATTCACCTGTCAGCCAGGGACTATGGGTGCAGCGGCAGAGTTCAGGCACAACGGAAAGAGGCACAAAAGAGCATCTGCGGCAAACAGGGGCCTCCACCCCGCGTATGTGGTGAGGGCAGCCCACCCCAACAGGCCTGCCAAAGAGACCACACTCATCCCGGCACCTGGGAAGCCCCCCAAGAGCTGAAATGCTGAAGAGGTACAGCCTCAAAGCAAGGGACTGCAGAAGCAAGGGAAAGCAACAATACGAATCAAAATACTAGTCCTAAATATGATTTTTCTATTCAATTATCCTCTTTATCTTTTTATATTTGTAGAAATATATACATACATATGCTTCTGAGAATCTAAGATAACACGGTGGAGATTGTGATTCTCCTAACCAATAATCAGCAAGTTTCTTGTGACCATGTTAATATGGTGTTTCATTCAGGTAAGCATATTTCCAGTCCATCTGGGCGACCACCTCTGCACGGAGGAATGGAACCCTGAGTTTGACTGAGAAGGTACCACCAGCATTCAGTAACTACTGTGAGCTTATGAGAAAACAACCTGTGAACAAATTTTAGTGTCTTCAGCAGAGAATAAGATGGGACCGGTAAACACAGAGAGCCTACACTAGAGTGGCTTCACAGTTCTATGTCACTCGTCACAGTAAATAATGTTCATCTGTCATTTTCATTCTATTATTTTGTGTTTGATTGAAAGTTTACTCTGGTTTTAGATACCTACAAACTGCAAGCAAAAAGTGTTAACAACTATGCTTATATTTGTACAATTAAGTACTATATGCTAAAAATAATTTGAGCATCATTGGAATGAGAATTTTTTCCTTTCAATAAGAACTGTGTATTATTCCAATATACTGAAAACTGGTATAGATCGTTACTCCTCTAAGCCAATGATATCACCTATAAGGGAACAAAAAATTGTGAACTTACTGAATCTGAAACTTTAGCAGAGGACCTCTTATTCCCATCAACGGTGAAGTGAAAACTGCGGGTGCCTGTCTGCCATGCCGCCGGCCACTGCTGAGACACAGATGGAGAGCACTAAGTGTCTTAAACAGGGACTAGTGAACATAATTTCCCCTTAAGTTGTCAACCTCTTCAAGTACCCAGGTGCTCCCCGTTCACCTAGAAAGCTCAGCTGGGGTTAAGTAGAGGTACTTAACCCTGAAGGCTAGGGAAGGGCTAAAGACTTGGCACCCCAGGAAAATCCCTTTAGGATGAAGCCTGTTTCCAAACAGGACACTCACAGACTCAGACAGGAGAAGGCATAATTTCATGTTAATTTCTTAACTTAGAATTTTTTTTAAAAGATGTTATTTATTTGTTTGACAGAGAGAGAGAGAGAGAGAGAGAGAGAGAGAGGGAGGCACAATCAGGGGGAGGGGCAAAGGTAAAGGGAGAAGCAGACTCCCCATTGAGCAGGGAGCCCGATGTAGAGCTTGATCCCAGGACCCCAGGATCATGACCTGAGCCCCCACATGCAACCCTGAATTTATGATTCTTAGTGGAGAATGGGAAAGATTTACATTTTGCGAAAGTGGTAGTTTGCAAACAATGAAGCACTTTTACGGGATCCATCCTCTTCACCCTAGAGCACCACATGTCTGCAAGGTTTTGTGCTTCACTTAGAAAAGCACTGGACAGTGTAGTGGGAGATCCGTTTTCTAGAAGAGGCTCTATTGCTTGTTGTGACGCCTAGGCACCAGTGGGATCATCCCTCCACTGTTAATGTGAGGACTCCAGGCCCAGAGGTGATCACAGATCTGCTTTACCACTCTCCACATCTGTTCTGGGCTTTAGGCACATCCTCTCTCGTCTGTCATACTCCACGGTGCTGTTCCCTCTGTCTGGACACTTGCCTCTGGCCTTTCCCTGGCTAACTTCTACAACTCTCCCAAGTTTTGGCTTAAATGTCCCACTCTATAAACACTTATTCAAGAAAACTGGTATTAATGAAATCACAGTCCAGCATGAGGCCACACTCTTCATATGTGAACCAACTTATGAGGCATGTCTTTCCATTCTGCTGACTGCATTTTAGAGAACGGTTAAAATGAAATCTTAGTAATCTCACAAAGAAGTACATTTAACAATGACTAAAGACGATATAGATAGAGATAGCTTGTAGAGATAACTACAAGTATTCTGCATTCGGGAGACACATTATTTATTGGGTAAAAAAAATTATTCTGTAGGACAGACAAGCAGGGAATACAGGAAGAATATGGCAAAATACAAAATGAATTCTGTGCAGTTTTGAACTGAAGGACTTCTTTCTAAGATTAATGGACTTAGAATGCTGGACGGCTTGGCCACTTGCAAGTCACAGGTGGCTCCGACCTCTAGGTTTCTTCTAGCTCTGAGATGAAACGATGGCTGTCACAAATAGTTGACTTTATGCTGATAGCTCCAATTACAAAGAAGTTTCTTGGATTTCTAAGTAGATCTTAACTGACAAAAGCAATATTCTTAAATTCTTCAATTTCAACTTTAAATATATTTGTTTTTATCAACATAAGCCAATTTTTCCCCAGAAAATGAATCTAAAAACTAAAAAGAATATTCTTCTGTTTTAGTATAATTTTAAAATTGGTAAAATCATATCTTAAACAAGTCAGAGAATTTTAATACAAATGTTCTTGAAAATTTTACAAAGTACAGTATAAACGTATTAGCTTCAAAAAGAACAGTATATTTTGCAATACCAAACTGAAATTAAAATAGAAACTATGAGTCCATCCCCATGTCCCCACCATACCGCCAAAGGAGAGGGGAGGCAAGGCCATGAGTGCAGAGCACCCTGTCCCGCCTCATGTCCCTCAGGAGACCCACCGGCCCCACAGCAAATCTCTGAGTAATGAAGAAAACTAGATACTGTTTGCAAAATGCAACAATCCAAATGGCCATGGGCACAATTATAAAGTTGTGGTGACGGTGCGGGGAGACTGGTCCTGTTAACAGGAATGGTTACAAATTTGATCTCAAATAGTATATGGAGGAGGCAATTATGAAGGCCTTTGATCATAAGAATCTGGATGGGCCATACTTTGCAGATGTAAGCACAACACAAAAAGTAGCTGTATACATCTAGGAAAACCTCCAGAAATTTCTTCCTCTGGGCATTCTTCATAAAGTAAAAGTATATGAAACTGACAATAATATTGTCATCTACACAGAAAAAAATACCTTTTAGGGGCTAATACTATAGAAAGATTAATTTTTGGATAAGGTCTTTAAAAAAAAAGATTTATCTGAGAGAGGAAGAGTGTGCATGAGTTGGGAGCCTCATGTGGGGATTAATCTCAGGACCCTGAGATCATGATCTGAGCTGAAACCAAGAGTTAGATGCTTGACCAACTGAGCCACCCAGGCACCCATTTATCCCCTTGGACTATCAAAGAGTCATCACATAACTATTATATCTCCACATTATCATCTGGAGTGCCGGATGGATTGAAATCATTGTATGTAAGACCTGTTGTGAATTCAAATCTATTTTAGAACCAAACGTGCAAAAACATCCTATTGTTTAGAGTCTTTTATCTACAGATTAAAAATCACTTCATTTTCAGTAAAATGTGATGTGAAATTTAAAGGCAAAATAAATCAATTTTTGTATTTCCATTCTTTTATTTTCAGTATTCATTTCTTTCCTGGTATAATATGAAAGGCAAAGATGTTTATAAGACTTAAAGTATGTGAAACATAAAAAAAATACATATGGGTGATTACACTGTCCAGAGACACAGACAACATACACTTCTTCCTTGATTACATCTTTTGTATTCTAAGGGCACAAGTTCATTTAATGAAAAATGAAATATAAATCACTTTGGGTGATGATGCACTGTAGGTGGATGTATGGAAACACTGCTTTAGTGCACTGTGTTCAGTGTACTTTTTGCAAAGCTTGTCCAACTATGAATTGCTAGTGAGGAATAGCACATTCGTTGAACATTGTTGGAGTATCAGTAAACTTATGGCCACCTGAACGATTTTAACTTGGAAAACTGAATAATCATATATATTAAATCCTATGAAAATAATCAACTTGAAAAAGATTTATTATACTGCAAAGCATCTTTTATATACAGGTTTTCCTAATTGAGCCCATTTTGTTCTGATCATTAAGCTTACCTGTTTCAGTTGAACTACAAAAAAATAAAATAAAAACAGTGAGACTGCCTAAGCATTTGTTTCTTCTTTCTAGGATGTTCATGTTGAATAAGGACACATATACACACATACACACACACGGCTAGCTTCAACAGTGGCAGCTATTGTCATGAAATCTTTTTTTTTACTTTTATTTATTTATGATAGTCAGAGAGAGAGAGAGAGAGAGAGAGAGAGAGAGGCAGAGACATAGGCAGAGGGAGAAGCAGGCTCCATGCACCGGGAGCCCGACGTGGGATTTGATCCCGGGTCTCCAGGATCGCGCCCTGGGCCAAAGGCAGGCACTAAACCGCTGCGCCACCCAGGGATCCCTATCATGAAATCTTTAACAAATTATCACACTCGCTGCAGAAAACAGAGTATTAGCTTTTCATCTAAATCTTACTTGAGCAATTTTAGAATTTGGAGAGCCCAGTAGTAACCCAATTTGTCTTTGATAAAACTCTTTTTGGGTCACTTATTAACATTTTAAAAAAAGATTTTTTATTCATTCATGAGAGACACAGAGAGAGAGAGGCAGAGACATAGGTAGAGGGAGAAGCAGGCTCCATGCAGGGAGCCCGACATGGGACTCGATCCCAGGACCCTGGGATCACGACCTGAGCCAAAGGCAGATGCTCAACCACTGAGCCATCCAGGCGCCCCACTTACGAACATTTTTTAAATTAAAGCTTCAAGCATTTTCCAACAGAACAACATAGAGAAGAATGAGGAAATCCACCTAAGAGGTAAAATTAAAGGAAACAGACCTTTTAATGGCAGGAAAGCACAGGTGAATGACAGTAAAAGGGAGAAAAAAGTGAAGAGAAGGGTGGAATCTAGCAAAGAGGACAGTCCTCATCTAGTAACAGGTATCTATGAATCATGAAAAGGAAACTGATCTACACACTCAGAAAAGCAGCCAATAAAGGATCTAAAAGTGGTTGCATGACTACACTGAAGGACCAAGGATGTGAGAAGATGGTTTGCGTGAACTAAATCCTCATTTAGCAGCACAAGTTGATGTCCGAAATGAAGAAAAATACACCTGCATATTAGCTAGAAAAATGTAGATAAACACCAGGGGAAATAACAGAAACAATTCAGAACTGATCCTACTGGGGAATAGACCTGGGGAAGGAGTGGGTCTTACTCCTTTTCATTTATAAAGTCTTCTGTACTCCTAGACTTTTTTCTTTCTTAAAAAACTCTGTGTAATTATTTTCATTAAAAATTTAAAGGTCTTTAAAATAGGGATGCTTAAAGTTCACAAGATTACCAAGCACAGCCTGGGAACTGTAGGCTATGGCTTGAGCAAGCACCCCCACACAGAGAAAGGGAAACTATCCTGGGTCTGGACTCAGGTCAGCCTGGCTGGCACCGGATTTTATACATTCCCCCTAGGTAAGGAGCCTCTGGAAAAATCTCTGCAACTCCAAAATAAGATGCATATCTAAGTTACATATCAAAACTAAACCACAAGCGAACCAGAAAGACATCACACAGAATGCAGAACTGAATGCCACCGCAGTATAATTACCCCAAGAAACAAAATGAAGTTACTACAATGGCCTAAATAATGCAATTCTAAATATACACCATTAAAACATATTCAAAATCATATATTTTAAGAAAAGAAACTGACTTATTCTAGAACAGTACTTTGGATATTCTCCTTAAAGAGTTTGAAAAATCTCATCTGAAGCAGTTAACCAGCAACTATTTATACTTTTCGTTTCAGTAAACTAGTTTACAACAGTCTGCAAATTATGTCAGTGCATTGGGGTAAATAAAAATGAAACAAAGGCAAAATAGGTTTGACAATTTTGCGACTTGAAAGCAGCTTTAAGTATAAAGTGACTTGGAAACATCATAGAATTGAACGAAATAAGATAAAGAAAAATTCTCCGTGGATTTTATTCAAATTATCCTCATCATGTACTCTCTATGCTGCATTTCTCAGTCAGGGATCATTTCTTTTTTTTTTGTTCTGCTAATTTAACGCTTATGTTTTTGCCAACCCTAAATTCCACTAAATATACTGCTTGGGACTGCAAAAGCTATCTTCATCAAGATATAAAGACTTTAAGACCAAAGGCATCTTCTAGGAGGCCTAAGTGGCGGCTCAATTTTGCTACTGGTCCATGGCCATCAGGTTCACTGGTGTGTGAACACAGGGTTGCAGGGAAGATTCAAGGAGATAACGGAGGGAAAGGGCCGGCTGCTAACAGCCTTGTCGACCAAGATCCCTGGGAAGTCAGGCCAGCACAGGAGAGGCTTACACACCCTGACCTGCTGTGCTAACAGCTCATCGCCAGAATTCTTTCTGCCCAGATTAAAGGACAAGGTTTTCATAAATCCACAAAAGGAGCTCCACCGGCCTGAGGGTCGCAGTCTGCACAAGGACGGAAACACCAGGCGGGGGATGACTGTGGACAGACCTATCTGGTTTGTCCCCAAACACACCCGTCAGTCTCTTCACCTGACAGGTAGGAGCACCTGCAAGTCTGCTTAGGGACAGCTGACCGCGATGACCCCCACCGGCCGCGGACTCTGCACCCTCCAGCCACAGCAACTCGTGAAAGCCTGTAAACTGTCCTCCGGCGCTGGCGGGATGGCTGACCCTCCTCACATGAACTGGTAAGACCTCTATTTCAGGACGGACAGAACTGCAGGGCAGGACAGGACCCTCACCCCGTAATCACTAGTCGGGGAGGTGGGCCGTGTTCGGGGGCCTCCAGGGCTCGGGCCGGCAGGCCCCCGACGGTCACCACGCCTGCCCACCGCGGCTGCCCGGGGTCCGCGCACGCCCGGCACCCCCCGGCCGCCTCCACCGACACCGCACCCACTGCCCGGTGCCCACACGCCGCAGCGCCGGTCGAGGGCGGACCTTCTCGTCGGATTTCCTAGAAGCACGGAGGGCCCAGGACGGAGGCCCTACACGTACCGCCCAGTCCACGCTTTCCCCGGAGGGGCTCGGTTAGCGAACAGCCGCCAACCAAGGCCCAGGGCGGGTGTCGGGCGAGCTCACCTCCCCCGCCCCGCCGCCGCTACCTGAGGCCCCAGGGCGCTTCTGGATTCCAAGGCCCCGGGGCACCCCCGGGCCGCCACCTGTCCGAGCGACCGAAGCCCGCGAGGCCCCCGGCCCCCAGGCCTGGATCCCAGGCAGCGGAAGCGTCCCCGGGGCGGCACGCGGGGTCATGACCTTCACAGGGACGCAGACCCGCGGGCTTCTGGAAACTGCCCGCTGCCCTGCGGGTCGCCCCACCCCTCCGGCGACCTCCTCCCCGCACCCGCCCGCAGACCCTCCCCAGGCAGGGGCCCTGCGGGCGGGGCGGGGCACGGCACTCGCGTCCGCTCGGGCCCGCGGAGACCGTCCTGCGCCCCCCTCGATCCCCGCACCCTGCCCGCTCCGCGCCGAAGACTCACTGCTCTGGTCAGCGCCAGGCGCCGGGCGCCCAGCAGCCGAGACACCGCCCGGACCCCCGACATGTCTGTCCTCCACCGCGCTGTCCCACCAACCCCCGCGCCACACTGCGCCTGCGCATCTAGTCGCGCCCCACCTAGGACGCGGGGACACCGCGCCTGCGCACCACGCCGCGACCCCGCGGTGGGGGCATCGCGCCTGCGCACAGGGTCCGCAGACCGTGCCGCTGAGGGCATCCGGGGCCGAGCGCTCCCCTCCCGGGGGTGAGTCGGGGGCCGGGCGGGGTTCGGTGGGGGGCCAGGGGTAGGTCAGGGCCTAGGGAAAAGTCGGGCGGACTAGGGGTGGGTCCGGGGTCGGAGTAGGTCAGGGCGCCGGGCGGGGTTCGGGGGTCCGGGCGGGCGCTCCGGTCCACCCTGCGGGGCCCGCGGCGGTGGAGACGGGCGGGTGACTCGGTGAGGGTCGGCGACCGGGGCTCGTGCTCCCTGACGCGCGCGATCTCGCCTCTGGTCCACCGAGCGTTTTTCCTTTGGGGCGTGTTTATGTAAGGTACCCGGATTCTTTTGTGGGACTGAGTGGCATGGGGAAGAAACCAGTAGTTTTAAGTACCGTATTCACTTTCCTGTGTTTCGTGTTGTATTATTACGATCTTTCTCCTAATCCTCCTAATCCAGTGCTATGCAGCTTATAGGTGCACAGTTGTGTGCAATATAATCTTAGAATTATTTTATTGAGTTAGTTTGTGGCAATCCATCCACTCCTATTTTATTGATGTTTAGGTGGTTTCCAGATCTTTGCCAATACTAAAGAAGCCTGTGAAGACTCTAACCACGTATAATTTGTCTTTATTTACGATTAGGTTGCTTTTCTTGGAATTGTATGTTTCCCAGGCCCAGTGTCCTCCAAGTGGACTTTACTGGCTTGGAGGAAATGAGCACTCTTCTTTGCAGACTTACGTTGAGAGGTTTGCAGTTGAGTACTTTCAGATGACTAATTTTTTATTGTCTAGTTACCACAAACTGCTTAACGTAATGTTTTTGGCATTTGTTGCCAATTCAAATTTTCTACTTTTAGATGTTAAGGGTTTACTGAAAGCCCCATTTCAATATTTCAAAACCCCATAACATCTTTCAAAATTGCACTGGTTTCCTTTTTTGTTATGTAAGCCTTGATTATTTCCTTTCTAATTAGTGTGTATTATTTGTGGCCCGCACGCAGAAATAAGCTGAAAGTCTCATCGCTCCGTTTTGTGAAAATGCCCAACCTACTGTAGGTATTCAGTAAATTGGGAAATCCATGTTAACAGTGACCCCAGCCTGGTTGCCAGGACACAGCCGGAGCTTTAAGCAGGAGCATCTGTAATTGTGTTCATGCCACCAAGGTCAGGAGGCATGAGAGCCTTCCTAGCACCATCCACATCTCCCTGACACACCGCTGTGCCTTGACCTCTCCAAGTCAGCACCACTGCCTGAAGCAGCCAGTGCTTTCTGCCTTCCTATTTACATATCTTTATATACAACTGTACTTCAAAGATTGTTTATATTGGACATTTTAACTTACTTTACTTGTATTTCACGTATTTGAGACCTGTTTCTCTCCCCAGCTGTGTCATGAGTGGCAATTGTGTGAGGCCTTGTTTTTTTTTATTCCTCCTCCTTTTAATCCCCTAAGGCGCAGTACTATGCAGCTTATAGGTAGAACTGAACAGAGTAGATGATACAATTGTGACAGATGCATTTTATTCCTTTTATATGGTTAATGGCTTTATTATTTACTTCAAGGTATATCTCCATGAATAACTTAAATGACCCCCCAAATTGGAATATCCGGCCTAATTCCAGGGCTGATGGGGGTGATGGAAGCAGATGGAATTATGCCCTGTTGGTTCCAATGCTGGGATTGGCTGCTTTTCGTAAGTCATGGTTTTCCTGACATTTGCATCTTGGGGCTAGAAGTGTGAATCTTAAAGATCTTGGGCTTTGGACCCTGGCAGGTGCAAGTGTACATCCTGCTATTATCCCATACAATGAGTCCGAGGCAAATTAATGCCCTGGGCCTCGGTCTCCCTATCCATGGAATCATTGTGAGGGCTAAATAACACAAGAGGCTCCGTGTGGAGTGGGTTTTCATCACTGTTAGCTTCCATTCCAGACTTCACTGCTTGGAAGGGGGCTCTCTTGGTTCAGTTGCCCTCATAAGGACTGACCGGGAATAATAAAATAGGTGTAAAAGAAAACAACAACAATAAAAAAGGGACGCCTGGGTGGCTCACCAGTTGAGCATCTGTCTGCCTTTGGCTCAGGGTGTGATCCTGGGGTCCTGGGATCTAGTCCCACATCAGGCTCCCTGCATGGAGCCTGCTCTCCCTCTGCCTACGTCTCTGCCTCTCTCTCTGTGTTTCTCAGGAATAAATAAAGAAAAAAGAAAACCAGTTTGGTCATCTGTTTCATGTTTAGGGAATCAGTGTGAAAATCTCTGCTCAGTCTGGCCAGATTCTCTAATTTGAACTGATTTTGGGGAAGTCTAGTTTGAATATCACTTTGGGGAAATTACCAGTTACTGGTCAGTTATAATTATTCTAGCCTTTAGCTTTTATTTTCTACTACATGATAGTTTTCTGATATTTAGGAATTCGTATTATGTTTTATCATGTCCCACAGTTCTGGGTTGGCACTTAAGAATATGAGAAACCAACTAATTGGAAGAAAAGCATGAGCTCCTCTCTATTTGCAGTGATACTTCTATTCATTCATTCATTCATTCATTCATTCATGAGATACAGAGAGAGAGGCACAGACACAGGCAGAGGGAGAAGCAGGCTCCATGCTGGGAGCCTGACGCAGGACTCCATCCTGGATCTCCAGGATCGTGCCCTGGACTGAAGGCGGCGCTAAACCACTGAGGCCACCCAGGCTGCCCTGCAGTGATACTTTTAATGGAGAGAGAGCATCTCAAGCAAAGTCCCCGCTGAGGCAGAGCCTCACACAGGGCTCGATCTCATGACCCCAAGATCATGACTGGAGCCAAAGCTAAGAGCCATACAGGCACCCCTTGGCAGTATAATTTCTGAACTATGTAGTAAAACGTTTTTGGAGAATCTTTATAAGAATGAAAAGTTAAAAGTTTTCTGTAATGCTACCTAAGCAAGACAATAAAGAAGAAAATACAAACTATTCCTTGACCCTTTTCTGGGACAGAAACAACATTTCAAAAGTCCAAGAAGGCAAGAACCTCAAATAGTAAAGGTTGTTATGCAAGGCTATAAAAGCTAGAGTCTGGAAAACAAAGGGAACATGAGAGTCGCTCCAGGGCCTGTCCCAGCCTCAAAACTAATTAATCGTTGTTAGTGTAATTTAATGTTAAGCCTTCTAAGTCACTCATCGAATTCATCATCCTAGCCACAGGCAACAGGTAGTGGTTCCAAAGGTTGGGAGAATTTGCAAGGTGGCAGGCTGGTGAGCTTCTAAGTGGCAACACCCTTAGGGCTGGGTTTGGATCTGCCCAGTTCCTGGCCTAGGAGCAGGCACTGTGCAGATCACCGAATCGCAAAAACCACCTGCTCCTGTCAGTCTCCATGGGAGTCGATGTTTAGTTTTTTAAGAAAGTGCCAAAATGTTTTCCCGGGTGGCAATACCATTTTGCATCCTTATCAGCAGTATGTGAGTGATCCAGTTTCTTGGCATCCTTACCAGCATTTGGTGAGGTCACTGTTTTATTTTTATGCCTTTGTGGGTTTAATTTGCATTTCCGTGATGGCTAATAATGTTGAGCATCCTTTCACATTCTTATTTGCCATTGGTATAGCCTCTTCTGCGAAATGTCTCTTTCTTTCTGTTTTTGTATTGTTTTGAGAGTTTTTACTATATTCTGGATTCTAGTATTTTGCAGGATTTCCGGTTTGCCAGTATCTTCTTCCACTCAGTAACTTGTTTTTCCGTTCTCTAAATGGGGACTTTTACAGAGCAAACTTTTTAATTTTGGTAAATTTGGTCTTTTGATTTTTTCTTTGATGGATCATGCTTTTCTTCCAGAGTGCTCATCACCTAGCCTTAGATCTCAAAGATTCTGTCTCACGTTGTTTCTTGAAAGTTTAGTTTTATATTTTATGTGTAAGTCCATGATCCATTTTGAATTAATCTTTTTTTTTTAGTATAACATATGACACTTAAGTTTTCTTTCTTCTTTTCCAATCTGTTTGTCTTTATTTCCTTTTCTTACTTTCTTGCACTGGCTAACACTTCTAGGCCTCCACTGAGAAGTTCCCATTTTCTTTTTTTTTTTTTTTAATTTTTTTTTTTTTTTTTTTATGATAGTCACACACACAGAGAGAGAGAGAGAGGCAGAGACACAGGCAGAGGGAGAAGCAGGCTCCATGCACCGGGAGCCCAACGTGGGATTCAATCCCAAGTCTCCAGGATCGCTAAACCACTGCGCCATCCAGGAATCCCAAAGTTCCCATTTTCTAGGAAGAGCGTTTGATCTTCAGGGGCCATGTTAGCTATGGGTTTTCATAGCTGTTCTTTATCAAGGCAAGGAAGCTTCTCAGTTTTTTCTTTTCTTTCTTTTTTTTTTTTTTTTTTTTTTTTAGATTTTATTTATTTATTTGGTAGGGGGAGCACAAGCAAAGGGAATGTCAAACAGAGGGAGAGGGAGAAGCTGGCTCCGCTGAGCAGAGAACCTGATGTGAGGCTCAATCCCAAGACCCTGGGACCACAACCTGAGCCAAAGGCAGATGCTTAACTGACTGAGCCACCCAGGCGTCCCAGTTTTTATTTTCTTTTTGAGTTTTTATCACCTATAGGTGTTGACTTTTGTCAGATGTTTTTCTGTATCAGTTGATGGGATCATGTGATTTTTCTTTTTCATACTATTCATATGTTGGTTTACATTGATTTTTGAATATTGAACCAGTCTCACATTTTATAAGTAATCTCTACTTTGGAGTGGGGGGACACCTGGGTGGCTCAGTCGATTAAATGTCCGACTCTTGGTTTCAGCTCAGGTCATACATGTTCTCATGGGTCTTGCTTGGGATCCAGCCCTTTGTCAGGCTGTGTGCTCAGCAGGGAGTCTGCTTGAAGAGTCTCTCCCTCTGCCCTTCCTCCACTCATGTGCACTTGCTCACACTCTCTCTCAAATAAATAAGCCTTTTTTTTAAGATGTATTTATTTATTTATGAGATAGAGAGACAGATAGTGACAGCACAAGCAGGGAGGAGAGGGAGAAGCAGGCTCCCCCTCTAAGCAGGGAGCCTGATATGGGGCTCGATCCCAGGACCCCAGGATCATGACCTGAGACCAAGGTAGATGCTTAACCAACTTAACCACCCAGGCACCCCAGTAAATAAACCTTAAAAAACAAATCACTTTGTCCTGCCATATAATCTTTCTTATATATTATAGAATTACGTGCCAGTATTTTTTTAAATTTTTTTTTAAAGATTTTATTTATTTATTCATGAAAGACACAAAGAGAGAGAGGCAGAGACACAGAGACCAGGCAGAGGGAGAACCAGGCTCCACGCAGGGAGCCTGAGGCAGGACTCGATCCCGGGCCTCCAGGATCTTGCCCTGGGCCAAAGATGGCGCTAAACTGCTGAGCCACCCGAACTGCCCTAATTTTTTTTTTAAGGGAGTACAAGAGTGGGGGAGGGACTGAGGGAAAGGGTCAACCAGACTTGGTGCTGAGCACAGAGCCTGACACAGGGCTCAATCCCACAACCCCAAGACCATGACCTGAGCCAAAATCAAAGGTTGGATGCCTCAATCAAAAGAGCCACCCAGGTGCCCCCAAAATTTTACTTATTTTTCACATGGCAAATAGTGTCATAAATCACCTTTTAAAAAGACTGCACCAAAATAATACTTATATCAACTATATCCTAGGAAAATAAATAGCTTTAAAATATTTAACTTTCAAAAAGATAATAACAAAACGTACACAGATCTAGACAATCGGACCTCACCCACAGTAAGAAACGATAAGTACTATGGACACATTGAAAATACGTGTTAAGTATTAGGATGCTGACTGGATGCAGTGGAGGTGTTACATATTTCACGGTGCTTATTCTTGACAGAATTGTCTGAAGAATGACTTTAAAACTTTCTGAGTGGGGGATCCCTGGGTGGCGCAGCGGTTTGGCGCCTGCCTTTGGCCCAGGGCGCGATCCTGGAGACCCGGGATCGAATCCCACATTGGGCTTCCGGTGCATGGAGCCTGCTTCTCCCTCTGCCTGTGTCTCTGCCTCTCTCTCTCTCTCTCTCTGTGACTATCATAAATAAAATTTAAAAAAATTAAAAAAAAAATAAAACTTTCTGAGTGGCAGAAGACAGGACAGTTGGCCAGAAAGAAGCATGTCTTCGTTTCCTGGAACACTTCTTTTACAAATGCAGTCAATGAGTCCCAAAAGTTTAAGTACAGTGACATATCTGGTTTTAAATGAAATTCCCGGGAAGCTTTTTAAAAAGCTGTTCTGTATTTTCTACACTGAAGGATGGTTAGTGCTCCGCAAGCTGCACAGTTCTTTCATCCTTTAGTAGGAGGTTAACACTGGCCATTCCTACTAGAAATACTCTTTTTTGCCCAAAGTTTCACATAATGAGTAGGTCAGTGGAGGAAACAGCACCAATAAAAAGTTCACTAAGCCACCATCCCAGGCAGAGAGGAGAGGTGAGTTACTGGAACTACTTGGGTAAAAGAAACTCCCACTGTTATAATAACTTCAAGTCAATCTAACTTACTAATAATCCACTTTCATATGCTGCCCATTGAAGAAAAAACAGTAGATGGAATATAACTGATGTCAAAACAGGAGTTTGGTCCACATCCACCAGATATATAGCAGCCATTTTACTCAGGTCAGGAGAGGTTTTAGAAAGTATATCATCTAGCTGCAGACAGACAGGATCCTCATCTCTCCCAAACCTGGGGATCAACCCCTTCTCTGCGGTACTTTTTATTGCGTGGTCTACTTCTTTTTTGCTATTTAGCTTGGGCAACAGGAAGCTCATATTGAAATAATCCAAATATTAATCCTTGCTGTCAGTCTTCATTTGTACAGGTCACCTCTTGCTCTTCCACTTCAGCAGTGTCCGCGACCCTCCTGTCCAAAAAAGTCAGGACATCGGCCATGTGCCAGCATTTTGTTCAGGGGTTTTATGTCTTTGTTCGTATGGGGTTTGTTATGGGTTGTTTGCTCTTTGGAAGGATTCTATCTTCTCACACTTACTTCAGTATCATATTTTTTATGTCAGTTATATTTTTCGGTTCAAAATATTCATTTGCTCATTTTTATATCTCCTATCTCTGTGCTTAGACTTTGTATTATCATGCTTGCCTTAAACTCTTTGTCAGGTAACCCTAACATCTCTGTCCTCTCAGTATTGGCATCTACTTTTTAAATTCAATTTGAGATCTTTCTGGTTCTTGGTATGAAGAGTGATTTTCCATTGAAACCTGTGTATTTTGGGTATTATATCATGAGGCTGACCTTTTATTTGGACATTCGGCGGCTTCTTGGATAAGAAGACTCTGGCAGGGGAAGAGTGGTGCTGCTGCCTCGCTCCCAGGTGGGGATGGAAGTCCAGGCTCCCCACAAAGCCTCCTGTCCACAGGCACCCAGATGAAGGGTCCCCTCATTCCCAGTGGGCAGGTGTGGGAGCTGCAGCTCCTGCAGGGTCTTGCGGCTGGGAGAGGCAGGAGGGTCTTGTTACTGCTGCCCCGTTGGCCACCTCTGACACCACCCCAGGGGAGCAGGAGGGGCTCCCATCAGCCTTTGTCTGGCGGGTGGAATGGAACCTCAGTACCTCTGTAGCAGGAGTAGAGTGGTTATTATCAAAGCTCTGTCCTGCTAGGCCACCTCTCTAGCCCTTTGACCAGAGAGAGCAGGCTTGCACTATGGCTTTTTGAAGGGAAGACTTCACCGTTGGCATTTCAGCTCCAAGTCTGGGAGTGTGAGGCTGAACAAAACCCCGGGGACTCAGAATCATAGTGTTCTTTGGGTCCCAAGGTCCCTGGCCAGTCCACCCACGGTTCTCCACCTTTCAGAGCCCCATTGTGTTTGTTGTACTTATAGTGCAACAAACTGCTGAGCAGGCTTCCGACCCTGCTGAGCAGGAAGACTAGGAAAGTACTCTGTTCCATTCCCTCGAAAGCAGGAGGCTCTCCCCCCCCCCCCGCCCCGCCTTTGGAGACTAGGACTCTGAACACTTGTGTCTGCCTGGAGTCATAAGTTATGGTTCTCCAGGACCAGACCCGATGTAGGGTTTTTCCATTTTGCTTCCACACTTTCCTTTGCATACCTCCCTTGTCATCTCCCCTGCATGTGTCCCACCTCCTCCAGGAGGCCTTCCTGATTCAGTGCTAACCTACCCCAGATGCCCCGATAATTATAGCGTACCTCAGTTCTGTGTGTTCTGTGTTTCAGTTGTGGTTCTTTCATTAGATCATCCCTGGATTATGGCAACAGTGGCCTCCTGGCTCTGGTTCCCTCCGTGACCATCTGCCCCCTCCTGCCTCTCATCTTCCAGTTCTTATCAGAATCTTTGAGGACTTGTATTGTTCAGCACCTGCTGGCTTCCAGAGCCTGCTCTAGGTCCTCCTTGACAGAGCCCATCACTCCTGGAAGCAATCTGCTCAGAACATGTGATGCCCACTCAGGTCCCTGTTCATTCTGCAAGAGGAACCTTTCTATTTTTTTTTTAAGACTTATTTATTTATTTATTTGTGAGAGACACAGAGAGAGAGGCAGAGACACAGGCAGAGGGAGAAGCAGACTCCTCACAGGGAGCCCATTGCGGGACTCTATCCCAGGACCCCAGGATCACACCCTGAGCTGAAGGCAAACAGATGCTCAACCGCTAGGCACCCAGGTGTCCCCAGAGGGACCTTTCCTACCAGCTGCTCCTCATTTTTCCATACTGGTTCCCATTCAACTCTTTTGGGAACCCCTCCCAACTGCACCCCAGACTGAATTAGTCCTTCTTTCCTCCACTTCACACAAACCCCTCTGTGCTCATCAAATGATCTTGTAACTGCTGCTCTACTGGTCATCTCCCTTGCCTGTGAACTTGGGTGAAAGGAGGAGATAAAGATGCTATATGTTGGCAATAGGACTTAGTTGAGGAAGGAATGTGTTCGGTTTTATGCTTATAGAGTTGGGGTGGTAGCAGCACTTCCAGTGGAAATGACTTTCAGGAGTTTCAGGAGTATGGAAATACTGCCTTGGAGGTGGTTGGTGTCACGGGCCAGTGAAGATTCCCAAGGGACACAGGGTAAGAAGACCCAAATGGCAACGACACCACCTTGAATGTTGGGGATGGAATAGGAACCTCCCTGGCACTGGATTTCTCCATGCAGCAGAGGACAGCCTCCTCAGTTTGTCCCATGCTTGTGAGAGTCAAGTTTCCCTGGTTTGGGGAAAGGGAGCCAGACCATGTGGTGAAATTGAACATCTTACTCCACCTTATTTTTATGTACCCTAGTCAGAATAGAAGCGGGCATCTTGGACTTGGGCTACTTACTGGAGATGACCAGGCGAGTCTGAATGTACTTTGCAATCACTCAGTTCTGTAATCACCCACCAGTAATACAGGAAGCATAGCAGTATTGACCTTTAAACTTTGCCAATAGGACGTGGGGATGCTATGGCCAGAGTACACAGCCGTGGTGGGCTTGAGAGTGAAAGAAAGCCATGGGAGATTTTTTCAGCCATAGAAGAGGAGGCTGGAAGGGGAACTGCCAGCAACCTTGTCACACTTGTCTTTTGGGAGCCCGTATTTAATTTTAAGATAAGAATTTTGATGATCATATGGCTTTATACAAAATGTTATCTGTACCTTTCAAGGCTTAAGATTTTATTGAATTGCTGTCCTTAGGTGCTTTAGACTTTCAAAATAAAGATTATAGAACCTTAGCTCAGACTGCTTAAGTGTGTTTTTCCTCCCCAATTTATTTGTGTCAGGTTGGATATGGTCCAGGGAGTCCCAGAAAGAGATAGAAAAAGAGAGAGAAGCGTACCGTCAGAGAACAGTTGCTTTCCAGAAGGATCTAGAAGCCAAGTACCATGCTGTGATCTCAGAAAACCGGCGTGCGGTCGCTCACTTGTCTTTGGAACTTGAAAAGGAACAAAATAGAACGACCAGTTACCGAGAAGCCCTCATCTCTCAGGGGCGCAAATTGGTAGAAGAAAAGAAGCTTCTGGAACAGGAGCGGGCTCAGGTCATGCAAGAGAGGAGACAGTTGCAGCCCTTGAGAAGCGCATATCTGAGCTTTCTGGAAAAGGAAGATGACTGGCAAAGGAGGGCCAGGCTTGTGCTGAAAGAGTTTGAAGACGCGCTTACGGAGAGACAGAACATCTACTGCAGCCTGCTCCTGCCCCGGGGCAGGCGGCTGGAAATTGAGAAGAACTTACTGGTCCGAGCAGCCACTGACCCAGTTGCCACGGACCTGCAGATGGCAGCTGGCCTGACCGACATATTTAAGCACGACACGTACTGTGGCGACGTCTGGAATACCAACAAACGCCAGAACGGGAGACTCATGTGGCTGTATCTCAAATACTGGGAGCTAACTGTTGAGCTGAGGAAGTGTCAGAGAGTCGAGAAAGCCATCCTGGAGAAGTAGGGTAGGAGTGAAATACGTCTTCCGTGACGCATTGGCGTGTTCTCAGCTGCTTCTGCCACACGCACCCCCAAGTGTTCTTCCACTCTCACCCCCCGTCTGAGCGGGACACGGGGTCTCTTCCTGGCCCTCTTCAGCTACTAAGGATGCAGTTTCTCAGGAGGATATTTTTAAGCTGTAATATTTTATTAGGCTGAACTGTGTAACCTCGTATCTCTGTTGTAGGGTAAGATTGTTTTTAAGAAAGTCAAATACAGTATTGATCCTCACTGTACATTGTTTTCTGTCTGTTTTTATTACTCCCTAAATAAATTCTGTTTTCTCCTCAAATGTTTTCTCTCCTAGAATTATAAATAGAAGTTGTCAGGTGATGGATAGAACTGCCGAATGAAGACAAAATAGTAACATATCGAGGTTTCCTGCGGCCATGAGCATCCCTCGTATGTCTTTGGGATTTGGCTTGTGTCTGTATTTAGTAAGCACATATTATTTATTAGCAATGATATATAATAAAAAATACTTGCCATTTAAAAGCAACAATGCCACCTCTGTGTGTAATTCTTTACTCTTCATAAAATGTTTTTACATAGATTATCTCCATTTTACCACAAACTGATCAAAATGAGGCACTGGCCCATTTTTCACAAAGCTAATGTGAGTCAGCCTCTCACACATCACCCTTGTAATCCCAACCGTGGTTTTAGCAGTACATGAGAAGGATGTGTAGGAAAATCAGCAGAGGGTGGGGCGCCTGAGTGGCTCCACCTTCAGCTCGGGTCCCGATCCTGGGGTCCTAGGATTAAGCCCCATGTCAGGCTCCCTGCTCAGCGGGAGTCTGCTTCTCCCTCTGCCTCTGTGTGCTCACTTGCTGTCTCTCTCTCTCTCTCTGTCTCTCTCAAAATCTTAAAAAAAAAAAAAAAAAAAATCAGAGGGAAAGGTACATGGGGCCAAGTGAGGGGAGTAGGAATTGTCCCCCATTTGGAACCCCCAGAGACAGCCCAGTGTCTGTGGTGAGGACTGGACACATGGGTATCTTCTGCTGGGCATGCACCCAGGTTGCCGGTAAACCCTCAAACTGCACAAAATTTAGACATGTGGGCTGTGCTTACCGCCTAGTGGTAGGGACGTCCTCCCCAAATCCAGGTTCTGCTTCACAGCCAGGGGCCAGCCTCACAGCAGGCTTTCAGAGGGCCTGCAGCCTCCTCGCAAAGGTGAGGCAGCTGGCAGCGGGGTTGGGAGAGGCCGCACAGCTCCAGAGCTGCTGGTGACTTTGATGCACTTGCTTTGCAGCCTGCCTGTCTGTGGCAGCAACACAAACTCAGAAATTCCACTCTGACAAGACTCTTCCTATCTGATTGTCAGGAGAGCTGGATTTGGTGAGGGCTTCCTGCACACTTCTGGGTCTGCAGGGTTTGTGCTCACGTTTGGATTTTAGACTTGGGAACACTTGCAGAGACAAAGTGGCTTGGAGCTGCAGTGAGAGCCCCGTGGGGTTGAGCTTTTCCAGCTCTGCTCTTGGCCTCTGTGTGCTGCGCCAGCTTCATGCTTCTCTTCTCCAGCGGCTCCCAGTCTCCCCATTTGTGCTTTGCTGTCACCCACCCTGCCCCAGATCCAAACAAAAATAACTTCGGTAAATCTGAACTAAAAAGTCTGCCTGGCTATTTGTTGCCCAGTTGTGTCCATCGGTTCCTCCTACTGCACTGACTCTCCAGGTACCCTCGGATAAACTGCCTAATGCTTTCTCTTTGGTTTTACTTTAAGAGGAAAATTCAGGGGGCACCTGTGTGGTACAGTTGGTTAAGTGGCCGGCTCTTGGTTTCAGTTCAGGTCATGATCTCAGGGTTGCAGGATCAAGCCCCACCTTGGGGATTCTCTCTCCCTCCCTCTCTGCCCCTCCCCTCCCTACTCTCTCTAAAAAAATAAGTAAATCTTCTAAAAAATGAGGAAAATTCAGCTATTTAGTAGGTTATTTCAAGAAGAATTGTTAATCTTCACCATATTTTCTCATGTCCAGCATGCTATGAGCCAGCCTTCAGTAGCGTGGTAACTGTTCAGATCATCCAAGTCAGTTTAGACGCCAGTTTGATGCTCAAAATCAGACATTACCTACAGAAGATTATGTTGGACCATGTCTGTTTGCGCAGCACAGCTGCCTTTTGCTGGCAAATTTAATTGAGGGTTTGTTTGATGCCATCCATCTTTTTAACAGTGATTTTGTTGGGTTGGAAATGTTTACATGATGTCATGCCTGACGACTTCACAGATGAACCAAAAGATGTCTGGACTAAGTAACACTACAGTAGGACGTTTGGTGTGTGTGTAGGATTTATGGGGACTTGAGAGTCCAACATCTGTACAGGCTGCTTTCTGGAAGGTCTCAGGAAAACCTTGAGCCAGCAGGGCCAGGGCTGAGGCAAGGCCTGTCCTGTGTGTGCTGGAGTCAGGAGGACAGGGCATCTCCTGGCCTGTGGTTTTCGTGGATTTGGGGACACTGGGTGGGGGGGTTGTGGGGTTGGGGTTTGGTGGGGGTTGTGGTGACTTACACAGGAAGGGCTTTGAGGGGTTCAGCCTCTGCTTTCTAAGTGTACTTACTGTGAAAGTACCTGTTTCAGGGTGTTTTACTTGGAATAAAGTTGGAAGGCATGGGAATTGACTAGGATGTTCCACAAATAAAATAGGCAGTGACTCTGTAAACGAATCCCAGTTTGTTAAATATGCTTTCTCCCCCTCGTAAAAGTTCACAAATGCAGATAAGAAATGTATATTTCTTGTGTGTGTGTGTGTGTATCATGCGCATATGGACCGACATTTCATGATGACAAAGTAACCCTGAAAACATCGCACTGATGATGGGCATTGTGATGGGAAGGGACTTCACCAAAGAACCTGTGTGTGTCTGAGAAGGGAAGTTATGGGCCCCTGGGGGGCTCAGGTCATGATCTCGGGTCCTGGGATCGAGTCCCGTGTCGGGCTCCCTGCTCAGCAGGGCGTCTGCTTCTCCCTTCCTTCCCTCGCGTCCTCTCTCTCTCTGTCAAATAAATAAAACCTCTAAAAAAAAGAATGAAAAGAGAAGTCATGTCTAATTAAACTAGAACAGTATTTCTGTGTGGGATTGTTCAAAGGTGTGCTGAAGTGTTCACAATCCTCTGAAAGGAGAGGGAGGGAAAGGCTGTCTCACTGCGTCCGCTGTCTCCCTCTCCCCTCCTGAGAGCCAGTCTGCAGTCAGGACTCGGGAACTGGGGAAGGTTCATGTGCTCGCTCGGGGGTCTTGTGACAGACCATAGGGGACCCCACCCAGCTCAGAGGCCATGCTGGGCCCTGCAGGCAGAAAGCTGGAGCCAGGGAGGCCACAGAGACAGCCCCGCACCTCCTGGGTGCCGCCCTAGCCCTAGGAGCCAGACGCAAGCTGCTGCTCTCTTCCAGCAGCGACAGGCTCAGCTGCTCCGTTTCTCTGCAGTGGGACTCTGGCTGCAGCAACAGAGATGGATTCGAGCTGCCCGACAGCGACGAGGGGGGTTTACTTGGGGCATCGTGGCTCCTCAGGTTCCCTCCTCAGAGAGGACCCAGAAATGGCCAACAAGTGTCAGGAGCCTGGGGCAGGGGTCTCTGCCTCACGTGTGCACATCTGCGTTAACCTTCCTCCTCCTGGCTCTTCTGAGTTTGCGTCTTACCTGTTCCATTCCCCTGTGTGGCAGTTTGGGAACCAGTGGCATCTACGCTGCTGTGACATTCAGATGGAGAGGGTGCGGGGAAATGAGGTGTGTGGCTTTTGTCAACCCTGCAGGAAATCTTGAAAAAGAAAATGAGGCTTCGAGAGCCAAGCATTGGCTGCCATTGGGGCAGCTCTTGCAGAAATCTGCCTCTGCGGACCTTCTGGCAAGTCAGGGTCCCGTCGGTGCAGACAGACCACAGGGAAGTGGCGAGTTTCGAGCCCCCCCCCCCCCCCCGCCCCGCACGCCTTCACTGCGCCACAGCCAGTGGCTGCAACACTGCATGCTGCCAGGACCTGGGCCTCGTGGGGCGTGGTTCTGAGGGGGTGTCCCTGTGTGTGATGTCCTGGCGGGACACTGGCTCCTTGCGGGTGGCCTGTCGTCAGTGGAGAGGAGAGCCAGGCTGCCTGGACCCGAGGCGCAGAAGCTCATGGACGCCTGGACGGGGTTGTCGAAGGCATTTATCACATGAGGGCAGATGCTGCTGCCCCCACATGAAAGGGGCTTTGCCCACAGCCAGGGCTGAGTGGCATAGGTGATGCCCCGGTTTTGGGCCCCAGGCTGATGGGATTCAGGACGGGCAGCAGCAGGTGGGTGGAATCACTATGATGAGCATCGAGACCCAGGTGAGAGCTGCAGCATCTCCACCCATAGGGAGGAGCTGCAGCATCTCCACCCATAGGGAGCTGCCCAGGGGCCCCAGCGATAGAGAATTGGGACCCTGTGGTCCAGTGGGCGACAGCTCCTCAGGGTGCTGCTCAATCTATGTAACGACAAAGAAAAGGAGAGCACCCGTGACCATAAGAGCCACAGGCCCCCGTCTCCAGGACTTCAGGCCACATCCGTGGCACAGAGGGTCCCCCTAGTCTGGGACATAAAGCTGTGTAATAAGCCCCTGAATCTGTTCTCCCCCTTTGCCAGGATGGGCAGCGGAAGGAGTGCTGGCTTCCCGGAGGAGGTGTGATGATTAATCCACCACACAGGACTTGGGGGACGCAGAGCCCATGCCCTTGGTGTTTTGGAAGGTGGTTGCCCAGTGTCTGTCGGTGTCCGCACCCTGCCCCATTCCATTCAGCTGTCGGGGCTCTGGGGAGACCAGTGGGACAGGGGGCTGCTAGGCCCGGAGCTGCTGTGGTGACTTCCCACCCTGTCGGCACCTGCCATCTGCCCATCTCTGCCTATGGGTGAGTATCCCTGTCCCTACGGTTTGTGTCAGACCCAGGCCTTCGCAGCATGAAAGCACAGGACGTGCCTGGGTCCTGGCAGATCCCTGGGGCTGGCAGGCATTGTCAGAACCTCTGAATCCTAGGCTGTGTGGGCACAGCCAAAACCCATCATGGCCGGAAACAGTCCTTCAGGGTTGGGGCCCAGCAGATCCACAGGATTGGGGAAATGATAGGCAGCAGGTTGGCACGGGAGGCATGGGTTCTGCTGGGGCCGCTCCAGAGGCTGCAGAATTGCTCCAAATGTGCCTCCACAGCCTCCTTGGCTTTTATGGGGGGCCATTCCCAGGGGTGGGGCTGTTGGGAACATTCATGACCCGCAGACACCTGCGCGCCCACCTCCTGCCTCAGTGACCGCAGGTGCCTGGCTCAGCCGCGTGCATTCCGGAGTCCTCTCCCATGGGCCACAAACAGCTGAAATCACTCCACTCTTTAGAGTTAGAATCAGATCATCACATAATTTTTCCCTGTACCTAATCTACTCTCTTTCCAGAGCTTCTTGCAAGGGAAACTCCCATGCCTGAGATAGGGTTCGGAGACTTTGGCAGCAGGATGGGTCTGCGGGATGGCAGAGTGTGGGCAGGGCAGTGGGAGAAGTGGCTCAGAGAGAAGATCTGAGGGGCAGGATGGTCACATGTCACCTTTTCCCTCCTGCCCACTTTCTGGGTGTCCCTCTTTCCTGAAAGACCCAGGAGGAACATTATTGCCTTCCCCAGGAAGCAGAGTCCTGACACAGCGGTCACTTTGGGGGTGGACACCCGAGGCAGCCCCACTAGGTTGTGGGGAGAAACACATGAACAGACCTGAGTGGGTGGAACATGGGGGGTATAGACATACCTGAGGGGGCCTGGGGGGTGCAGACATACCTGGGGGGCATGAAGGGTAGAGACATACCTGAGGGGGGCATGGATACCTGGGTGAGGACTCTGGGGGGCAGGGAGGGCCCCAGAGCTGGGTGGAGGGCAGCCCCTCCCACAGAATGAGTTAAGCCCACATTGAGCACTTGGGGTTCTAGTTTGAGGTCAGGCCCATTGAAGGCTAGCCTCTATCTTGATAACTTCGTTCATTTTCATACATGTAGATATTTTTTAAAATGCCTAACTGCACTGAAATTAAAGCCAGGTCTGAGGAAGGCACACTGCTGTGTATTCGTACATAATCATCCACACTCAGCCTCTGCTGGAATCAGCTCTTGGAAGAAACCAAGGGCAAACGTCGTTAAGCACATTTGCACCTGGACTCGGTGGCACAGAGGAGCTGCCCCGGCCTAAGCAGAGGCTCCTCTGGCGTCAGCATCCAAAGGGAGGTAGGAAACCGGAGCGGTGATGGGGTTGTCCCAGGCAGGGCTTTCCACAGTGGCAGAGGCCCAGGAAGCCATTCTGCATCCTGGTCCTTGGGCTCAAGCCATTAACCACCCCCTGTTCCATGCCGGGCAGGAGCTCATGAATAGGCAAACCCAAGTCGGCCCTGTGGACAACCCAGATGTGGCACAGGGCCTGTGTTGTGTGACAGGTTGTTCATGTCCTCTCCACCCTGGCCGGACGTCTGAGCTCCCCCTCGTTGCTCCCAGCCCGCCCAGCCCCGCTCCACTGTGCGGAGGCGCCTGGAGTGGCCTCTGCTGGAACCAGGGTTTCCTCTCACCTGGGCTTAGCTGATGCCACATACGAGCTTCAGCAAGAGATGCTTTAACGGATGGTAGCGGGGAGCCGGTGGCCAAGACTGCCCATGCGGGCTGTCCAGGCTCCGGCACAGCCGAGCTGCAAGTCCCCCCCCCCCCCCCCCGGTCTGCTCAAGGGCCTACTCCATTTGTTCCAGTGCTCTGGAGAAGTTCTCTAGAGCAGCTTTGAAAGCTCGCAGCAGGAAAGCTCCAAGTTCGTTGCTTGTTTCTTGGATATCTGGGTCGAAACTTCCGAAGAGGGGCGTGCACACCTGGATGTCGCCCCGACCAGCCCGAAGCAGCACTGCACGGAGGTCCTCAGCAATCGCGTCATATTTCTGCTGGTCGAACTTGGACATGGCTAGGTCGTCCTGGGGGTAGGCAGTACCCTCAGGGTAGCAGTCCTTGGGCACTGGGAACTCTGCACGCCGCAGTTTGGGCAGCTCACAGAGAGCCACGAAGAGGCGCCTCAGGGCCCGGGCCGACAGGGGGTTCCCCAGGAAGCGGAGCTCGCACAGCTCATGGCAGGGGCTCAGGGCCAGGATCAGCATGCTCACATGGCTGTCTTCGATGTCGCATTCCTCCATGGTGAGGACCCGCAGTGTCTGGGCGGCCCAGCCCAGCAGCCGGAAGAAGGTGGAGGGGAACAGGCTGAACAGGCTGTGCCCACTGAGGTCGAGGACCTCCAGGTGCGCGGCATGGGTGCAGTCTGCCAAGAAGGCCATATCTTCGTGGTTCAGGGAGCAGTTGGCCAGGTCCAGGGTCCTCAGTGGCGTCTGTAGGGGGCTAGGGCAGGGCAAGAAACAGCACAGGTGAGGGGCAGTCCCAGGAGGACCTCTGGGAGGAATTAAGATGAATTCTAGCTCAGGAGTCCGCAGATGACGGCCCAAAGGCAGAGTCCACTGCGGCCTGGTCTTACTCAACTGGACTGTAAAATGGTTTTTACATCTTTAAACAATGGAACAAATCACAAGAATGATACTCTGTGACATGTGGGAATAATACAAAACTCAATTTTTAGTGTCCATAAGTAAAGCATCAATTAGAATGAGGGTTGCTCAGTTGTGTACTGTGGAGCAAGGAGGGGAAGGGCCATGCAGCCATCCAGCCCAGCTTTCCTACGGCCTGGTACCTGCAGCCCCTCCCACGTGCTGAGGCCAGCATCAGCAGATGCACAGCTATGGGGAGACCCTGCTCTGAGCAGCAGGTCTCAAGGGGCTTGTGAAAAACACACTTTCTCAATGTACCCCGCCCTGGGGATATTTGGTTTGGGTCTGATGCCACCAGGCTGAGCACTCGGTGCAGGAGAGCCTGTGGGGGGCCCCACACCTGTGCCACTGCGTGCTGAGAGCTGGCTGTCTGCCCACCACACTGTCTTTCCCCAGCCCCTCCTTCCAGGTCTGTGCTGCGGACCAGAGTGGCCCTCGTGAATACGGAGGTGACCATGCCATCCTCCTGCTCACAGCCTCCAGGGGCTGTGATGCTCCACCTCCCCACACTGCCCTGCCGTCTGACCCCAACCTTCTCTCTGCTGACCCTTGACCTGTCCACGTCAGCGCCTCTCGCCAGCCTGCCACTCTATGCAACCCAGTACTCCAGACCCCTGCTCAGGCCCACCTGAGGGAGTCGGCCTTCCCTGACCCCCGGCCCTCGTGCTCCCACAGGGGACCCGCTGACCAGCTCCAAGCCAACACGGTCTGCAGAAGCAGTGAGCTGCATATGCAGCTCCCGCCTGGTGTTCTCTGATTCTCGGATCAGCCGCCCTGTCCTGAGGACTCCCAGCAGCCACAGTGCAGAGGTAGACCCTGAACAGCCACATCTGAACGTGGACATGGACGGCCCCACCCTCCCAGCCCACCAAGCCTTCGGAGGAGACCACAGCCCAGTGGACCCAGTGGAGCTGGTTCTTGAAGGTTTTGTCACCATATTGCCCATTGTTGGGGTAACTTATTATCAGACAGGTGAGGAGCACAATTACCCTACCCTGTCCAGGCCTTCTGGGGTAAAGGCAGAGGGAGCCTGGAACGTCCTGACTTGTCAGCAGCCAGGTCCCATCCCATGGTCCCTCATGCATCTTGGGCCTGCCACCCCCCACCCCAGGCCCCAGTCCCCATCAACAGCCCTGCACGAGGAACTGTGAGCAGAGACCCACTCACTTGGCCTGCCCTCTGTGTTGTCACCCCAGACTCACCCGAGCAGTTTCGGAATCTTTCCTGTCAGCGTGGAGAAGGCCACACTCAGCTCGTTGAGCTGGCTCATCTGGCTGAGTTCCCAGGCGATGGAGGTAAGGAGGCGGTCCGCGCGGTCAGGGCTCAGGGTGCTGCTTGGGGGCGCGTCGAAAGCCTTGGCAGGCAGCGTGAGTGAGGCCAGCCGTGGGAAGCCCACCTGGGCCAGCAGCTGCTGCACATGGCCAGCATGTAGCCGCACGTTGTGCACGACCTCTAGCCTGTGCAGTTCACCTGGCCCTGCCAGACGCAGCACCTGCATTAGCTGGCTGGGGCCCAGACTGTCTGCTCGGAAAGAAAGGCAGTGCACGCGCAGCGGTGCAGGGCCAGGCCCCAGGGCACGCAGCACCAGCTCGAAATTGCCCTCTGTGACAAAGAGATCAGTGAGGACCCGCACGGGGGGCCGGACCACAAGGGACGCCGCCTGCAGCTGGCAGCAGGTCCTGGCCAGCAGCTCGGTGCGGCCCCACCTGCCCAGAGCCCTCCCGCAGGGGCACTGCTGCACCTGCACGTCTCGGACACCCGTGAGGTCAGCCACGCGCAGCCGCCATGGGCCCGCGGCCCGGAGCACGTGGTCTGCGAGGCCCTGCACGCAAGCCTCCAGGCAGGGCCTGCAGGTGCGGTCCCGCAGGTCCACCGGCGGTTCAGAGTGCGGCCCGAGCAGCACGCTCAGCCGGAACTCCTCCAGGGGCCAGCGCTCCAACAGGGCTCGGATCACCACCGCCTGCTCCAGCAAGTAGCTGGCTTTGAACAGGAGTGGGTAGAGGTTGTGGGCGACACTGTCCAGGCTCTGCTGGGCCACCTGGGGGTGAGACACCAGGGCCTCAGCAGAAATAGAGCGCAGCGACCTCATCGTGCCCGCATGCAGTGGCCCAAAAGCAAGACGGAGCTCTCCCCTTGAGATTCTCCCGAAGATGGATGCCCTTCTTGCTTATTTTTAGCTGCAGCTGCTGCGAGCAGCTTGCCTTTGGGCAGAAGCTAGTGAGCAGGCTCTCTGGTCATCTGACGGCTATTTTGGTCATGGGCGCTTGTTTGGCTCTGGCCGTGGAGGCGTCTGGCAGTGGCCAGCTTGTCCTTGTGGTGCTCATCTATGCAAGCAGAGCTGTCCCAGCATGTGGCTCAGGGGCACCAGGCCCCCGAAAAGTGCTGCTCATGCCCAGGGCAGGGGTGGCCCTGGCTGTGAGACCGCAGATGAAGGCTGATCTGCTGCCCAGGGCCATGTTCCCTCAAAGTCACAGGAGCCAGGCTCCCTGGATGAAGCATGTCACTGACGTACCCGGATACAACAGAACAAAGTGAGAGAAACACGTCTCATTTATTTATGTTCCTCAAGTTTGGATTGAATCAGCATTGAAAAAACGAAGAAAACATCCTACAGTAGCTGGAAATGGCAAGGTCACCATGGTGAGCACCCAGTCTGACCCCAGCCCCTGCCCCACGTGGCTGCCGTTCTGAGGACACCTCACAGCATGAAGCTCATTCAAGGCCTGGCATCCACCCAGGCTCCTCCATCTGATGTGGGGTGGTCCTCTTGGGGCCCCGGACACACCCCAGACCTCAGGCCCAGCTGCTGTGCCCTCGCCCCAACCTGGGTCCCAGGCCACAGGTCACTACCTTATTAAAAATGAAAGAAAACCGAGATTCCAAATATACTCAGAGGTGTCCCTGTGCCTGGTGTCCACTCAGTGGGGCTGCTCCGGGGGACCATTGCCCATGGGCCTGTGTTGCCTGGAAGACTGGGGAAACCCCGGTCCCAGAGGGCTTGTTGGGCCCTGAGACCATCCAAGCCCGCCCGGACCTCCCCATGGGAACTGAGGAATCGCCAGCTCCCACCCCAACCTTGGTGCAGCAGTGAGAGTGGCAGGGCCACCTGAGCCCCTAGACTGGGTGGAGGGCTATGCAGGGGGGATGCACAAAGGCAGGCGGAGACCGGGCCGTGCTGACCCTGTGGCCAGTGGCTGAGGTGGGGGTGCACCAGGAGCCCCCAGCAGGACAGCCTCAGGCCATAGTGGAGGCTCCTGTGCTCCCTGTGACGGGATTGTCCTGGAGGGGCTCAGTCTCTTCCATATAAGTCACGGCTGGGAAAGGAAGGACATCCTGACTCAGACACCGCGGCCCTCTCCCTCCCTCCCACCAGGTGCCCAGGCTGTGTGTGGCATCGAGTCTGTGTCTGGGAGGTGCTGTGGAGCCCTTGCACCCCTAGGGTGCTCTCAAACTCACACACACATATCCTGTTACAGAAGTAGTTGCCTGGACGGACAAGGTCAGGGAAACAGACAGGAGGGTGTCCCCTGCGAGGCTGGGTCCCTCATGGGTGGTGCCCCTGGCTCTGGGCCCAGACAGAGCCTGCCAGGGGGCCACCTTGGCTGGCATTGTGATGCATCTTAGAGTAAGAGGGTTCTGGTCCCACAACGTGGGAGTCCTGTGTTTGCTGTTCTGATCCCAGAACATGAGAACACAAGGGCATGTGAGCTTGGCACAGCCTCTGCAGGGGCTCCAGGCCTGGCCTACAAGTGGGAGGCGGGGAAGCCTCTGTTCTCAGGACAGTCCCGACACAGGGGTGCCCTCCCGACAGAGGGAGGCTGGGGCAGGCAGAGCTGGTCTCCACCGCCTCCCAGAGGCTGAGGGCCCCCTCCTCTTGGAGGGATACCCGAGCTCTCACAAGTAACCATGCCACCCTCTTGGGTATATGGTTTCCAGGGGGCATAGGCACAGGGTCCTGGGGAAGTTGGCCTGGGGGTGCAGCCCTGCTGGCCAGTGCGCCCCTCCTGGGGGGGCATTAACATCCAGCCATGTACTGTGCTTGGAGCATCTGGCACAGGGTGGAGACCTGCCAGGGAGTCTGGCTGGTTGTGGCACCCAGCACCTTAGGGTGACCAAGGATGAGTGAACCCTCTCATCACTTCAGGGGGAGCCAGGACACCCCCTCTTCTGGGGAGTGTTTTGCTCGATGGTCAAACCACTGCCCAGAAGCCTTTGTCTGGCAGAAGGAGAGGGCGTCACGGATCAGAGCCCATGTCACTTGTCATCAGTCGTCAGAAGATCTCTGTGAAAGACACTGGTGGCTCCCTCTCCCTGGTCTCCCCCATGCCTCCCCTCAGGGTGTGTCCAGGCTCATCTGTGCCCTCAGTGGCAGGCTGGCCCCCATGCTGGCCGTGGGCCCTGGACACGGAAGTCTCAGGAGGGGGGGGACTCACAGTCATGGAGTCCTGGCTGTGCCGCTGCAGCTGGGAGCCCCTCCTGGGATGGCAGGGGAGGTGCTCGGGTGGCCCTCCTCACGCAATGGCCCAGGGAGCCCGAGGCCACTGTCCCCCGATAACATGTACTCAGTCACTGCAAAGAGAGGCAGGGTCAGGGCTGGCTGCCCTCAGCACTCGGGGCCCTCTGATGTGTATCAACAGACATCACCAGCAGAGTGATGACAGGATGTTTGTGAGGCCGGGTCAGGGCAGACGGACCGGGGCTGGAGTGCAGACACCATGTGAGCAAGTGTCCACCGACCCTGCTCCTATGAAATCAGCCGACGAGGGAGGTGCTCAGTGGCCTCTCCCCTCCACCAGGCAGCTCAGAGGTGAAAACAGAACACCAGGCCCAGGAAAGACCAGGTGGCTTAAAGGAACCTCAGAGCAGGACGGGACCAGGTCTCAGCCCCAAAGGGCTGCGGGAACCTGTCCACTGTCACTGCATGTGAAGCTGTGGCCATGACCCTGCCATGCAGGCACCACCTCCTGCCTGAGTGGCTTCTGGGGGCTCCACCCCGGCTTCGGGACGGGGATCACAGTGCTGTCTGTGCAGGAGCCACAGTGGCTGAGCACAACCCCTGGCCCCGACCATCACGGCTAGTGGGGCTCCTCGGGGGAAAGAGAGCCCCACCTCCGGACTCAGGCTTCCCTGTGGGACATGCCAGCCCTGCAGGGGCTGGGGAGGACACTGCCGGGGAGGTGCCACGGCTCTGGGATGGCAGTGTGGAGTGCCCAGCTGTGCTCCCCGTGGGCCCGTCCAGGACACAAGCCTGACCCAGGTGGCTGCTGCAGGTGCGCAGCCCCCCGCACCCCTGGCCCACCCCCAGGATTCAGGGCAATGCCTCCACCTGGGCAGAGACACGACTGTGGTCAGCCGGTGCCCTCAAAGATGCTGTCACTGGGGCACAGGTACACTGGGGGCTTGGGAGAAAACATGTCCCAGGCAGCATCACCCTGAGGAGGGTCCTCACCTGGGTGGTGTTACTGTGCGGTGACGGGTACTGTGGGGGGTACTGCAAGGTACTTTGTGGGGTACTGTGGGGGGTACCGTGGGGGTGTTGTGGGGGATACCACGGGGTACTGTGGGAGGTACTGTGTGGGTACTTTGGGGAGTACTGTGTGGGGTACCATGGGGGTACTGTGGGGTTACTGTGTGGGGTACCATGGGGTACTGTGGGGTGCACTCTGGGGTATTGTGTGAGGGTACTGTGGGGGTACCATAGGGGTACTATGGGGTACCATGGGGCTACTGCAGGGTACCGTGGGGTACCGTGGGGTGTGGGAAAGCAGACTCCCATGATCCTCCACCGCAGGAGCTGAGATAACCAACCCCTGCGGGTCCCACCAGCACCTTGGCCCCTGCATGTGGGGCTGAGTGCTGGCTCCTCCGTGTGCGTTGGCCGAGTGGCAGGGACACAGCCCACAGCCCGCGTGTCACTCACAGGAGGCTGCTCATGCTGCATTCCTGCTCCTGGCGGCCACAGGTCTGCTTGGCCTTCACCTCTACCGACTCCCCTGTTAGTCCTCTGTTCCCTACTGTCTTCCTACGTCCAGGATGTGTATGTCCCACTGGCGCAGCCCCGCAGTATCGCTCCACACCACAGAGGCCTGGAGCCAGGCAGAGGCCGCCATGGCTGGATACCTTCCAGGTGCACACGCCGTCCGCCTTAGCACGTCGATGCTGTTCTCACGTATGCCGTGCTTGTCCCCAGGGCCACTGCCCCTGACAGATAGGTAAGCGGCCGAGCCTTGCGCACCGTCTCCTATTTCCCCCAGGGTCACCGTCCTCCTCCCTGCACAACATCCTTTGACCTTTCAGGTCTGCTGGTTGAGCTGTTTCAGCCTTTGCACAAAAATGTCCTTGTGTCACTGTTACTGAAAGACATCATCACGTTGAACTCGTTTGAAGGTTTCTCTGTTCAGAGCAGCAAACCGTGCCCCCCGCGAGCTGTGTGTGGTGACAACGATGCTGCCGCCACCCTCCTCATGGCGCCAGACAGCCGGCTCTCGCTGGCCACTTCCCAGAAATTCTGTCTGTCACTGTGTCTCCAGCCTGCGTGCTTGGGGCTCATGGGTCTCCTCTGGGCCTGTAGGCTGACACCTGTCACCAAATCAGGGAAATATTAAGCCATAGTTCCTTCAAAGTTTTGCCATCTCTCCATTTTGGGGACTCTGTTATGTGTTTGTTAAGCCACTCAAAGTCATCCACAGCTCACTGATCTTCTTCCTTGACTTGGTGATTCTGTGTCGTGTTGATACATCTCCACTAAGCTTTTCTTCTGTTAAGTCGTGCTGTTAACTCTATCCAGGGAGGTGCTCACCTTAATGATTGCAGCCTGTTATGGTGCTAAGTTTAGTCTGTCCCACCTTCCCTGCTGTGATGTAACGTTCTAGATGTCAGGGACACAGAATGATGGTGTGAAGGCCAGAAGGACACAGAATGATGGTGTGAAGGCCAATTCTAACAAACCCATCGGTTCCAGCTGGTTTCGCCTGTTTGCCCTTGTCATGTTCCGCTTCCTACTTCCTTGCATCAGACAGTGCAAATCTACCCCATTGGCTGCCAAACATGTGTGTAATCCTATAAATCGCCTTAACCTTTGCTCTCGGATGCAGTTAGATCACCTGTACATGCCCTGCATTCATGACCTGGTGCAGGTCAGCAGAGGTGTTCAGTCCAACATGGTGTCCTGAGCAAGCCCTCGGAGGACCTGCCACTGCCCTGGAGCTGCTGCCCGTGTGCTGCTGGGAGCAGGTGTGTGGGGTACTCTCTAGTCCTCCAGAGGCTCCAGCCTGGGCAGTCCCCTCAGGTGCGGTGCTGACCAGCCTTCTGCTGGACCCAGGCCTTGGAGACTTCTTGCTACATGGGGCTCCCCTGGGCTGCCCTCCCCTGGGGGTCTGCCCACGTGGCTCCCCATGTGGCTCCCCACGTGGCTCCCCACGTGGCTCCCGGGTGCCCTCCAGGCAGAGATGGGAACGACCATGGGGCTCACATCACAGTCCCGTCTCAGGTCACTACTGGTGGTGGCAGATGTCCTAGGTCTTAAAATCTCGTGTCATATGCTTTTGTCTCTTTATATTTTGTTTCATCTAGGTTTTGTTGCTTGGTTGTTTTAAATCTGTTTCCTGTGATGTTTTAGGTGAAAGTGAAAATTTTTTATTTTTTTTGATTAAAGAAAAACTATAATGTGTTTAAAGACTTTTGGAAGTCTATAAAGGCAAGTGAGTTAATTGCATAGGTGCACCGCCCACCCCGCCCCCCACCCCCCCAGAGTGGCTGGAGGCTGAAGCACCTGCCGCTCTGGAGCCTGGGTGCACTCACGCATGGAAGGTGGGCTCCCCGTCTCCAGCTCCAGCTCCTCCTCCTCCTCCAAGCAGGTGCGCATGTCGTGGGGCCAGGGGCAAGAGGCAGTGCTCAGCAGGGCTGGGCTGGCAGACGTGTGCGGGCTCAGTGGTCCCAGGACAGAGGAGGACTGGCTGCTGGAGGAGGAGGTGCTGCTGTCTGAGATGGTGGAGTGTGGCCTCTTAAAGGGGGTGGCACGGTCACAGGAGGGTACAGCCACAGGGGCTCGGGTCCACAACTCTGGAAGGGGACAGAAAGCAGGCTGATCTGGCTTTTGCTCCACACGTGCTGCCCAGATTTGATAATGAAGCAGCCATCTGAGAACCCAACCAAGTCCCTCCCACTGAGGTCAGTTTGGGCATGATGTGGCCACCACCCATCCAGCCACTGTGCTGGCTCTCGGGCCCGCAGTCAACACCAGGGCCCCAGTCAGTGGGACAGGGTGAGGGAGAGAGAGGGCTGAGGCCATGTTACCTGCTGCCTTGATGGCCCGGTCATTAAGGGCCGCGTCACTGGACTGGATGTCCACGAACGGCTTGTTGCCAATCCCCATTGACACCATTTCTTGCATTCTGAGTTCTAAAACAGAATAACATAGGGCAACTTTCCAAGGAACTGCTTGGCTTTAATACTCTCCCGACAATGCTGTGTACCCAGCACCCTCCATCCAGACCAGGAGCACGTCAGGGCCTGGCCCAGCACCCTCCCCAAGTGTTGCTGGGACCCAGAGATGCTGGGGCTCCCGTTCTGGCACCTACACCTGGTCTGGCCTCTCAGGGAGCTCAAGGAGTCGACGACAAAAAGGGGGACATGGGACTCAGAACTGGGGGAGTGGTAGGGGCTGGCCCTGGGTGGCCCTCTTCTGCCCACCTCTGTTCCGCAGAGCCTGCCGCCACAGGATCTGCCCTATCACGTGGGTCCAGGCCATCTTGACCTCTGCAGAGCTGGCCTGGAGAACATAGGTGTCCTGGGACTTTCGCCGTCTGCGGAACCAGATCTCAAACCTCAAGCCGCTGTCTCCGATGTTCTCTGTCATCCCAATCTCAGCCGTCTATACCAAAAGCCGCAAGTGGCAGCAGCGTCAGCAACTTCTGATCCTCACTTGAGGAATTGACCATTCTCTGGCCACCATCTGACCCCAGCACCTCAGTGCTAGAGGCTCTTCACCCAAATACCAAATGGGGGGCTGAGGCTGGACAGGGACCCCCAGGACAAACCAGATTCCCACCCATGTGCACTGACTCCCTCCTGGAGCCGCAGTCTCCCCAATGGAGAAAAGGAGGCTGGACTGGAAGGCTCTCTAGTGGCCCGCGGTGGCTGTGCTGGACAGGGCTACAGGACTGCCTCTGATGTGCTCCTCTGCAGGTAAGGGCTATAGGCTCCCTGCGGGAGGTCTAGAGCTCAGAACCCTGGGGGGTGAGGGCCACCCTTGGAGACTGGCCCAGGTTCACCTTCACCACAATCAGAAATGAAGTTACTGACTGAGAAGTTTCCCAGCCGCTGAACCAGCCCGCAGCACCATAAAGGACCAGTGTGTCCGTGCGACTTCCTGATTTCAGACACAGCCCCGTATGTCCTATTTCACCGCTCCCACCCAGGGGCGTCAGGTGTGAGGCGGGCATGTTACCTTGAAGGACTGTTTGTACGTGTAGGTGTCATAACCCCCGTCCACCTTTCTGGTCTTGCTAAACAGGATGAGGTCTTCGAAGAGGAACACGTGCCTCAGATACTTTTTCCTTCCACAGCAAACGATAAACTCATCCTGGCATCTCAACTGCCCCTGCTCCTTCAGATTCACCTGCAGATGGAGCAAGCCTCCCTCAGGGACCTGATCCCGCCCCAATCCTTGGGGAGAGAGGGACTGGAGGTAGAATCATCACCCATGGTCAGTGCTCACTCGATGATGCCTCCTCCTAGACCCCAAAGGACGGGGCTGGAGGGTGGCTGGGTGGGTGAGCATGTGTGGCGGCCCGTGCCTCTTTTGTCCACATACCTGGCCCTGAGCCTCTTCTGTCTGGCTGTTCCTGACTTATGCCCCTCACAATAAACTGGTGATGTCATAGTGAACGGTCTCTCTGGGTTCTGATTGTTGTGACCAATCGGTGCCGTGGGGGGTGGGGCAGTCTTGTAGGATGGAACCCGTCACCTGTGGGATCTCACCCCACATCCATGCAGATGGCGTCAGGGTTGAGTTGAATTACAGGACACCCGGCTGGTGCCTGAGAATTGCTCAGATGTATGGGGAAAACCCTTGGGGCCAGGCAGGGCTCCTCTGGTCTGCATGGAGCTCGCAGCAGAAGTACCCTTGTGGACATGGTGCTAAACTCTCACCTGTTTCTGCATAAAAATACCCGATATAGCCTATGTGGGAGTCAGGTTACGAATTCTGCACCTGAGCCACCCCTACCCACAGAAGTACCCCCCAAGCTGCAGTTTGGGCTGATGGCTAGTGGGACCGCATGGAGTGTATCCCAAACTGTGGACACCACTGCTAAGTCCCTCCTGTAACCTTCTAGCCCATGGATAGCCCTGTCCTGGGGGCTTCCTGAGAATGGCTGGTCCAATCCCAAATGACTCGGCTAAGTCTGCTGAATGGGGGCTTCTGGAGTGACCATGCCGGGGTACCCTGAGTCCTCCATGGCTGTCCATGGACAACTATACTCCATGCCGGACTCCATCTCTGGTGCTGGCCACAGCCTCAGATCTACCTTCTCCAGCTGACGCCAGAGGTCCCACCTTCAAGCCTAGGTGGGGTCAAAGGGCAGGGCAGGGCACTGGCACATCCATGGCTGTGCGCACACAGGCCATTTCACCTTGCAAGGCACCCAGGGCTGCTCAGTGGGAGGACAATGCATGCAGGGTGGCGGCCAGAAGGGCCCACGCTCAGATTACGGTTTGTGAGACTCTTGATGCAGTTTTTAGCAGGGCATGAACATTTTCATTTTCCCTGGGAACCCTGTGGCTGTCCCTCCGCTGTCAGACACCAGGCGTTCTGCTGGGGGCAGGACTCCTCTTCTAAGCTGGTCCCATCCTGCCACCATGTGGGCTGTGTGGATGCCGGGCCCAGGCTCCCAGTGTTGCTCTGATCCAAGCCTGACAGCCAAGTAGCCCCAAGGTGGATGGTTAGCCACTGAGGGCCTGCCTCCTATAATGCCCCGCGGCTGCCCGGACATGAAGCCCCTCTCTGCTCCCCTGACCCGCTGGCCCCAGAGAGGTCTCAAGCTTCTGGGGACTTCCCCAGAGGGAAGCTCATGTACTCTGGCCCCAGGCCACACCCTCCCTCAACTCAGGACAGCCCGTCAGGGCCTCGGGGCACTCACGTCACAGCCTCGGACAGCGTCCATGGCCAGCAGGTCGTTGCCGTGGCGCAGCTGGAAGCGGACCACACCCTGGGCAGCCCGAAGCTCGCTCAGCTCCTGCTCTGGGACGGGGCAGCGGCCAGCCTCCCTGACCAGGTCCTGCAGCAGCAGTGCGTACTTGCCCATGCGCTGCACCGGCTTCAGCAGGTAGGAGGCCAGGTCCATCTTGTCACCCAGCTGCCGCTGCTTGTCCTGCAAGGGCCGGGGCGAGAGGGTCAGCCGGGGCCAGGTGGGGGACAGCGCGGCTCGTGGGGTGGGGGGGTGACCTTGAAGAAGGCGTTGCCATGGCTGCAGAGTAGGGCATCCGACTGGGGCTTGTTCTTGCTGTAGAGCGCGTACATGCCGAACTGTTCCTCCTGCAAGAAGGGAGGACACGGGGCACCTGAGGGGGGCCAGGTCCAGTCTCTGCCTCTGCCCCCACCCTCTGTGTGCTGTGCCTCCCACGGGCAGGAGACAAGGAGGCTCAGCGCTGCCCTGGGATCGCCGGGGCTTACCAGCACATTGATGCCAGAGATCTAGAATTGGGCATTACAGGGCATGGGGGAGAGGGCAGAGGCGGGCCTGGGAGGGGGCACGGGGAGCCCAGAACCAAAGCTATGTTGACATTTGAAATTCTTGCTGTTGTTGTCAACATAAAGCAACACAGAGTTCATCTTCTGGCTAAAAGCACCTTCTTAGAAACAGCTGAAAAGATGCACCATGGAGTTGCTTTCACCCTCGGGCGTTTCCGTTGTGGGTGTCTACATTAGGAATGCGGAGGCCACGTCTCACCTGCCCACGGCACAGGTGCCACTGCGTCCCCACTGCCTGGATCACTGCGTGGGGACTGCTAGGTGAAAGCATTTCTTTTCAAACTGAATTCAGAGTTTCATTAATGATCCAGACAGGGAGATATTCATATACACAGTTGGGAGGACTCTCATGGGGAGAGCAGCCCTCGTCTGGGGCACGTGCACAGTCCGGGAGCCTCCGCAGAAAGCCTGACCTGGCTTGCTCAGATGGTGGGCTGGCCCGGGCCCCACCTGGGAGGGAGCTGGCCGCTGCAGCGGGAGGACTGAGGATGGGACCAGGTGGGCTCCCATGTACAGGACGTGAACTGCTTCGGGCCAACAGCCTTGAGAGGTGAGCAGAGGGGTGTGTGGGTGACGATGCAGGCAAGGCCTCCAGCGTCGTATGGCTCTGGGGGCCAAGGGTGCATTCGGGTGGCACCAAGCAAAAACACTCGATGTGATCAGAGCCACAGCCTTCTTGTCTATTTTGGGGTCTGTTTATTGCTGGGTCTGCACGGATCCAAATCACCCGAAACGTGGGCGTTGCCAGACCCAGCCTCTCAGAAGGCACCCTGGGCTGATGTCGCCTTCGCCTCCCACAGGGGCGCCTGCCGTGTGGACCCGGTGCCTGGGAGGGAGGGACTCACGTGTCTCAGGAACCCGCGGCCTGCCGCCAAGGGGCAGTGCTGGCAGCGCTCCAGCTCCGCCAGGAAGTGCTGGCGGTGGAAATCATAGAGGTTCTCCAGGTTCCCAAAAACGATGCTGTGCTTCCCTCGGAGGTCCTGGGGCAGGTCCGTTCTTTCCATTTCTGGAAAGTAATGGTCAATGACATACCCTAAGGACCGAACATACTCTCTCTCCGTGGACACCATCTCAGCCATGATGTGCTGCAGTCGGCTGCTGGAAGACAGAGGCGGTGGACACTCAGGGTGGTGCAGGCCTCGGCCTCACTCCAGGCCTCGGGAGACCCTAGGTCAGCGTCACTCCTGCTTCACATAGAAACAAATGCTGTGCAAGCCCAGAGGAATAAACACGATAGTACGGGGCAGCAATGAATCCTGTCACGTGTGCTCTGTCACCTGACACTGCTCCTTTGATGGAAACGAGTAAGATGGGAGATACAGGAGGTGCATATTAGAAGCTGCTCGCATGAAGTGCCTCTATACTGTTGGTCACAGCCTTTTAGGATAAAAGATCCTTCCATAAGGTGGACAGGAGAGACTGCCAGGGCCCCTAACTTCAACCTGGAGTCCTCTGCCAGGACGGTTCTGGCAGGAGGAGGATTTGAACACTGCAAAGAGGACTGTGGTGGGAGCTCCAAGACCCCGGGAGCCAGGTTCCCATGCACTGCTAACCTACCAGAAGGGACTTCTGAAAATTCAGCTCTGTGTGGTGGAGACAGGGGACCCAGAGGCCGGAGGGGAAGCACAGGGCCTCGGGGCCTGGGATGGGGCCGAGGTGGGCAGCGGGAGGTGGACAGAGGGCTCCCTGAGCTCACGTCCATGCTGTGTCCAAGCTGGGGATGTGTCCCTGTTGCATGAGGCCCTTCAGAGGCGCCAGAGAGTTTCTTCCCAGCTGCCAGCAGCTTTCCCCAATTACTCAATCCCCAGATACTCATGAAACTTCATAGTCTTTTTTTTTTTTTTCTATTACGTGGATTTACTTGCTTTCTTTTAAACTGGAAAGGAGGGATCCCTGGGTGGCGCAGCGGTTTGGCGCTTGCCTTTGGCCCAGGGCGCGATCCTGGAGACCAGGGATCGAATCACACGTCAAGCTCCCGGTGCATGGAACCTGCTTCTCCCTCTGCCTATGTCTCTGCCTCTCTCTCTATCTGTGACTATCATAAATAAATTTAAAAAAAAAACTGGAAAGGAGTTAAAAGCAACCGATGATAGGAGATACACCTGCAGTCAGAATGCCTGCTGGGTGTGTCCATCTGTAGCTGGAGAGCCTGTCCCTTCCCGTCCCACACTCCCCACACCTCCCAAATACCTCCTGGCTAGTCAGGAGCCCTGACCCTCATGGCACTGCCCCTAAGACACCTGAGGCCCCAGCCCCAGCCCCACAGCACAGTTCCTGTTCATATTTGCTGAAAACAGGCACCATTAAATATTCAGAAACAACACTAGCGTGGTCTGAGGATTTGGAACAAATGACTTAGAAACTGACACATGAGGACATAATGGTGGGAACTGACTACTGGCCTAGTGACAGGAAGTCCCTCTGGGCAACTGGCACAAGGCCTGGGTTTTCACGAGAGTGGATTATTTTAACACTTTTTCCTACGGGCGCTGGTGCGAGAGGATATGCCCTGTGCGCTGTGCTGTGGGCCCAGGGCCTGTGACAGGTGAGAGGGGGATGGCTTCCCAAACTTGCTCCCCCCCAGACTGAGGATGTCCACTGTGGGTGCCTGGGGGCTCTTGGCAACTGGAGGGACCCTATTCCTGCCCTCTGTGCCTCTGGAACTTTCAAGATGTGCTCAGGGGAGCCGGAGGGTGGTTCTAACTTCTGGAAAAACCCCTCAGGTGATCCCAAACAAAACCCTCCTGTTCCACCTCAAGTTTCACCCCAAATAGGGTACACGGGAACCTGAAACATAAAGGACAGTATTTGGTTGCCATCTCAGTTCAGAGATGTTCTCTGCCTGAGGAGGAAGCATGTCCACCAAGCAAACAAGCAAAGGACACGAGGAAGATGCCCCACTGCATCCACCCCACACACTGACAGGCTAGCAGTGCAAGCGGCAGGCTGTAGCACCAGGTGTGTTGCTACCTGTCATCAGGCCTGGGTGCACTTCCTGCCCATGTTTCCATCCTATGGTCAATAAAAGATATATTTTTTAATACAAATCTTCTTAAAGATTAAACAGATTCATGGACATCTCCATTTGGGCAATGGGCAAACACACGTACTTCTCACCTCCATGCTGAAAGACTTTTCCTAAAAAGTAATTTTTAAGGTAAAGTCTTCATACTTCAGGTGTGATTTTCTATAAATTGGTCTCAAATGATGAGAGCTGGTTATGTAACCGTCAGAGCGGGTGAGCCATGAAAAAAGGAAGTAGTTTTCAATGACTATTCGGAACACAGGGAGGTAAATAACATCTTATCTAAAATCAAATGCAAGTGTGCTACCCGGACAGGACACGGTGGACCTGGAGGCATGTTTGTGGATTGCACTGACCACTACACCCACAGGCTGGAGGGGTGTCCGCCTCACCTTCCTGCTTGCTTGTTCCCGTCCTCCTTGGAAGGGTGGGTCCTGGAGGGAGAGGACAGACTCTGGTTCCGAGTGACCAGGGGGCTCTCAGCATGTGGCCTTGATGGGGGTTTCTTCTCGGAGGCCACGGTGCTGGTCACCTCCAGGCCCCTGATGAAGACCCCAGTGTGGCCTGGCCAATGGGAGTCTCTGAGGCCACTGTCAAGCTGTGGAATCTCAAAGCTTTGTGTTTTTCTCATACTTTTCTTCAGAGAATGTTTCCTGGGGTGGGAAGCAGGTGTCTGGATGGGCTCAGGGGAGCAAGTGGGGCTGTCGTGTGGGGAATGCACACCTGGGGCCAGGTGCTCATCCTCCTGCTTGCGCAGAAAGGCTTGGCCAGGGGAGCCAGGCAGCAGCGGGGCCCGCTCCCCAGCGGGACACTCCAGGTCAGTGGAGGGCGTCCAAGATGGCTCATGGGGCCTCCTCTCAGCCTCCTGGCTCAGCTCATGCTTCAGGGGTCTGCGGCCCAGAGGCAGGGTGCCAGGATCTGGGATAGCCCCAGACAGGGCCTCTTGGAAGCAGAGTTGGGTGTGCTGGCTCTGCAGCCATAAGGGGTCCCACCGATGTAGGGCCTGCGGGCTGTCCAGGCCTGCCACTGCCATGCTTGCCCCAGGGAAGCTCTGTGTAGTCAGCTCTGTGGCCTCCTGGTGCCAGCAATTTAGATACTCAGCGATGGGCTGCGGGCCCAGGTGTCCCAGGCACTCACCACACTGCTGCATCCACCTGTCCACCTGCATGGCAAAGGGGGATGCTGGTCAGGACAATGGAAGACTGTCATGGCCCCCATGGCCTTGCCAATCCCACCCAATCTCATGCAGCTAATGAGCAACTCAGGTAAACCTGGTTCATGCTCCTTTTGCTCTGCAGGTGCCCCAAATCCAGGACTGTGGTAACCAGATGGCCAGAGCAACAGGAAGACCTCTCCACCCACCAAGGGAGTTGCTAGCCAGACTCGCCCCAAGGGCAGGCAAGATGAGTTTGCATCTAGTCCAATGGGGTCTGAATCCTCTACAGCCCCTAAGAATAACAGGAGGAGTTGTTCCAGGGATGTCGGATGCCAGGGCTACACAGACTATGAAATCGGTCATTCCACACCTCTGCCTGGTGTAGAAGGCCATGACAGGGACAGAGAATCCCTAGCCCTGCCCAGGCCTTCCCTGATGCCTTAGATCCCATCAGGAAGAGCTGTGCTCCTGGGGATTCTGGCCCCAGCAGCGTGACAGCCAGGCAGTTCCAGGGTACTGGTGAGTTTGCATGGCATGTGCTGTGCTGCAGCAACTGTTCTAGGGTCTCTGGCAAGAAGTATACTTTTACAGCTGAGCTGAGAAGCACAGAAAAGTTCACGTGTTCATTTTGCTTGTCCCTTTGGAACAATAAGTTCCTCATACAGTGGCTGAGATCCCAGGGCATGCTGTCGGGGGTGGGGTGCTGGCCACTTGTCCCAGGGTGCCGCTCACTCTGGCCTGCAGGGACAGTGTGCCCTCCATGTCCATAGCACATGCAGATCCCTTGGAGGTGATTCCACGGCGGATGTCAGACAGATGGGCCCCTCAGGCCAGCGCTCCCTGCATCCACTTAGCCCAGTGCTCAGGCACCGTCTGAAGTCCCAGATCGCTTCCTCTGCTGTAGCCCTTGAAGAAACTACCAGCACCAGCCTGGTGCTCACTCTGTTTCTATGTGTGTCTTCTGGTGTGGACACTCCACCAGCTGGCTGTGGAAGGTCTAGAACCCCCGCCGCCGCTGCCTGTTCTTCAGGCAGAGCAGCTCCAAGAGGCCAGGAATTCCTCTCCTCTTTCAAATCATAATTTGATCTATTCAGGAGAAGAATTTTGTATTTTTAAATGTGTGAAGGTTCCATGATCATGGGGGAAGGGAGCATCAGACACACTCAGGAGCTGGTTCCCACGGCTGTGCACCCATCCTGATGCAAATCAGCGGTGCACTCGGATGTATCATCAGTGGCTGCACAGCATCATTGCCTCTCAGTTTGTAACCGCTGTTTCTACCTATGGGCCCCTTTCTGTCTGTGGATGGGAATCAACAGGTCTTCATGGCTCAAGGGTGTAACTGGGCAGGCTGTTTGCAGGAAATGGAAATAAGATAATTGAAGCATGGATCCAGAACTTTCCATCTTGCAACTTGTTACTATGCAAAATATATCCCAGAGATACTCTTTAGGTGGTGGCACAAGGACACTCTGGGGCTGTCTGGGAGAGCTGGGGTGTGGAGGGGGGGCAACAGCAGCCCTGCCCACCCCACAGCTTCCCGTAGCAACATCGTTCATTCACAGTGAACACGTCCCGGGTTAAGACTTAATTTTTATGCATTTTCTCCTTGGACAGCAACGCCAGGGGTTGTTAGGGACCACAGAAGAGGTGATGGGGTTGGATCTACGGCCACTGAACTCTACTGTGACCCGATGCACAGGCAGAGGAGAGACATCAGAGCACACATGCTTCGTAGACAGAGTAATAGAGAAAAATGTCAAATCTGAGTTTTTATAAACATGACCTGAGAACCTCTGGATAGAAGAGCAGGAAATGGTCAATGAAGCAGAGACCCCTCAGGGCTGAAGTCCCACCTCTAGCCTCACAGAAAGAAATTCTGGTTGGTTTGAAGATATAAATGGAAAAATTCAAACCATAAAAGTTTTAGGGTGGAATGCATCAGTCGTTCTGTGACCTTAAGGTAGAAATTTCAATCCTAGGCAAAGCTGAAGGATAATCACAAACCAGGGAAGATGTTCACCATGTGACCAGAGGTGAGTTACATGCGTAACAGTGAAAATTCGAACTCTGCAAGCCTGCCAGTGTGTGGAATAGCCATTTCTTAGAGAATAAATACAAATAACCCACAGACAGATGAAGAAGTACTTATTTTCATGTCAGTAGGAAGAGATGCTCTCCAGGCTGCTGCTGAGAATCTAAACTGGGCAGGCTGCTTGCCAGGCCACCTGGCAAATGTGTAAAAACCTCAGAAATTGCAGCCCTAACCCCACCATCCCTGTCCCTACGAACCTATCCTAAGTAAATAATCACAAAGTGTGAATGACAGGTGCAGTGATGTACACAAGAGTGAGAAATAGGAGAGCCCAGGACTTGGGCCAGAGCTAGATGAACATGGAAGGTGAGGCTTGCACACACCACCATGCATGCCGGCCATCCTGGGGACCCCACCTGAGGATGCCCTGACAGTGGCCATCCCCCTGCCCTGGCAGCCCCAAAGGGACACACGGGCTTCCAGAGAAGGCCTCCAGCCCCTCTAGACCTTGCCCTACACTGACTGCTGGCCATGCATGCACTCCTGCTTCACATTCTCTTATATGGAAATAGTGGTTGATAAAAGCATAGGGTTTAAATAAAAATATGTGGAAACTTTTGAAAGCTTCTATATGCATATGTATATGGAGAAAAGTCTGGTTTATAATATACTGCATGTTAACATTAGTTATTTCAGGAGCAGAGTTTTTTTTTTTTTAAGATTTTATTTATTTATTCATGAGAGACACACACAGAGACAGGCAGAGACACAGGCAGAGGGAGAAACAGGCTCCACACAGGGAGCCCGATGTGGGACTCAATCCTGGGTCTCCAGGATCACGCCGTAGGCTGTAGGCGGCACTAAACTGCTGAGCCACCAGGGCTGCCCAGGAGCAAAGTTTCAAAATGTTTTTCTCTTTTGGTTTCTCAGACTGGAGTACTTACCTGGCCTCGTCCCTCCTGGAGCATCCTTATTTCCCGTAGTCTCTCCAGCTCCTGCAGACATCTGTTGGAGGTGAGGACCAGCCTATGGACCTCTTCGTCCACTTGGTTGTACAGTCTGGAGGCGACCTTGATGGCATCCCTGGAAGAGAAAGTGTCAGAAAACCAAGTCCTGACCATGGCAATCACCCGAGGTGTATGCTGTTGGTGACAACCTAGTTAAAAAGGGAAAACTGCACTCTTTACATCCTTACATCTAACACAAAAGGGGATGCTCCAAGGAGGTCCACAGCCAGAGCAGGAACAGGAACATGCCTGGGAACCACGGGTGCATGCCTCAGAGGTGGTAGGAAAAAGTGGTGGGTGGACAGGGCTCCCCAGGACAGAATTAGACAGAGAAGCATTCAGTCAGGACCTCTGCTGAATCCATTATGGTGGGTTTGCCTCCCACTTGAGCATTCCAAGGAATCTGCTACATTTTTTGGAGGATACAAACATAGATAGACTTTGGTCCAATGTGTGCCCATGGGAAAGAATGAAGGTTGGACCCCTGGGAGCTGTTGCATGTGACAGAATTGGACATCTTCCCCAGGGATGGGCTGCCCTAGCACGACACTCACTGGTAGTCTTGGTTGCTGCCAAGCTGCTCCCTCTTCAGCCGTGCCAGCATGGTGCCACCTTCTAGCCGGAGGGCGACCAGTAGTGCATCTTCCAGCACACACTTCATCATTGCCTTATGCTTGTTGATTAAGTCTGTGACCTCCTGCATGGGGTGGGAGAAGCATACATAGAACCCTCTCTTCCATGGGGAGTGGACCTATATTCTTGTCCTTGTCAATCAAGCTGAAAGCAGGGTTCAACCAACACTTGACACCTGTCCTAGCAGGAAAGTAATGCCGCCCCGGATGCTCTCACCCAAGGGATGGTGAGACTAAGGACAGGAAAAAGAGGGGAAGTGTGGAACTTGGCAGCAGGAGGAGAGTTGGCATTTGGACAGGGACGTATGGATCTTGCCCACACACCCTGCAAACTCTGCCGAGGTGTCTCTGAGGCCTCTCTAGGCTGCTGATTTTCCTCCAGCCAGTCCACCTCTGTGTCCCAACAGTAATTACTCAGGCATTGGTGGCACACCAACACATGTATTGGTTGCAGTGGTGTTGTTTCTCTTCTGGGCATGGTGGAAGTTTTTTTTCTTTTTTGGTCACAGGGGGAGGAAGTGGTCTTTTGGAAGACCTTTGCTAATTGAAAGGGATTTAAATCAAAATGGGTTTGAAAATCTCTGCTATGGATGATGGATTTGGATAAACCTCTTCCCATCTACCTACCTGTGAAATAAAGTAAAATACATGAGAACCTACCTGTGCTGTGCTTAGAGTTCTGTGAATATTCAGGGAGTGGACTGAATTTTGTAGGAATACAATGGCATCCTCGCAATCTGTGGTGAAGGACTCCAGCTTCTATCATGGTGGGAGAGGTATGAGACGACAGATACACCATTAGTGTCCACTGGAGCGCCAGAGAGCAGCACCCTCCCAGCCCAGAACTGGACTTTAGCGGTACTCCCAAGCCTGCCACACAGTGGCTCTCCAGCAGCCTGTGAATGGCAGTTGTGATGGGCACGACATTCAGGGTAGGGATGCCTGTTCAGGTGTGAGTAAAAACATCTGCACAAGGAGAAGTCCCAGGAGACTGGTAGGTGCAGTGGCTGTGAGTTATACCTTACCCTACGGAAGCAGATCCAGTCACTATGGCTGTAGGGAAAGGAGCCATCGAGGTCTGCGGTCAGCTGTGAGCTGTCAACAAGCTTGTGCAAGGCCTTCAGGGAGCCCACCACCTCACACTGCCAAGGAGAAGCATTCACTGGTTACATCCACAGATGCATCCATCAGAAAGACCACTGTGATGGTTCACTCCTGGGAGAGCTACCACTGAGAGGGTTGAGAGGCAGGTTTAGGGTCCAGTGGCACTGCCTTGTTGGTGGCATTAATGGGCTGAATGTGTTTGGGAACAGGGATGAAGGTGGGGAGAAGTGAAAGGAAAAGGCAGCAAAGAGGAAGAACAGAGAGGTACCAATTAAGAAAAAAAAAAGGAAAAATTGAAAAGGAAGAGACGACAAGATGATAGGGGAGGAAGGGGAGGAAACAAATGAAACAGGGATGTGCTATTCTGAGATACAGAGTTGGCCCTTCCCAGACAACCCAAGGGGAAGTATAACAACAACCAAGTGAAAGCTCTGGAGGGCAAACTAAACCATATTTCTTGAGGAGAGCAATTGAAACATGGATGAGGCATCAGCAGGGGTGAGCTCCCCATCTGCAGGGCTCTGGCCTGAAGGCAGGATGCAAACATGGTGAGACTGGATTGGCTGAGGCTCTGATAGCAAACAGGCATTACTGTGGCCTGAAGAGTCAGGAGAGAATGCTGGGGAGGAATGTGGACATCGAATACCACAAGGGAGGAAGCCAGGGATTGGGAGCTCCCATACTGTGTAAACTGAGCCCAGGACTCTGGCTGACCCTGAACCATGTATGCAGCAGGGAATACACTAGGTAACTAACGGCAAAAAGAACTGAACTGGACCTACATGGAGGACATTTTTCAGTTTGAGTCCAACCAAGTCAAATGCATTTCAAAACAGTCCTTTGTGGAGGTTTATAGTAGAATCCAGAGTTAGCATATTCAACAGTATTCAGCAGAACATTCATATGTCTGGAATATAATTCAAAATTACTTGACACATGAAGAATCAGGAAAATGTGGCTCATTTTCAAGGGAAATGACAACCAACAGAAGCCAACCCAGAAAAGACTTGTATGTTGGAATTATTAGATAAGGACTTTAAAGCTGTGGTCATAACTATGCTCAGTGATGTAAAGAAAAAATGCCTGCAATTACTGAGAGAATAGGAAATCTTAGCAGAGACAGAGAAAATATGTTTTTAAAACCACTGGAAATTTCACAGCTGAAAAACACAATAACTGAACTAAAAAATGTCAATAGATGGGCATAATAGCTGAATGGAGTTAGTGACATTGAAGCTAGATGAGAGAGAAAAAAGTAGAAAAAAATAAGTCTTAAAGACCTTTGGGGCAAGATCGCTTGAGGAGGAGGAGATAAGATGGCAGAGTAGTAGGATGACCCTATGCTTGCCTCATCGCTCCAACACAGCTAGATCATTATACATCATTCTGAGCTCCCAGGATATGGATCTGAGGCCTGAGAGAACAGACTGCATCACCTGAGGAAGAGAAGAGGCCATGGTGAAAGGTAGGAGGTACAGAGACATGTGATTTGGGGGAGAAAAGAACTGTAAGCACTGCAGAGCAAAGGGAGCCCTGATCATGGAGAGAGGATAGAGACAGGGAGAGAGAAAGCAGCACACAGGGAATTGCATAAGAAAAACACTTGCCCAAAAGTGCTGACTGGGAAAATGAAAGGGGCATATTTTTATAAGCAGCGCGGAGAGTCTGAAGTTGTAGCAGTCTGCACTTGCCAGGGTCAAGCCTGGTGGACACAGTGGTGCTCCTGTGGAGAAGAGAGGCAGAGGCCCAGGAGCAGAAAGCATGCTCTGAGGAGCCCCTGGGTCGCGCTGGGAGAGAGAGTTCTGCTTGTTGGGAGTGCTTTACCTCTCCAGGGACAGAAAAGCCCGTGGGTGCCATGAAGCTGCCCCGGTCATTAGCATAGAGCAGAAGCACCTGCTGAGGGCAGCTAACTTGGATGCCGGCTCTTTGCTACACTTCACCATAAAATCCAAGCTCCTGTGCAGTTGTGCAATTGCTTTTCTAGGACCAAAGACACCAGCCACACCGTGATGAGACCCTCCTATAGAGTACCAGCTTGGGTCTGCACTGTGCCAGCTCCCTAAAATTTAGGGTTTTGAAGCCCAGCCGCACATCTAAGATAAAACACAGGAGAAGCATACTGCTGAGTGGGCAAACAGCTCTGACACAGACAGGGTGAAAGCAGGGATCTGATGGAAGACTGGGACACAGGAGGGGGATTGTTTGCTCTTCTGTGAGGGCTTCCTGAACAGCAGGGGATGTGAACTCTCCTCTCTGGGGAAGAGAGCAGGCCAACACTGTTTTTCACCTCTCCCATCAGTAAGGACAGACTTCAGCAAGCTGCACAGCACACATAATGAAGGCTTGAGCTGCTTACACTAAGCCCTGCCCCCCTGCGCTCTGCAGGTGCCTTCTTAACTACAGCAAGTATGATTGAGAGCCAGAGCAGCAGCGGGCCCCTCCCCCAGAAGACCAGCACAAATCCCTTGCATGCACTAGGTCTACTGATCATAGACTGCTGCAAAGCTTCAGCTCTAGTGGAAATAGGATTAGGCACAGGCTTTCCTAGCTCACAAAAGTCAGAGACCTAGATAAAATGCCAAGATGGAGGAATTCATCCCTAAGAGAGAATGAGAAGAGGTCATCACTAGGGAACTAATCCAAATAGATACAAGTAATATGCCCGAACCAGAATTTAAAACAACAATCATAAGGATGCTAGCTGGGCTTGAAAAGCATAGAATATAGCAGACAAATCCTGACTGCAAAGATAAAGACCTAAAAATGACTCCAGCTGAAATAAAAAATTATATAACTTAGATGCAAAACCAACCAAATGTAATGACCACAAGAATGGAAGAACAGAGGAATGAATAAATGACACAGAAGATAAAACTATGGAAAATAATGAAGCTGAAAAGAAGAGGGAAAGAAAGATACTGGATTACAAATGTGGACTTAGGGAAGTCAGGGACTCCATAAAGTATAATAACATTCATATAATAGGAGTCCAGAGGAAGGGGGGGAAAAGGGGGCAGAATGTTTATTTGAACAAATTATAAGTGAAAACTTCCCTTATCTGGAGAAGGAAATAGTCATCCAAATCCAGAAGGTACAAAAAACTCCCATCAAAATCAACAAAAACTGGCCAACACCAAGACATATTGTAGTAAAATTTGCAACTTAAAGAGATAAGAAAAAGAAAAAATCCTGAAAGCAACAAGAAAAAAGAAATCCCTAACCTATACGGGAAGACAAATCAGGTTAGCATCAGATGTCTCCAAAGAAACCTGGCAGGCCAGAGGAAAGTGGCATGATATATTCAACAGGCTTAAGGGGAAAAATCTGCAGCCAAGAAGACTCTATATACCAAGGCTGTCATTCAGAACAGAAAGAGAGATAAAGTGTTTCCCAGACAAACAAAAACTAAAGGAGCTAATGACTACTAAGCCAGCCCTGCAAGAAATATTAAAGGGGATTCTTTGAGTGGAAAGGTCCAAAAACTAGAAGGGCAAGAGAAAAATCTCCAGAAGCAATGATTTTATAAGTAATACAGTGGCACTAAATTCATATCTATCAATAATCACTCTGAATGTAAATGGACTAAATGCTCCAATCAAAAGATGTAGGGTATTAGAATGGATAAACAACAACAACAACAAAACAAGACCCATCTATATGTTGCCCACAAGAGACTCATTTTAGACCTAAAGACACCTGCAGACTGAAAGTGAGGGGGAGAGAACCATTTACCTGACAGATGTCAAAAGAAAGCCAGAGGAGCCATACTTATATAAAACTAGATTTGAAACCAAAACCTGTAACAAGAGATGAAGAAGGGTACTATCATAATAAAGGGGACAATTCACAAGAATTGTTGAATACTTGTAAATATTGTATTTACAATTTACAATTGTAAATATTTATACTCCCAACTTAGGAGCACCCAAATACATACAACAATTAACAATAAACACAAAGGAACTCATTGATAATAATCCAGTAACAGTAGGGGACTTTACCAACCACCTACAGCAATGGGCAGATCATCTCAGCAGAAGATCAACAAGGAAACAGAAGCTTTGAATGATATGCTGAGCCAGATGGACTTCACGGATATATTAGGAACATTCCATCCTAATGCAACAGAATACACATTCTTCTAGAGTGTGCATGGAATGTTCTCCAGAACAGATGATGTACTGGGTCACAAATCAGGAATCAACTGGTACAAAAAGATCAAGATCATACCATGTGTTTTCTCAGACCACAACACTATGAAACTTGAAGTCAATCATAAGAAAAAATCTGGAAAGACCACAAATACATGGAGGTTAAACAACATGCTACTAAAGAATGAATGGGTAAACCAGGAAATCAAAGAAGAAATAAAACATACATGGAAACAAGTGAGAATGAAAACATGATGGTCCAAAACCTTTGGGATGCAGCCAAAGCACTTCTAAGAATGAAGTACATAGCAATACAGGGTCTTCCTCAAGAAGCAAGAAAAATCTCAAATGCACAATCTAACCTTACACCTGAAGGAGCTAGAAAAGGAATGACAACTAAAGCCTGAAGTCAGCAGAGAAGGGAAATAATAAATAATATTAGAGCAAAAATAAATGATATAGAAATAAACCAAACAGTAAAACAGGTCAATGAAATCAGGAGCTGATTCTTCAAGAAAATTAATTAAATTGATAAATCCCTAGCCAGACTTATCACAAAAAAAAAGAAAAAAAAGAAAAGAGAGAGCAAGAGAAAGAACTCAAAAATAAAAGCACAAATGAGAGAGGATAAATAACAACAACCTCATAGAAATACAAACAATTATAAGAGAATATTATGAAAAACTATATGCCAACAGATTAACAACCTAGAAGAAATGGATAAATTCCTAAAAACCTACCAAACCTATCAAAACTGAAACAGGAAGAAACAGAAAATTTGAACAGACTCATAACAAGCAAAGAAATTTAATCAGTAACAAAAATCTCCCAAAAAACAAAATTCCAGGACCAAATGGCTACACAGGCAAATTCTACCAAACACTTCAAGAAGAGTTAATACCTATTATTTTCAAACTATTTTGAAAAATGAAAAAGGAAGGAAAACTTCCAAATCCATCTTATAAGGCCAGTATTACCAAAATCAAAGACATCACTAAGAAAGAGAACTATAGGCCAAAATTCCTGATGAACATGAATGCAAAAATTCTCAACAAAATGTTAGCAAGCTGAATCCAACAATACACTAAAAAATCATTTACCATGATCAAGTGGGATTTATTTATTCAGTATAAAGGGTGGTTCAATATTTGCAAACCAATCAGCATGGGATAGCACATCAATGAGAGAAAGAATAAGAACCATGTGATCCTTTCAATAGACACAGAAAAAGCATTTGATGAAGTAACATCCATTCATAATAAAGCCCTCAACAAAGTGGGTTTAGAGAAAACATACCTCAACATAATAAAGGCCATTTATGAAAAATCCACAGCAAACATCATCCTCAATGGGGAAAAAATAAGCTCTTTTCCTCTAGAGTCAGGATCAAGACAAGGATGTCCAGTCTCACCACTGTTGTTTAACATAGCACTGGAAGTCCTAGCCACAGCAGTCAGACAACAAAAAGTAATAAAAAGCATCTAAATCAGCAAGCAAGGAGTCAATCTCTCACTATTTGCAAACAACATGATACTCTATATAGAAAACCCAAAAGACTCCACCAAAAAACTACTAGAACTGATACAGAAACTCAGAAGTCACAGCATACAAAATCAATGTACGGAAATCCTGTTGCATTTCTATACACCAATAACGAAGCAGCAGAAGAAAAATTAAGGAAAATAATAAGACACTTAGAAATAAACTTAAACCGGGCAGCAGCCCAGGTGGCTCAGTAATTTAGTGCCGCCTTCAGTCCAGGGCATGATCCCAGAGACCCAGAATGGAGTCCCACATCAGGCTCCCTGCGTGGAGCCTGCTTCTCCCTCTGCCTGTGTCTCTGCCTCTCTCTCTCTCTCTCTCTCTCTCTCTCTCTCTGTCTCTCAAGAATAAATAAATAAATAAATAAATAAATAAATAAATAAATAAATAAATCCTTTTTAAAAAAAGAAAGAAACCTAACCAAAGAGGTGAAAGACCTATGCTCTGAAAACTATAAAACACTGGTGAAAAAATTGAAGAGGACCCAAAGAAATAGAAAGACATTCCATGCTCATGGATTGGAAGAACAAATACCATTAAAACATCTATACTACCCAAAGCTATCTACAGATATAATGCATTCCTATCAAAATACCATAAGTATTCTTCACAGAGCTGTAACAAACAATGGTAAAATTTGTATGGAACCACAAAAGACCCCAAATGGCCAAAGCAACCTTGAAAAAGAAAAGCAAAGGTAGAGGCATCATAATTCTGGACTTGAAGTTATATTACAAAGCTGTAGTGACCAAAATAGGTATCGGCACAAAAATGAACACATGAATAGAGAACCCAGAATAGAGAACTCAGAAATGGACCCTCAACTATCAGTTCAACTAATCTTCAACAAAGTGGGAGAGAATATCCAATGGAAAAACGACCATCTCTTCAACAACTCGTGTTGGGAAAACTGGAGAGCAACATGCAAAAGAATGAAACTGGACCGCTTTCTTACACCATACACAAAAATAAACTCAGAATGGATGAGAGACCTAGATGTGAGACCTGAAACCATAAAAATTCTAGAAAAGAGCACAGGCTATAATTTCTCTGACATCTACCGTAACAACCTGTTTCTAGATGTGTCTGCTGAGGCAAGGGAAATAAAACCAAAAATAAACTATTGGGACTCCATCAAAATAAGAAGTTTCTGTGCAGCAAAGGAAACAATCAGCAAAACTGAAAGGTAACCTGCAGAATGGGAGAAGATACTTGGAAATGTCATATGCAACAAAGGGCTAGTACTCAAAATACATAAAGAAGTTATATAGCTCAACGCCCCAAAAACAAATAATCTGATTACAATGGGCAGAAGACATGAACAGACATATCTACAAAGAAGATATCCAGATGGCCAACAGACATGTGAACAAAAGATGCTCAGCGTCATTCATCATCAGGGAAATGCAGACCAGAACCACAGTGAGATCCCACCTCACACCTGCCAGAAGGGCTAAGTTCAGTAACACAAGAAAAAACAAGTGTTGGTGAGGATATGAGAAAGGGGAGCCCTCGTGTACTGTGGGTGGGAATGCAAGCTGGAGCAGCTACTCTGGAAAATACTACGGAGGTTCCTCAAAAAGTTAAAAATAGAGCTATCCTATGACCCAGTAATTGCACAATTGGGTATTTACCCGAAGGATAAGAAAATACTAATTCAAAGGGATGCCTACACCCTGGTGTTTATAGCAGCATTACCTACAGTAGCCAAACTATGGAGAGAGCCCAAATATCCAAGAATTGATGAATGGATTAGGAAGATGTGGTCTATATACACAATAGAATACTACTTAGCCATCAGAAAGGACAAAAACTTGTCATTTGCAATTATGTGGATGGGGCTAAAGAGTATTATGCTCAGCAAAATAAATCAGTCAGAGAAAGACAAATACCACATGATTTCACTTATATGTGGAATTTAAGAAACAAAACAGATGAACATAGGAGAAGAGGGAAAAAGAGAGAAGAGAGAGCCAAACCAGAAGAGGCTCTTTTTTAAAATTTTTATTATTTTTTAAAGATTTTATTTATTTATTCATGAGACACAGAGAGAGAGAGAGAGGCAGAGACATAGGCAGAGTGAGAAGCAGGCTCCATGCAGGGAGCCTGATGTGGGACTCGATCCCAGGACCCCAGGATCACACCCTGGGCAGAAGGCAGGCACTAAACCGCTGAGCCACCCAGGCAACCGGAGGCTCTTTTTTTTAAAAAGGTTTTTTAAATTTTATTTATTCATGAGAGAGACAGAGAGAAGGCAGAGACATAGGCAGAGGGAGAAGCAGGCTCCATGCAGAGAGCCCGATGCAGGACTTGATCCCAGAACCCTGGGCCACACTCTGAACCAAAGGCATATGCTCAACCACTGAGCCACCCAGTTGTCCCCATAAGAGTGTCCCCACTCTTAACAACAGAGAACACACTGAGGGTTGATGGAGGCAGGTAGGTGGGGGAGGGGCCAGATGGGGGATGGGCATGAAGGAGGGCACTTGTTATGATGAGCACTGGGTGTTGTGTGTAAGTGATGAATCACTAAATTCTACTCCTGAAACCAATATTGCACTGTATGTTAACTAACTAGAATTTAAACAGAAATTTTAAAAAAATAAGTAAAATTAGACTGTGGGGACAGTTGCACAATTCCACACATACACTAAAAATCATTGATTTGGCTTGATAAATGAATTGTATAGGATATGAATTATGTGTCAGTAAAGTTGTTTTTGAAAAGAGAGAGAAAGAAAACTTCTAGACTGTCACTTCTTGAAATTCCAAAAAATAAAAATGCAACAAAGAGTGAAAAACAAAACAAAACAAAAAAAAGACCTATGGAGCAATATCAGTGTGTATAATTGTAATTGTAGAATGAGAAGAGAGAATGAGGCAGAAAAAAACATTTCAAAAAATGACGAATGAAAATTTCCTGAATTTGCTGGTAGACGTAAATGTAAAAATTCAAGTTTAGCCCAACCTAAGAGGATAAAGATGAAGAAAGCCATGCCTAGTCACATTATAGTCAATTTGCTGAAAAGAAGAGAAAATCTTGGAAGTAACCAAAGGAAAATGATATTTTCCACAGATGAACAACTATTTAAATTACAAAACAAACTTTTCATTAGAAGCTATGGAAGCCAGAAGACAAGAGAACACCTTTAAAGTGCCGGGCAAACAAACAAAAATCTACTGTAAGCCAGAAATCTGTATCTAGCAAAATATCCTTCAAGAATTAAGGCAAAATAAAGAGTTTTTAGATAAGACAGAAGCAAGAAGAGGAGAGAAAACAAACGAGCTGGAGAAGAAAAATCAGATTTTTAAAAGTTTTCTGATATTATGCTCTATAGGGCTTCTGCAAAAATTTAAGGATTTGGTGATGGGTTTTCAGGATCTTATATGGATGCAGCCAGAGTTCACATAGAATTTTCTATATGTTTTATCTTATATATGTATCTTAATATTTAATTTTATGCATCACTCAGAATCATATCTAATGCTGAGGGTCTAACACCATTACCTCAATTGTTCCATCCTTGTCAGGCCTAAATGCTGATTCTTTATTCACCAACAGCACAATACTATGAATTATGGGAGGAGATGTGTTCTGAAATAAGAAAGAAATACCAATTAGCTTTGTAATTTTTAACTTCATTGACTTAATAGAACTGTCTAACTTTGAGGGGTGCTACTTCTGCTCTGCTGTTTTCCCCAAATACCTAGAATGCATAAAATGTAATTGTCTTTGCTCTAAACGGAAATTATGTTCCCTTGTAAATTTTAATGTAATCAAGTTTATTGTTTATAATTTACATATAATAAAATTCGCCCTTTAAAATATAGTTTCTAAATTTTGACATAATTCACAGTTATGGAACCACCAGGGTCAAGATATATACAGCAGTTTAGCACCTCCCGGGTTGTGTCACACTGCTTTGTCCAGCCCACCAGCCTCTGGAACTATTCATCTGTTTTTGGAGTTCGTAAATTTGCCTTTTTCGGATGCCATATGCATGGACTCATACAGTACTGGCTCCTTTCACTTAGCAAGTGCATTTGCAGTTCATCATGCTATGGAGGCTCATTCCTGTCTGTTGCTGAGATTTCCACTGCTCGCAGGTACTACAGTTCATGCATGCACTCACCAGCTGGAGGACATCCAGGGTGTCCAGTTTGTGGCAATCATAGGTAAAGCCACTATAAAGTGGCTATAAAGTCTACATGAATGTAAGTCTTCATTTCTCTTGGGTGAACATCTAGCAGTAGGATTGCTGGGTCATGTGTTAAGTGCATTCTAACTTCTGAGTAAACTGGCTAGAGTGGTTGTGCCATTTTGCATTTCCATGAGCAATACCAAGGCCTTGATATTGTCAAGTTTTGTGGCGTGTGTCATCTCATTGTGGTTGCATTTTTCCAATGACTACTCATGAGGAACATATGTTTATGTGCTTCTTTGCCATTTATGTATTTTCTTTGCTCAAGTGTGTTCAAATCTTTGCCCATATTTCATTGGGTTGTTTGTGAGTTTTGAGATTTTTGTATATTCCAGATACAACTCCTTCATCAGGTCGTGTTTTGCAGCTTTACCTGACCCAAAGCCGGGGCAGCAGGAGGCCACTGCCCAAGAGAAGTACCACCACCCCCACCCCCGCCCCCAGCTCAGCATCCAGACCGAGGAAGAGAGGTGAATTTCAAATTTCCTAAAATTTCTTCCACGATTCACCTGAGATAAAATCGGAAGGATGGCGTAGATACTTCTCCAACTTCTGCTTTGGGAGCAGTGCTGGTGGGGAGGACCGGGACTCCAGAGGAGCCTCATACAGAATGCTGGGAAGGGGTATTCTCAGACCGAGGAAAGGCTGGTGGTTCTGCTGGGCAGCTGAAGGGCTCTCGGGCCACCTGTGGGCCCGGCCTGGGTCCCTGGCACCGCGGCTCAAGCACCTGCTAAGCGTGCACGCCAACCAGGAGAGCTTGGTCTTCCCTACGTGGGGCCAGACATGGAATTGTCAAGTTTTTCTCAGATGCTGAGGGAGTAGAGGCCACCAGGCTTCAGGGACCCACACGGTGCACCCTCCGGGCTGGGTGACCCTGCTCTGCTCCTGGGCCCGCGGCCACACGCACCGGACCTGGGCCTGAGCCCACGGGCATGGCTTCCCCGTGGTGACCACCTGGGCCCCGGCCTCACAGAGCCCATCCTGGGATCTGTAACGGGCCCCTCGGTCCGGCTGGGGAGTGACAGTCCTTCACACTGTCCACCCCGTCCAGCCTGCACCGCCAAAGCTGGCCACCTGCTTCCGACGGGAGGGGCCCACCAGGCCTGAGAGGCTCCCACCTCACCTCCTGGCTAGGGATTGTGTAGTTAGGGGCCTGCAGCAAGTCCTGGCCTGGCGGCTGCTCCTAAAAACAGATTCCACGCCCTCCTCCTCCCAACCTTCCCCAGGGCAGCACTGACAAAAGTGACCAGCTCGAGCACCATTTGCTGTGGCTGCCAAAGGGTCTGAGGAGGGGGACCCTGGGGTCTGGCAGAGGGCCTGAGAAGCAGGACAGCTCCCCCACGGGCCACCCTGGGCTGAAGACTGATGAAACTGGATGGAGACCAGAGCAGCTGGGAGGCCGAGGAGGAGGAGGGAGGCTGAGGAGGAAGAAGGCTAGGAGGAAGAGGAGGAGCAGGCGGAGGAATAGGAGGCCCGGGAGGAGGGAGGAAGCTGGGGAGGAGGGAAAAAGGGGAGGATGGAGAGGCAGAGGAGGAGGGAGGTAGGGAGGGGGAAGGAGGGAGGGGGGAGGAGGGAGGGAGAGGGAGGGGAGGAGAGAGGGGGAGGGAGAGCGGAGGGAGGAGAGGGCTGCAAAAGGGAAGGGATGCTCTGCGGACTCCGTGGTGTGAGGCAGGGACCCAGAGCTCTGCAGGGGCTGGAGGTATGTTCTCCTGAGTTGCAGTTTCCAGCGCTGTGCTGACTGGTGTGCAGTGAGCAGGTTAAACCTTGGCTCCTGAGGAACATGCGTGTGAAACACCGACACACCTTATCCTCCTGTCCACGTGCACATTGCAAGCAGGCCTCAGAGTGAACATCTTCTTTCTGAAAATCCTCAGAACTCAGAGGACGTCCTGCAGTTCCTCCTTTGAACAGAATTCCTTCCAAATCTGTTTGAAAAACAGCCATCCCCCTCCTTTTCCAGGAGACTTCCAGCAACTTCTCAGGCTTTGCTGGTTGATAAAACTGCACATGCTTAAGAAAAACCAGAATCTCAAAGGAATTTGAAAACTGAAGCTGATTATGAGCATTGAACTGGATGACATCCTGGCTGCCGACCTGTGAGCTCAACGGCTGGTGGCCGAGAGCAGGGGAAATGTAATAAGGGACATGTGTGTGTCCGAAGTGCTTCATGGAAACCAAGTTGTGGCTGTCAGACCTGCCTGTCCCTGTTGGAGGCACTAACTCGCTGCACCGGGATCCCTTCTGCTGAGGGCCTGTTTCTCCCAGAAAGTTCTGCTGAGAGCCCTCTACAGCCCTGATGCCCCTGACAGGAGCCTCACCCTCCCTCCCCAGGCTCCTTGACCTTGGCTGCCCTCCCATTGTGCCTCATCTCCCCAAGCCCCGCCCTGCCCTGCAGAGCCGGCCTGCTGGGGGCTCTGCTGTCCTTTCCTCACACTCTACTGTCCAGTTACTGAATGCAGCCCCACGTGCCCCAGCCTCCACCTCTGAGTCCTTCCTTCAAAGAACTTCCATTTGGCATCCCTCAACTAGGAATCTGGGTAGAAGAGTGATGGTGCCTGGTGCCTTCAGCAGAGACCAAACAGAGGGACAAGGTGGGACCCCAGACTCCATCACAGCCCTTGGCACATGCAGGCCCCCACAGACACACATCTGAGGAGGCCTCAGTGTTCTCCGGCCTCCCTCTGGCCCTGGGTCCCTGGAACATCCCGATGCAGCGTTTCTCCTGTTCCAAGGACTCTCCATTTCCCTTTTGATGTTACTCATGACCCAGAATCCATCAGGTCTTCCTGGGGTGACCGCACACCTGTCAAACAACCTCCCTTGACCTTGGCCCAGAGGTACGGGGCCGTCCTTCCCATACCATGCACGCCTCTGTTCTGAGAACGTGCTCTGTGTACCCTGCACCCTGATTCGGTCAGACACTAGATGGGGACTGCTGTTGGGGGGGCAGGAGTCATGCCCACATGGGCTGGTCCTGGCTGGCCCTGCCTTGAAGGTCTGCAGTGGTGACCTAGGAGATGGGCAGGAAGCTCCTTCCAGGCCACTGTGGCTGACTGTGGGGGAGAACATTGTTGAGGGGTGCAGGAGCAGGGCTCTTCTGCTACTTTCCATGTCCACACTTGGGACCCTCTCCTCATCCTGAGATTCATTCTGGGGGCAAGTGCAGGCATGGCTGCCCTCAGCTGCTCCTGGCTCATGAGGGAGCCCCTCGTGGCCCCAACTGAATGCTTGGCGCCCCAGTGATAGGAGTCACCCTGACTCACCTGCAGCACTGCCAGAGCCTGGGAGAGTGCAGGAGTAGCCGGACCCTTGCGAGCGTCCAACAGGATGACCAGCCCCAGCTCCCGCACCTCCTTCCTGGGGAGAGACACACAGCATTAAACACTGCAGGCACAATCTCTTTCATCTCTGGTGAGACATCCTCACCCAGATGGCCTTGGGTCTACAAGTTTCTGACACACATCAACCTTTTGCTTCCCGAGGAATCAAGCTGCCTACTGGGTGCAGACAGGGCTGCTGGGCTCATTATGTGGGTCAGTCCTGCCTGACGGTCTCTCCAGGCAAGCAGAGCTGGCTGCCTGTCTGCGCTGGCCGGGGCTGCTTTCTCTCACCCATGGCCCTGTCACCGGGCAGAGGTCCCGGAGCCTCCTTGTGCTAGTCTGCTTGCTGGGGCTATATCTGATGTGGAATTCGACTCAGAGCACACAAGAACACAACGTGGTTGGCTCTTATCGAGACCCAAGCTCCGAACCCATCATCTGGCTCAACTACGCTTCTGGAGCTACAGCGGGACAGCTGAGCATCCTTGGAAGCTGGAAAGCTCTGTCCCTTCCTATGATCGGGACTGTAAGCTTTAGTCCTAAATAGGACAGAATAACAGGCTAGGGCCAGGTGATGTATCTGACCCAACCTCCCGGGGTTAACTAACACTCTACCTCAGCCACATTGTGCATGCTGGCTTACACCTGCATGCTGACCGCCCGTGCACACAAAGCAGGTAGAATCACATGTCGCGTCAAAGCCATACCCTGGCCCCAGGGCAAGTGTGCTTCACAGTTGGGGTGAGTTCAGTTTTGGGTGTGACTGCTAAGGAATGGTTCTGAGGGGTGTGTGTCTTGGAGAAGCTAGCGTACTGAGGGTGGAGTGGTGTCCTGGTGTCAAAGCCGGACGCAGGAAGGGTGAGGCTGGGAAAATCTTACTTCCTCCATCAGCTGGCCAGCTCTGTGCCCAGACCTCCTCTGCCACGGAAGCCGCTTTGCGACACACATGGCTTGAAGTGCCAGAGTCCACATCTCTGGGAGTGCTTCAGGAGCTGGGCTCAACACTCCACTTTCTCGGAAGGTCCTGCGTCTCTCCTAACACCCCTGCTCCTGGTGTCTCCTCACCCCAATCTCCTCTGCCGTGGCCCTGAATTTGTGTCTCAAGGTCTGCTTCTGGCCTCAGAGGCAGGACTGGGTCTCATTGCCACACTGGCTTGTGTAGCATGGGAAATAACCCCTGGGGCTCCAGACCCACATGTTCTCCTCCACCAATCTCATCCACTTGGCAGTTTTGCTGCAGGGGATGGCTGAAGAGTAAACAGCTGCTTCCCAGGCTCAGAGGCCTGCTGGACCCTCCACCTAGGCTGGCTGAGGTGGATCCACTGACTCAGAGTTCACACTAGAACAGGATTAGACAGGAGAAGATGGGAAGTAATGCCCCCAGGCCACCCAGACCGAACTTGCTTCTCTCTGCCTGCTTCTGTGGTGGGTGGAGCTGGCTGGCTCCCCTAGTTGGGCTCCCCTGGGGCCCCTGGCCCTGTGCAGACCTGCCCCAGACACTCTGGGCCTGCATTTCTGCAAAAGCCTCACATGGCATTCCTGCACCACACGGCTTCTCCATCTGAGGTCAGCGTAGCCTTCAGGCCCCGGGCATCGGCTGTACACATGGAGTCTTTAGTCCTCACACCTGCCGCCTGACTCAGAAAGTGACTGGCTGCTCTGCGCCTTTGTATGTGCTCTTCCTTCTGCTCACAATGTCCTTCCCTTCTTGCCTGAAAACACTCACCGTCCTCAAGGACACGGAGCACATCTGGGAGTCCCCACCCTCCCAGCAAGGCTGCGGCTCCCTCCCGGCACTGTGGTTTTGTCCAACGCCAGGAGATGCAACAATTGGGGTTCACAGGTGTGTCCCTTTGAGGGGAGGAACCACAGCCTGTTCTCCTGTATATGTGGTGGATGGATGGATGGTGGATTACAAAGGAGATTGGGTGGATGACAGCCAAGATCCATTCTGATTTTAAGACTGTGTGTCTGAGAGTTGATGGAAGTCCATTTATAAGGAACACATGGCTCCCTGTAAGACAGCTGCACAAAACGACCAGGCACTGCTGGACACTCTTCCTGGTGCTGAATGCTGGCACCTGGGGCATGTCATTGTCACAGCTGAAGGCATGTGGCACACCCCACAAGGTAGGGGTGGATTTCAGGTCCTCAAGGGGAAACAGTCAATCAGGAGACTAACAAAATTACGATGCTTGTGGGGAAATAATCAGCCAAACCAGGAGGTTCCACCATGAGTTGCTCTAATGCTTTAGGGATGTTCTCACCAAAGGCTTCCCCCTGGAGCCTCCTGAGCTAGTGAAGACCCCTCCCCTGGGAGGGGAGTGGGGCTGTCTGAATTTTCTGTGGAAAAGGCAGAAGGCTACATATCCACAGTCAAATCATGGCCCTGCCTCCTCCCCTCCCCTGCCCCGTGGGTACCCTAACCCCTACAGTTGGTGTTCTGCTGCGGAATGGAAAAACAGCGCTCAGCCTGATGGCTAAACCAGCCTGAGTAGGCTATCGTCCTCGTCCACCAGAATTGCTCTCCATTATCACCCTGAGTTAATTATGGAGGCTCCCGTAAAAGAAAGAAAAAGCCAATATCTTAGTGTTTTGGTGTTTCCTAAGGCTTACAAAGTATAAGCTAAAGCGAGGATGAATCTGTATTTTCTTCAGAATATTTCTTTATATTTTGAAATCTGTGCTGGGAGATAAGTTTGAAATCCCAGGCTCACTCAAAGGCAGTAAAACCACTGCCCTCAGATAACTGGGAGCCTCCCTCTAGGAAAGGGGTTGTTCCCACACTGAATCTACCTCTGCTACTTCAGAAGAAACTCCAGCAGAAAGTTCATGCGCCACAATGAGCCTGAGGTCACGTGATGGGCATCATGGACTGTGTTCCCCCACGGGCTCGCATCACACGATGTGCATCCTGTCACTGTCAAGGAGTCAGATCACATCATGGGGTGTATCATGAAGATGATGCTCTGGGCTTCAGTCCACGTACTTTACACAGATTATTTCTAATCTCTCTGACACAGCCTTGAGACAGCAGCTACCATCCCAGGTCGATGGGGAGGAAACAGGCCTATGGAGGTGCGCCATCTACCTGGCCAGTAGGAGCACCGCTGGGATTTCCAGCCGGGCTGTCTGACGTTGGAACTGAGCTCGCCAGCTGGGCAACACTCCCTCCCCTATGGCTGCCTCCACCCAGCACCTCAGGGACTCTTGTTCTGGTGGCCATAAGGGCTGACTAAAGCAAGCCTGGATCTGATGGGATCAAGTAGTTATGAAATAACACACTATAACCATCCTTGACTCCCACTGTCCTGTCCTTGGTCCATGAAGAGATCTGAAGCCATGCCCCAGAGAAAGTCACCCATTGTCATCATGCAGGATCCAGGTGGTATGGCTCCCTAGAATTCCATGGGAATTCCAGGGAGGATAAGTCTCTCTGGAGGAGCTGGCATGCTCTCCTCCTGCCACACGGCATTGCCTAGCTGAGCGTGAGGCTCTCACTTAGCATGAATCAGTCTTTGCTGCTTCTGGGTACCATAGTACTCTTTTGTAAGATTTCTTGACCCATTTATTCTAAATTTTCTGTTTATATCTGCTAGGTCTTTATCCAGAAAGAGGTGGAGTATAAGACATGTGCATACATAATGCTTGGAGCAAGTACTGACCCATGCAGAGCAACACAACACTCGGGCTAGACTGTGTGTCAGAGCTCTGATTCAGGGGAGAGGTCAGGGTGACAGGAGAGGAATTCGTGGGAGACCTGGAGAAGAGTAGTGAGGTGGGATGTGGGGCCAGCTAGCAGAAACCTGAGGGGCAGGTGGGAGCCTGGTGCCCCTGTCCCAGGGGGCCCCCAAGGCTCCACAGAGACCCTTGCATGAGGACACAAGCTTGTGCAGGGCTACCCCCAAAGCTCTGAAAGGTGGGGGCCTGGCTCCATCCCACCTGGGGATGCCGTGGAGGTATTGCAACAGGCGGGTCAGCTCGACGCTGGAGGGGTGTGCGCTGGACCAGAGCGGGCCCCTCGTGCAGACTTGCACCACTGCTCTCCCCTGGTGATCTCGCGTCCCTGAAGAAAGAGGGCATTGTGAGAGGGCAGCCTTAGTGAGGACATACCTGGCTTCAAGCTTGAGACACTGAGCTCAGGTCTGCAAATGGCTGAGATGTGAGATTTCCCAAGAGAGGAGGGCCTGCCACTCACCTAAGCAGGCGACAGCTACGCTCACATAAAAGGGTGATGGGCACTGCTCTGGGCTGAAGGTTCATGTTCCCCCTGAATCCTTATGTTGAAGCTTAAGTCCCAGTGGGATGATACTAGCAGGTGGGCCTTTGGGTGGCACTTACGTTACAGGCTGGAGCCCCACAGATGGGACTCATGCCTCTTACAAAAAAAGACCCCAGAGAGCTCCCTTGCTCCTTCCACCATGTGAGGACACAGTAAAGATGTTTCAACTATGAACGAGGAAGGGGCCCCCAAGGAAACCCGACTGTGCAGGTGCCTTGGTCTGGGATACCAGCTTCCAGAACACAGATACATGTCTGCCCAGATACGTGTCTGCTGACACCCTGGAGGTGTCCAGTGCCTGGTGTTTTGCTGTACCTGCGCTGAGTAACACAGCCATGCTCACCTGGGAGAGTGATGACCCCGGACTGGAGGAGCTCCTGGCTGACTTCCAGCAGCTGCCTGGGAACCTGGCTGGGCACGGCTCCTGTACTAGGCAGCTGTCCTCCTCCCTCGCGGCACACAGGATCCACAAGCACATCTGAAATCTGGCTGGGATCACGCTTGAGGAAGGTGCTGCTGTCTGCGTCGACCCCAGCTGGATGACAGAAAGACCCCTGGTCAAAGATGAAGGGTTTCTCTGGTTTGAAGGCAGCTACTCAGCTTGCCACAAACACAAGCAGAAAATCGTGTCAAAATATGGGGTCCCATGAGAACTTGTCTCATTTCTGGTGGCAAACAGCAGCATGGCACACCTTACAGGACAGGCATGTTCCTGAGCAGTAGGGCATGAATAAACATAAAATTGGAACATTCCAGTTGCAGCAAGAGTGCTCACTACTTAAACACACTTCGGGGACGAGATTTTTATAGTTGAATAACGTCATCCTAATTTATTCTCTCACACAGATTTCCCAAAGAGTGTCACAAAAATATTTCCACAAGGGGTGGGAGCACCCTGATGGCAGGCGGCATCGTAGCTGGGGTGCCTCTCCCTCCTGCATCACCCCAGGAAGGAGGGACCGGGCTCTCCTGGGTCACCCCACAGAGGGGGGACCATGCTCCCCTGTGTCACCCCAGGGAGGGAAGGGATGATCTTGGCCAGAGCTAGTTGGAACCTAAGACCCTGAGGGGCACCCTAAACCAACCTGGGCTTAGGTTTCCTGTCCCTTGGCCTCTTCCCAAACTTCTTTCAGTGCTAATGTCTTATAACTCTGTTAACAGCTTTCTCATTCTAGCTGGACTGGAGAAGCCCACAGCACTCTTTATATATTTGTATGAAAGTTTGAGGCACCCGGCTGGCTCAGTCAGCTAAGCATCTGACTCTTGATCTTAGCTCAGGTCTTGATCTCAAGGTCATGAGTTCAAGCCCCTACGCTGGGCTCCACACTTTGTGGAAGCCTACTTTAAAAAATAATTTTAAAAACCCAACTTTATTAGGTATATTTTATGCATAATAAAACTCATTTTAAGTGTATAATTAAGAGGATTTTAGCAACTTTACCAAGTGCTGCAACCATCACCATAGGTCACTTTAGAACATTTCCATCCTTCCAGAAAGATATCTCATGCCCGTTTACTGTGAATCTATACTCCTACCCCTGGCAACCACCCGTGTACTTTCTGTCCTGGACCATTCATACAAGTAGACATTATGGGGTCATTATGGGGTCTCCTGTGTCTGACCACTTTCACACAGCACAACTGCTTTTGAGGTTCATCCCTGACGTTTCCTGGGTCAGAGAGTCCTTCCTCCCCTGGGTCTCATCCCACTGTGTGCTGGACCATCTTTTGTCTGTCCCACCACTAGCTGATTGGTTACAACTGTACACTATCCTTGAGAGTGAATTTTTCATGTATGTTCCCATATTTTCTAGAATGTATCACCATCATTGGTAAAATCCTTGGGTTCCCACATATTCTAATGTGTTAATTCTACCCTGACCCCAAGATTTCTCACATGGATGGGGGAGCAGATAACCTGTGCACGTGCACTATTCTTATTAGACGTCTTCCTAGTTGAGGTCATTCATGTAAGCTTTTCCTAAATTCAGCTTGCAGACTGTGGAGCAATGAAAGGAGAGGCCCAAAGTCCTGGGGGCTACAGTATTAAAATGGCCAGGAATAAAAGCAGTATGCTCACGCGGCTAATCAAGAAACAGTTGGTCTGTTGCTACTGCTTGACTGAATATGATATTCTTGACATAAACTGAAGTGCTATATTTAGTGTTTTGAAATTAGGTTGATTTTATATTTAAATAAGAGACAAAGCAAAGTCTCAGGACTTGGAGCAAATGGGAACAGAGGAAAACAAGGTAGAACAGAAAAGAAGCAGCTGGAACAGAGGAGCAGCAGCTGGAACAGAGAAGCTGCTAACAGCTGGAACAGGAAGAGTAGCTAGAACAGAGGAGGAGCAGATGGAACAGAGGGGGAGTAGCTAGAACAGAGGAGGAGTATCTGGAACAGAGGAGGAGTAGCTGAAACAGAGGAAGAGAAGCTGGAACAGAGAACCAGATGTAACAGAAGCAGCAGCTGGAACAGGAGGAATAGCTGGAACAGATGAGGAGAAGCTGGACCGAGGAGCAGCAGCTGGAACAGAGAAACAATGTCTACTGTGGAAGAGCAAATACGCTAATTGTTACTTTTCTACTTAGGTTTCAGCAGGATCCCAGCTGAGGCATTTTCCTGTGTTGATGAAGACATGAGGCCTAGGGCCACAGCACAAACTGCACTCCAGGGGCCTGTGTGTGTCCAGGCAGCAAGGATAGAGGGGAATGCCAGTATCACCAAGCCACTGGAGTGAACAGTCACTCACTGGGTGAACAGTCATTGAGGCCCTTCTGCTCAGACCTCTGGGGCCCCATCCAGCTTCTTGAGGGTGTAAGCACGACCCTCTTCATCACAGGATCCTCCTTCCTCCACGGCTCTGGACAGTCAGCAGGAGGGGACAGGGAAGAGCACTCTCAGGAAGGGAACTCCCAACTTCAGAGAGGGTTGACGAGACTTCTCTCCGCACCAGCCCGCAGTGCTAACTCACGTATAGTCTCTGGAGCTGAGGCAGCAAAGCCCACCGGGGCCCCAATGGAACGACTAATGGAGAACACTGAGTCTCTGACGGTGAGATCGACATGCACAGAGCTGCCAAACCTGGTTTATATGAACGAGACCCACTGCCTCCAGGTGTCCTGGTTGTGGTCAAACGTCTGTGTCCCGTGCTGCCACCACCCGAGTGTGCACAGACGGCATCTGTACAGCTGGCATTTCTCTGCGGAGAGACATGGACTTGGTTACACTTCAGAGTGAGTTTTGCTGGAAGACACAGGCCATCTTCTCGCCAAGACGAGCTGCAGACATGAGTTTTCACTGCATTATCCAGGGTGCGTGGGACCGTGTTTTCTGCCCAATACAAACAGGAAAGTTTAGGTCCTCGAAACAATGTTCAGGGAGTTATTGTTTTGTTTTAATTTTAACTGAATTACAGGGGCCAGTACAGTGTTCTTAACAAAATGCTGACCTTAAGCCAATAATTTTATCGGGAAACTTTACACAGGACTATCCACGTGTGCACCATGCTGTATAAATCCCGTTAGAATTTCAGACAGGAGTAGACACCCTCATTTTGCAAGCAGCAGGCCCATCCAGGAGCATGAGCGAGTCCATCAGTGGGCCGGTGGGTGGGCCAGGTGTGCCTCTGCAAAGAAGCCACGGCTTGTTCTCTGCACCAGATGCCTGGGGTAACCCTTCCTTCCGAAGGCTCCTGTTCTTTACTTCCTCCAAAGTCACTGCTTTTCTTCATCACAGAACATTTCTTTATTCAAACAAGGAAAATATTGGACCTAAGGAGTAGGCTGTCATTCCTTCCTTTTCATTCTTGATGCCCCGCAAACTCTCCTTGCAAGTCATGTTGTCCATTGAGAGCAACATAGGGAGAATCTCATAGTTCGGGGACAGCTGAGCACGTTCTGTAGGCCTTTGAGGTGTGTGACTCAGGAGCCAGTGTCATTGATCATGAACATAGCATCTAACTTACCGACAGGAAAGGAGTATGACTACTACTACATGGGCTGTGAGTGCTGACCCCAAAAGGATGTGTCTCCTCCCAGAACCTGTGAGCATCACCTTACTCAGAAGGGCCTTTGCAGATGTGAATGATGAACTGTGTGTGGTGGGCCCTGAATCCAAAGACTGCTGTCCTTGTAAGAGAAAGGAAGGGAAGGGTTGAGGTACAGAGAGATATGGGGAGATGTTTGGATGGGGGTGGGGAGAGCCCTGCAGTTGGAAGGACCCTCCCCTAGGGCCTCTGAAGGGAGCACAGCCCTGCCAATGCCTTGCTATCATACTTCCAGCCCAGAACCAACAGGTAAATGTCCTAACCCACCCCATCTGCAGTACTTGGTTGTGGCAGCCGCAAGAATAGAGCACAAGTGAACATAATTTCCACAGCTGTGGATGGTCAGCAGGAGGGGACAGGCTGCCCTGTCCATGTGGATGTGGACACAGGCTTCTCCTGGGTCAACCGACCAGATGAAAGGTACAGTGCAGCGAGGAAGACAGACTGAGGGGAAGGATGGGGAAGAGGCAGGAAGGGGCAGGGGTGGGCGTTACCTGGACTCTCGGCTGTGCTGCAAGGCGGACAGCTGGAGCCTGCACTGCTGGTGCCCTCAACTCGTCCTCCTAGGAGACCTCCCAGCCTGGCGCTGACTGAGTGGCGGGAGGCCCGCCGAGCGGCACCTCGTGAGCTCCTGACGGACCTGTCCCAGGACCGAGACCTCCTGGGCAGGGTGCTTCTTGTGGTTCCTGAACGTCTTTCCTGACTTGGGAGCTCCACAGAGTCTCCCCAGGGACTGGGCGTTGCCTTCTGGGCTGGGCTGGCCACTACCCTGGCCCCCGTGGTCTGGGTGCTGCAGGCCTCATCCCCAAGGGACTCTTCAGAACTGGAGCCCAGGGGCATGGGGTTCCGCAGGGCCTCCATGTAGGACTTCCTGAACCCACGTCTGGCCTCCGTGCTGGCCGGGTCCCTGGGCAACTGCCTTCTGGAGCTTGGGCTGCCGGTGTCCTCACAGACAGTGAGGGCCTGGGGGCCGTCCCTTTTGTTTGTGGGGTCCAGGCTCCCTCTTGGTCCTTCCCATGGGACTGGCTCTGAGGGCCCCACCCCGACATGGCCTCCGTCAGAGCTCCTAAATGTGCTCCTAGGGCTTCCCCAGCCAGTGCCTCCTGGGGCAGGTTGGTGACTGGGCTGGCCATCCCCCGGATGCCTGTGGCAGTGGGACAGGGGCGGGGTGTGGCTGGGAGGGGTGGTCTCCCGGGGACGGTTGTTGGCCACAGCTGCTGCCGGAGTCAGAGCTTTGGAGGCTCTTCTGAGGGATGACTGCTCAGGCCTGGGATAGGGGCAGTGGGGCAGGACCGTTGTGAATGTAGGTACAAAGACGGGGTCTGTGACACTGCTCCACGGGGTGCGGAAGACAGCAGAGCCTGAGGTCAGTAAGCAGTTCTGCAAGGGGACACTGTTCCGCTCCCCGTTCAGCCATTCCAGGAACTGCCCCGTGAAGACGCAGCCGTACATGGCCTCAGGGACAGCGACCTCTTCTGAGCCACGTCCAAGCTGGGAGAGACATTTTAAAACCAGTCTGGCCGACTGCTTCCCCACCGACGTGACCTGCAGGTAGAAGTCGCCAGGCCTGAGCCTGACTCCGCGCAGAGACGCCAGCTGTACCACCACCTTCTCGTGGACGCATAGCGGCCAGCCTTCGTGCACGAAGATGAGGCCTGTGTACCTGGCCTGGGACGAGAGAGGGAGGGAAGAGGGTTAGATGTCTGCGGCAGCTCCTTGGGGAAAGTGCGGGGTGCTGGGCGCTAGCGACGGGACAGGGCGGAGGAAGCCACGCAGGGGCTGCCCAGACAGTCCCAGCTCAGGCAGCACATCTCCCGGGGGCTGTCCCACCTTGCACTTGCACACCAGCCCTCAGTCGAAGCTCCATGACACTTCCGGCTTCGCCAGGTGCCCACAGGCCGCCCCCCAAGGGGACGCTGGGACCCGCCAGCACACCCACGATGCCGGCTGCAGGCTCCCACCCAATGTCATGGGGTCCTTCTGCTTATTTGAAGTTTGTAACTTGGCTGTGATCATGTGGGTGAGCTGCCCCCGCATCTTTGAGAAGAACCTGGGTTAGACCACAGGACAGCTACCACACAGGCAGCGTTGGCCACAGGCTCCAGAGTATCTAGCAGTTTGGGGAACAAGTGCTAGGCCCCCGACACCTCCGAAGCCCCAGCTGCAGGACCTCATATGGAACCACGTCCTACCGTCGCGCTTCAGTTACCACACACATTGCTTCTCCCCACTCCAGCAATGACTTATGGCACAAATGTTATTATAATGACAGAGGAAATGAAAAAAGAAAGAACCTCCTTCTGATACATTTGTAGATTGGTGGCTTTTCCTCCCCTGAGCCCTGCAAGATGCAACTTCTCGAACCCGCAGTACGATGTCTACACAGCTTGGGTGTTGGGTCGGCATTTTCCTATTCCTCTCTCCTGGCTGCTGTCCGGGGGCGACCTGCCTGTCCCCTGTGGTCAGAATCTATAGTGCTTCTGTCTGTTTCTATCACACACAGTAAATTTCTCCTTTAAATTATTGTTTAAGGAAACATTCAGGGATTAGGGTTAAGGATAAAAGGTCATAGACTGTCTTTCCTGATTCCTGGCAATACGACTGATCTGCCTCAGAGGGTATGTCAGCAGCGATGCATCACTGTGACAGTTCGGCCAGGACTCAGTAGCCAGAAGCTTTACACTGGGGAATGTTTTTCTAAGCTAACACATAAACTCTGGAAGAGTGTTGTTCTATGTCACGCTTCTGTGATAGCCAAGCCAACCCCCTTTTTGACATTTGTCTCTTTTCTGTACAATTTCTCTATTTTTATTCTTTTTATGAATGGTGGCCTTGTTTCTGCCTTCTTAGGGCTGTGAGGTCTTTAAAAAATTTGACAATCTTTTTTTTTTTTTGATCACCATTAGCAAATGTTTGTCTGTGTTTTGTTTCCACCAGCTGCTTAGATGTGACCTCGTTTCCTTGCTGTATAGCTTAGTTCTGTTCCTTTCCTTTCTATGGAAGCTTAAATTTTATACAAGTTGAATTTCTTGACTTTTTTGTGGTATATTTTCTTGCCTTGAAACTTAAGAGTTTGAGGTCTTACTGAAGGTTGCCTTTCACATAGATTTTATGTTAGTTTCCTTCAGAGCTAAGGTCTAGAAAATACTTAATGTTTTCATACATCTGAGTTGGAAATTGTGAAAGTTTACCTGAAGGCCTCAACTAGGCTCAGTCACATATACCATTCAGCAGTTTTCAATACCGTGTCCCAAGGCTGTGTCCTTGGGAGTGGGAAGGGCAAGCAGAACCCATGTCCAAGGATGGGGGACAGGGTTGAGGAGCTTCCAAGAGCCTAGATCCAGCTCACAGGTCAGTGGGTCATTGTATCTTTTCCATGGCCTTCCTCACAGATATACAAATGGCCAGTAAGCAAATGAAAAGATGCTCAACTTCACCAATCATTAGGGAAATGCTTATTATGTGGAATTTGCCTCATAACAACAAAAGCAGCTGGTCATCTCTGAACCAGGACGCTGGCCCTGACCAGACAAAAAACCTGCTGACACCTTGACTCTGGACTCCTCAGGTTCCAGGAGAATGAGAAATAACTTCCTATGTTTATAAGCTACCCAATGTATGGTGTTTTTGTTGTAGCAAATTGAATGGATGGAGGCACCCAATCAGGGTCTTTCCTGGGCTTGTATAAAGATGTTGAAGACAGGAAATCCTCTCTCCACTGGCTTTATGTATTGGGAGGATTTGCACCTTCACCCAGCCTGTCTGCACAGTGGAGCCAAGTAGAGCAAGGGGGAGACACAGAGCCCCAGGGACACGTTTGAGCCCCTATTGGGGGTGGGTCTGAAGCTCTTCTCTAGGCTTCCCAGTGACACAAGGCAAATTCATCTTACAGCCCAAAGAGCCTTGATTAATCCACCCAGCATGCAATGTCCCATCGTCTACTTTCATTCATCCTGGGGCTCACCCTCTTTGTGCCATTTCCCTTTCAAAGGCCCGATGACCACAGCTCTCCTCTAGTTCCCCCAATCCCGCCCCCGACCAGGTCTGAGCAGAATCTCTGTCCATCGACAGAGGGTTCTTTTTACCTGTTGATGGTGCCTTTTAAGAACATAGTTTTAAATTCTGATGAAATCCAACTTACTCTTGTTATTTTTGCTGCCTGTGCTTTTGAGTCATTTCTAAGAAATCACTGCCAAATCCAATGTCATGAAGCTTTTCTTATGTTTTCTTCTAAGAGTTTTATAGTTTTAGTGCTTTCTCATAGGTCTTTGATGCATTTTGAGTTAATTTTTGTGTATGGTGTGAGGTAAGACCCAACCTCATTCCTTTGCATGTGGAGTTTTCCACCACCATTTGTTGAAATGATGATCCATACCCACTGAATGGTCTTGGCACTCCTGTCAGACATCATTTGGCCATATATGTAAGGGTTTATTTCTGGGCTCTCTATTCCATTTCATTGGCCTATATGTTTATCCTATGGCAGTGCCACAATGTTTTCATTACTATAGCTTTTTGTAATGAGTTTTGAAATCAGGAAATGTGAGTCTTCCAACTTTGTTCTTCAAGATTCTTTTGGCTACTTGGACTCTCTTGAGATTCCATAGGAATTTTAGGATAGGTTTTTCTTTCTGCAAAAAACATTGCTGTGATTTTGTTAGAGATTGCATTAAATCTTCAGATCACTTTAGATAGTACTGCCTTCTTAACAGTATTACATCTTCCAGTCCATGAACACAAGTGTCTTTCCAGGTCTTAGCTCTTCTTTTCTTTCTTTCAGCAGTGTTTTGTAGTTTTCAGTATGCAAGCCGTTCACTTCTTTGTTTAAATTTATACCTAGATATTTTATTCCTTTGGAAGCTACTGTGAAATTTTTAAAAGATTTTGTTTATGAGAGTGTGAGTACACACAGGGAGGTACAAGGACAAGCAGACGGCGCTGAGCACAGACTGACCTTCTGACCTTGAGATCACAACCTGAGCTGAAACCAAAGCTTACAACGACCACCTAGTACCCTATATTTTTTAAGTTTTATTTATTTTTTTATTTATAGAGTGTACATGCATGAGTGGGGGGGGGGCGGAGACAGAGAGAGAGAGAGAGAGAGAATCTCCAGCAGATTCCACGCTGAGTGTGGAGCTGACGCAGGAGCTCTATCTAATGACTCTGAGATCATGACCTGAGCTGAAATGTCACACATTTAACTGACTGAGCCACTTGGTCGCCCCTGCAAGGAGTAATTCTTTATCTCATTTCAACATCTTCCCTAAATAGTGTGCTCAAGACATTTATAGTGTTTCAAGGAAGAAGTGACAGAGCCAAAGTTTTGTTTATTCAAGAAGAGGTTGGCGGGCTTCACTGTTTAGGGGCTGCAGTTGAGCTGCCAGAAACAAGTGCAGTGCCCTTCCTTACGTGGGCTTCCACACAGCAGTCCAGGAAACTGAATTTCTCAAGATCAGCAGCAGGCTTTCAATCATAATAGATGTATCACAGCAGTATTGTAATACTCCGAAAAGCTCAGCTTCACTCCCCTACTTGGAAAACTGAAAACAAGACAAAACTTTTATGGTCCTTTAGAAAAGTCAGAGGGAGAACTTGTCCACTTGTCCTGGTCGAGGGGACAGACAGCCTTTCTGGGCCTGACTAGGCACAGGATAGCTTCCGTGTCTGCTCTTCTTGGACTCCAACATCCCACACCAGACCACTGTCACCATGGGGGCCCTTCTCTCCGTCTTTGGGCTCTGACACCCTGCACAAGGCCATGTAAATACCTGTCTATCCTTGTTAGGCAACAAAACCTGCAACCGGCTGCCATGCACATCCCCACCATGTGTCCATGGAACCCCATCCTCACTGTTCACTGTCAAGATCCTGCACCCCTGGTCCTGGGGCTGACCCCAGGGTGTCTACCCAGCAACCTACCACCAGGCACCAGGGACAGCTAAACGTATTTGCAGATCAACCAGCTTCCTGAATGGTGAATGTGCAGTGGTCAGGCCACTTGATGGTCTTCAGGGTACCCTCAGCCCCAGTTCTGTATGCAGTTTGGCTGCCATGTGCACCTCCACACCTAGGCCTTGTTAATATTCATTTCAGCTGAGGTTAGGCATTGAACCTCAGGAACCCTAGCAGTGTGAAAGCCGCCATAGACTGGACCATCCATTTTCTTTTCCCTCTCAGTTTTTAAGTTTCATTTCTGATTTTAGTAAGTAGGGGATATTTTTAGAGTTAATGTAGGAAAAGCAGAGTCACTCCTTTTCCATACTCCCAGGCCTACCACAGCACAAGCACACTAACATCACTGTATGGTTTAAAAAGTGCCTGTCAAGCAACTGGTATGAGACAAACTTATACCACTTTTTGGCCTAATAGTATCTCATAATAATTTCCTCAGGTATTTTTAAAATACTTCTCTTAAAACAATTTTTTTAAAGATTTATTTATTTATTCATGATAGACAGAGAGAGAGAGAGAGAGAGAGAGAGAGAGAGAGAGAGAGAGGAGAGAGGCAGAGACACAGGAGGAGAGAGAAGCAGGCTCCATGCAGGAGCCCGATGTGGGACTCGATCCCGGGACTCCAGGATCGTGCCCTGGGTCGAAGGCAAGTGCTAAACCGCTGAGCCACCCAGGGATCCCCCTCTTAAAACAATTTTAACCCGCATATAATA